GTTAGAGTTTAAATTCCAATCACATTATTTCCTCAATATTTTTTCCCATCGTAAGTGTATCGCTATTTACCACAACACGTTTACATATGAATTAATTAGGAGTTTTCCACCTCTAGAAAACGAAAGAGATCAGCTCATATGCAAGATTCACAGCCAGCCATGCACCTTTATTTTTCCCTTAACATCAACGTCAAGATACTGCTTATTTTGCATTCTGTTTCTTCCAACTTTCCACATTATTACTGTTAATAATCAAATGGGCCTATGACGCTTTTGCTTTGACTACCAATCAGTGAGAGTGATGGGGAAGTTTGAGGTTGATTTGGAAGCTCAATCAAAGCTTTATACGTGTATAGAATTTTGGACGTAAAATCGAATACACGGAATCTTAAAGCAAGTTTTCCCCTTGGTAAGATGGCGACTTTGGGCTTGGACGTACTTCAAATTAAATAAATACTTACTCCGAAATTAAATTAAAGAGGAAAAAAAAATACTCCCTCCGTCTTATAATTATTGTCCACTTTGGCCAAAAAATTTTGTCCCAAAATTATTGTCCAAATTGATTTTTTATAGAGTAAATTACGCATTTGGCCTTTAATCTATTTACTATAAACAGCTTTATACACGCACAACACACACAACACACATTAGAAAACGCAGAAGTAGCGAAACCAAGCCCATACACCGATGGCTCAAAGCGGCGGAAAAGACGATGTGGGAAGAAATCTATATTGAGCGATTAGATTGGTGTATTGGATTCAACATCAGAGTATGCATTTGTTGCAGTAGCTTCTATACCTTGTGAGATGATTCCAACGGTGGATTTGATGATCCCATCAATGGTGAGGCTAACTAATTCCAGAGATCTATCAGCTACTGATGCCCCAACCTCAATTGAAGATGGAAGTTCCTTCACGGCTCGGCTCGTCGCCTCGCGGATGATTTCATTTTCCTTCCTAAGACTGGACCCGAACTACTGCAGATCTCGGCAGTGAGTCTCCAAAACCGACTCAGATCGAGTAGTGAGGGTCTTCACCAAACCGCCAAAGTTCCATGCACTGACACTCGTAACAGAACAAGGAGTAGAACCACCATCGGCAATATGTATTTCATCGAAAATCTCGCCGGAATCATCTCATCGCCTGTTTCCTCAGCTCCATCGTCCGCAAAATCTTAGAGCAGAAGAATTACGTTCGGAAACATCAAATTGAACCTTAAGAGTAAGAAGATTTGAAATTCGTAATCTGAAAAATTGATTCACCATTCGACAGTGAAGAATGGATCCTTGAGCTTTGGTTGAATATTTGGATTGGGGTTGGTTTTTGCATTTTGTCGGTGCTAGTCTGAAAAAACGAGTAACTGGTTAAACAATTAGATGGACAAGGGTATATCTGAAAGTTTAAGTTAAAATATACTTAAGTTTGACCAAAAATAAATTTTTTCATTTTGGTTAAACTGGACAATAATTATGGGACAGAAGGAGTAATAAAGTGGATACTGATGGTTTTAAAGGTAGAGACAAGGATGTGAATCAGCATATGTTATCATCTGTAATTGCAACTTCTTACAGTCAAGATTCTTTCTAAGTATAATTATAAATACATTAACGCGATTCTGGGAATATGCTGACGGCACGTTTCTTTGTTTCTAATTCAAGGTACTCCATATTCAACCCTAAGTTTGACGGATTTATGATAAATTACTCTCGTCATCGTCCATCAAGATTATTAACTCACCATAATTTTATTTTGTAATGAACAAAATGACAATTGTCTCGTTATTTGGGATGGATATATACTAGCTAGGTCAAGCTCATAAACCCACAAGATCGGGAAGACTAATTCAAAAAAAAAGAAAGAAAGAAAGGGAACACCCAATTAATTAAAGGCCGCTCATATCATATGCGTTGTAGCTAACTATAGCTGGATTATTTTATGTTAATTGTGTTAATGAATTATGAATGTCCAGTAGCTTAACCTACTGAAATTACAATGAACTGATCATCTTGGCTTCTGAAACAGATTGAAAATAGACTAAATAGTACTTCCTCCGTCCCACAATTATTGTGCAGTTTGAGTATTCACTTTTAATTCAAATTGTACTAAAAGTGAAATTTCAAACTGGACAATAATTTTGAGACAGAGGGGAGTATTTGAAAATGTGCTGATTCGGTGAACTGCATGCGTCGCACAGAATATACTTCCAAAAAACGAAGCTGGATATTCCTTATACATTTTGGCCTTTTCATTAGCGTGTCTCTTCTTTTTTTATTTTTTTTATTTTTATTTTATTTTAAGTTTTGTCTTTGCCACATTATTAACCACAAGCTACAGTCCGTAGGTAGCTCAGCTGTGTCTATTACAGTCGACTGTAGTCCATCTACGAGTGTACTCGTGGAAATATTTTTGCTTTATCACTTGGTGATATGTATTAATATTGCATGATTTTAATAAACTTAATAATCGAGTAAGATTGATAAAATAAAATATCTTCTCCCTCTTCGTTTTTTGGTTTTTTCTGAACCTTGTTATAAATTAAAACCTAAATTAAAAACGTACTACATGGCAAATAGGTTTCGCACGAAAAATTGAGAAATTGAGCTGAAATGTCAAACTTGATTCCTCCCAACATACGTATTGTTTCGGTATATATTGGTTTTACGTACACTTCATAAAATCAGCTCGTACGCGTCTTAATATTACTTCCATCCCAAAATTATAATATAGTTTAAATTTTTATTTTTAATTCAAATTGTACTAACATAAAAAATTTAAACTGGATAATATTTTTTTTAAGATAAAGAGAATACATAGTATACAATTTCCACCATATTAATTAAATAAATTTGACATCCACAAAACCTTAAATCACAAACCAATCACTGAAGTGCATAGAAAAGTTCCATAAATACCGTACGTATGTAAAATGCTGGAAGCCTCGAACACATGTGGTCATCCATTGTTGACGGTCTGAGCAGGCGTAGTTGATCGGAACTCCGATCGGAATAAACAACAACACATTCATTAAAAATAGAAGAAGCATTAATTACAGGGATCTCGTGGCTTTGACCAAAGTTTGCAACTAAGTTCCATTGTTGGTCTTGGTCTACTTTTACCTAACAAGATTTTAAAGGGGAAAAAAAACATACAAACACTTACACGACCTTCACACACATGCAATGACAATACAGTCGTAGTCTATCCAACAAAGTGTAGAATTCAAGTGTGCCATCATCAATTAATATGGGTGATGATGACAATAATTGACAGCTCAATTCGTTTTAAATTTCCCGTTTGAATGATTGAAATTAAGCAGCTACTCCTACGTGCATACGAAGACACAAATAAATACTATATGTAAACGATGTGGCCTAAATCTTGGGATTCGAAGGTTGACGGATGACAACGAGGTTATAACTAATTCTGTGATTATTATATTATTTCTGTCGTGCTCTTGTCTATAAATTTTTAATAAATAAATTTGATAGTACCAATAATCATTGTATGTTCGGCAGCATTGGAAAGTTTTTCTTTTCTTGTTTTTTTTTATTATATTCAAAATGATTATCATATTTTTATTTTCATTTGAGTACACAAAGAATAAAAACCAAATTATTTAATTTCTTTTTACATTTTTTTAATTTATTTGATTTTGGTACAAACAAAAGAAAACAAAAATTTTTAAACAACAAATGAGTGTCTATATATATATATATATATAGATATATATATATATATATTACGTGAGAAAGAGACCTAAATTGTTACATATGTTGTGTTCCAACCACAATTTGACATCTTTTTATAGTTTAACCGTTTGAATTAAACCTCCATATAACCATCGGCTGTTAATGACACCGAATAATATGCTTTTAAAATTAAACTCCACGACCAAATATGTAAAATAACTCTAACTTTTTGGAGAAGCTGACATTTCTAACCTTTTCGTTAATACGCTTTTTTTCCCCCTTTGTTTTTATTTTTTTCTTTTTTCGGATCGAATATTTAATGAGTGCGACGAAGGAAAATGGGTCTATGTTGAAGTCTATTATTTCAGTCAATTTGTGATGTAGGTAGGATAGTTCAGTTTTTAGAAGAAAATTGTAACTTCTCTTCCCAAAGAAAAAAGAAAACACGTACGGTATGAATCTGCAGACATATTTCGAAGAGCGAGTATTATCACTCAGCGTGAATACTAAAGCGAGATGTGATACTACGTTATCAGTTGGGACTTTGGAGTTGTATGTATGTATCAAAAGTCAATACTGTGTTTTTTTTTTTTTTGGGGTGAACACGACACTGTGGTTTTTACTTTTTAGCATGGGGCAAAGCTCATTCCAGCAGTCCCGTTTAAGTTTCGAGTTTTTTCTCCCATAGGGTGCCCCCACTCTAATTTTTGGACTATCATACCTGTGTTTGTGGACTATAATTTAACTACTTTAGACCCCAGGATCATGAATAATGATACGCATTTCATTAAATTTATTGGAAATTGTTGCGTAATAAGAAGGGTCTATATTTATTACTGATAATATATCTATAAGTAAATCGTGAACTCTAAGCTTTAATTTTGCATTCGCTGGTTACCAAAAGTGTGATGTGAAAAATATTACTCACTCCGTTTCACAAAAATAGTCCACATTGAGTTTTGAATTTTTATTGTTTTTAGTACAAATTTGAAAACTGAATGTGGATTATTTTTGTGGGACAGAATTAGTAGTTTTCAAATAAATTGTGGGATATAAACAATGTCTTTTTTTTTTTATAATTTTATGTGGCACCATGAGCATAAAATAAAGTACTAACAAGTATTATATATATATATATATATATATACATGAATATATATTTTTTTTGAAAAACAAAAAACAAACAAAAACTTACAAGATACATGTGGATTGAGTCAATTAAGGTATGAAGATGAATTTCTCAAGTTCAACTCAACCACAATATATTTCTCGTAAGTTTTTCTTATAAGGCCTTGAATTTTGAGAATATTAAAAAAAAATGAAAAAGAATAAAGAATATCTATTTCCTCCATGAAAAGTACGGGTTTTCAGCTTCGACAAATAACCAATTGGGCTCACTTGCACTCAACTCAGCCCAACTAACCCAAATCTCACTCAGACCAGAAAGTTTACTTGTCCTATCATTGCTGTTCATTGTTTCTTGATCGAGAATCGGACGGCGTCGTTTAAAATCAGCTTATGTCCTTCGGCCGACTGTCCATTGAGTCCTTCGAAGAGAACTGCGTACTATTGAATTTGAAGATTTTGGTCTCTATTATACGCACTTCAGATAATTTTTTAAACTGCCCTGAGATTGGTTTCTTTGATTTTTCACTCTACCCAGTTAAGGGATGAATGATCAGGAACAACTGCCCGTCGTAATTGGAGGAATGGTGCTGGACATTGATGCCATTCCCTCTGTGCCTTCCAATCCCAGGACTACTACCCCTGGAAAGGTACGCTCAAGTTTCAATCTCTTTTCGGATGCTTCATTTTTGAGCACCTTTAATTTTCTTTTCTTTTCATCAAGAAGCTACTGATGACAACACTGTCGGCATTTATAGAGATTAGTACCTGATTTTGATTAGTCATGCTTTTATTCATCAACCTCGTCCTTTGATTCCAATGAGGTATTTGTACTTAGAGGGACTATTTAGATGAATCTAACTCTGCTAGATTGCAGGGGAGTTTCAAGCATGATCTTGTGAACTTCCATGCCATTTGACTTTGTAATGACTGGGTTGGTTTCTGCCTAGGCTTACAAAAATCTGGTGTTCTCCCATCCAGGTTAATTATGCACTGGGCGGTGTAGCTAGGAATGTTGCAGAGTGCATGTCCAAGCTTGGAGCAAAACCTTACATGATCAGTGCTGTGGGACTGGATATGGCAGGTCCATAATCTTTCTTTTTGATGTACTTTGCTCCTTTTATACTCAGGACTATAATATACGCCTTCCGTCCCATGAAATTGACGCCGACTAGTTTTGTGGGACGGGGGGAGTATAGTCTAAAACATTTCACTGTCTACTCCGAAAGAACTAACTTAACTGTACTTTTCAAAATCAGGGAACATGCTGTTGGATCAGTGGAAATCAGCGCAATTATGCACAGAAGGTAAACTTGTTTGTTCTTTTTTTTTTCTGTAATGTTTCTCATTGCATTGATTTCCAGATTTACCACAATGAGACTTTGCAAAGTAAAATAGGAATATCTGACCCGTGATAATGTGAAGCGAATTTTATTTTTTCTTACACTTATACTTTCACCTGCCAGAATGAAATTCATTTAATGAACTAGGAGACACCCTTGAGATTAGTAAGAGCTCGTAAGGGTTATACTTCTTTTTGCTATACCATTTCCAAGGAAGCCAATACCAGACTTACTTCCCACTTCTTACATTTTTTCACAGAAAGAAAATGCCAAGAGTGAACCTTTCAAGTGAACATCTTCATGCAAGTGTTTCATGATTTGGAAAGTAACCTTACTTTAACTAATGTGCAGATGATGCCGGATCAGTCTATTCTGGTGTTTCTTCGGGACATCAATGCTATAATTTACTAGAGTTAATCATGTTGTAACAAAATGGCTGAAGTTGCACAATGTGTTCCACAAGATGTGTAATGGTAACTTCTTTAGAGCGGAGATTTGTAGGAACAAAACAACATTAGCTATTATTTTATCTATCCCAAAATGATTATTTTGCTCCTTATACTAATTAAAATTTTATTTTGAGATGGATGGAAAAAATTTTTAGGATAGTGATTCTGCTAAAACAAATTCTATCATCCACAACAAATTTAGTGCAAAAAGACAAAATTATCCATATTATAAATCTATCACCATTTCTCCCCCATTCGCTAGCCCTTTTTCTCGGTCCTCCATACTTCCACCATTGTAATTCAATCTCCTGCCATTGCCAGCTCTCCATTGCCTTTACCTCTACTATTAATTCAATCCTTTATAACCTTTGATTTGTTCTAAGCAGCGGGAAGCTCCAAGTCTAATGAAGAAGGCTTTGCTTCGTAATGGAGTAATTTTAGATAAGCAGTAAGTTTGATTCCATTATGTACCAATAAAATTATGATCGAAATCCATCTAATTTAATAGGGATTGCTCACCAGATTGAGAGAGCAAATGGCATGATCTCCGATTATGCAAAAAAGAATATATAAAAATTTATTCAAGACCTGTTACGAACTTGTAATCTTGTATCTATATATTCCAAATTACTCGTTTGCAGCAATCGACGGTAGCGATGGAAAAAAAATTTGTGTGAAAAGGGGGATAAATTTGAGAGGTTTTATTAAAATTATTTTTTGTGTATTTTAGTTCCGAGTTTCTACAGCCACAGAATTTTTTAATTTGCGGGCAAAAATCAGGACAAGGGAAAAGAGGGAAGATAATGGACAAGCTCACTGGGTAGGCAAAAGTCGAGGAATAAAATTGTCTTTTTCTCCTTTTGTAGCGGTGAGGGGCGGAAGAGGGGATTGGCGGCTAGAAGTGAATGAAACTGTTTTTTGAAGATGGATAATTATGTCATTTCATCTTAAATTTTGTCCTGAATGCTAGAATTTCTTTTGACAGGATCATTGCCCATATTTTTATTATAATTTTTCCTTGATGCTTATTCAAACTTTCCCGGGCAATATTTTCGGATGTTAGGTTAGGTATGATAAAAGAAAAGAAATCAATACATATGTCCTATTAATCTACTTGGTTAAACTAAAATGAGATTTAATGACTGTTATTAGTAGGATGTATGACTAATTTCCCGGGTGCGGAATTTGGTAGAGATCTAGCACACGGGTCGTCGGCGGTTGTCCGGCGGCGGCAAGGGCCGGCCGGTGGTCGAGGACTAAGGTGGTGGAAGAAAATTGTATAAAAATGATTTTTAAAATATTTTTCAAAAGGTAAGTTAAAATGTTGTTTGAATAGTGTACTGGGTTTTGTATTTAAGAGTGAAAATGAGACAAAAAGCAAAATGAGAGGTTGTTCAAACAACCCTTAAGCGTCTTAATTCTCAGGTTTAAGAAACTAGAAGTTTGATAAACTAAAAAAGATTTTGAGGAAGGTAAACATAGTTTTCAAACTTCCGATCTGAATCTTAGAATCTTATGATCCAGCAATCCGGTATTAGGAAATCGATCCTAAATCTGATGGAATCCTTCTTTGTAGTGAGGTCTTATAAAATCCTTCAAAATCTCAATCCGAATCGTAGGATTCAACGATTCCATTCATTTTGTCGATACTTGTATAAGTTATTGATTTTGTTTAAAAGAGAGGGAAATTATTAAAAAAGTTATAAAAGTTGAAATTTTGAGTTGATGATACTTATGTGGGCACTAGTCTACTTCTCCATAAAATCAAACAAGAATTGAACTAACAAATTGAAACTCTCAATTTCAAAATTATTATAATATTTTAAATGGTTACGATCCCATCGTTCAGAATTCGAGCCGATCCTAAGACGTCAAAATAATCATGTGTGAAATCCGGATTTTGAAAACATTGAATGTGAGTATAAAAGATACTTTTAAAATCTGCACTCCCTGGCTTGAAATACCGAAGTGTTTATTCAACAAAGCAAAGCTAGAAGTTTAGCCTGAATCGATGTTTTGGCCAGTTTCTCTAAAAAAGTAAACTTACCGATTATGTGACCAAGAGCTTGTTTGGACAACGTTTTGTTTTAGTTTTTGATTTGGATTTGAGAGGAGATTTAAAAGGTAGTTTAGTTTTTTATTTAGAAAGTATTATAGTATAGTGACCATTTATGAAATTAAAATAGTTCAGCGACCAAAATGAATATTTTACAATAGTATGACGACCAAACACAAAACTTTACAATAGTTCAGTTACCAAACGTAACACTTTACAATAGTTTAGTAACCAAACGCAATGAAGACTTTACAAAAGTTCAGTGACCAAAACGAAGACTTTACAATAGTGTAATGACCAAACACAACATTTTAAAAGGCAAATTAAAAAGTTGTTTAGATGATTCTTTTTTTTTCATTGGGTTTTGTGTTTAAGAGGTAAAATGAATGAAAATGGAAAATGAGTTATTGGACAAACAAACACAACCATTCTAGATAGATTTTGGTTTTGTCGAAAAAGTTAAAACGGCCAACAGCGTAAAGCTGAAAGATAGGATTTTCTTAGTTAATTTCTATTCCACCTATCTTAAAATTATTGTCAATTTGTACTTTCATTTTTGGTGCAATAATTTTGGAACGAAAAGCATCAATTAGTACTACGTATCATTCACAACGGGCAGAAGCACATTACTTGATACTCCGAGATCAAACTACAAAGTCAACTATACCAAACAAGCTAGAGAGACAAATTTCTCCGGCAATGATAATAACAATTAAACAAAAGCGGCTACCAACTCCAAAATTAATGTCTTAAGCAGTGAACATTTCAACATTCATAACACCAATTTTCCTTGAGGGCATCCAGATATGTAATCTTTCAAACACTTTTCAGTTCATATTTAGCCTTGCATTAATGATCACCTCTCACAACATGGAGCTGCTTCAAACATTTCACCACTTGCTTCATATCGGGGCGGTTTTTCAGTTCAAGATCCACACACAGCCTTGCGAGCTTCGAGATTTTGGATCCATCAAGTTTATTAAAATGAGGATCTTCCCTGAAAGTCTGGTGAACGAAGGAAAATTCTCTCTGTTTCTTGAACAAACTTTTGAACTTTGGTTTTTCCAAGGGAAAATCTCTCCAAACTTCAAAGGTAAGGAAAAAGCAGCTGCCGTCAGGAAGTACATTATCATCAACCCTACGTTTATACAGAAGCTCACACAGTATAACTCCAAAAGCAAACACATCACCATATTCTCCCCTCCAACCTGCGGATAAAATTGAAAACATAAGTTGCCCACAAATGAAGACATAGTAATTCATCAATATCAAGCTTAAGTACTGTCGAGCACAATGAGATCCCACTTTACAAACTTTTCCACCTATGTGCAAGAGCTGCAACTAAATGATCAAACATTAGCACAGTCATAAGCCTTCTCCAATCTACTGATGAGTATAAGAAACATATCAGGATGCCTTTCGGATATTCAAACTCAACAAAAATAGCAACGTTGAAAATTTCCACCCCGAGGTTAGGTTAGGTAGTCCCCCAGCAAAATTGGTGCAGTTAAAGACACAATAATAACACTGGCAAGGTGATTCTCCAACTAGAATACGGAATAAATTGGAACTGTAATCTAGAACCAGTCATCAAATTACTTACATGAGCCCAACCATACTGGATCAATGTAGCCATTGGATCCATACTCCAGTCGGTCCGTTGAGTACTGTGGACCCTTGAGATCCTCAGCCAGAGCGAGATTGAAATAGTTGAACAGAATGGGATTCCAATCCTAAACAAGAATAGGGTATTAACCTCAGCAAAAAGAATTGAATAAATCAAAAGCCGCATGGAATTTCACCATACTAAACCTTGTCAAGCATTATGTGGGCAGCAGAAAGATCCTGGATCAGATATCTTGGCTCATCATGAATCAGAAACCTAAGAAGCTGAGCAAGTCTGGTGGCTACCTTAACTCTTTCTTGCCATTCGAACTCCTCTGCTAGCACATGTAAAGAAGTAAAACAATCAGCATCTACCAGCAGTGATATAAAAAGATAAATACATGTAAAAATTAACATATATGCACGATTCTCATATCAGTACCTTAATCCCCTAACTTCATAATGCACTTCAGTTTTTCAAAATTATTATAGCTTCAGTTTCTGGTAAATTATATGACCCGAAAATGCATGTGCTTAAGTGAATTCAAATTTTAAGAAGTAATGGCCATCCTATTAATTACTGGGACAGCAGCAAATACTGGGCCTAGACCAAATAAGCTTCGGTTAAAGGTATTCTCAATATTTTTACAAGTAAATTACATTGCTACATAAACAAACCTTCACGAATAAAGTGGCGCAGAGTATTTACTGAGTGAAGATCATAAACAACACCAAGGAAATTGGAAGTGTCTTCACGGGCATGCGCAATCAACCTTGGCAAGTAGTCACTAGAAGTTGCTTTAGTGGATGTCAGAAAACCTTTTTCAAACTCGAAATTGTGTACAAGGTCTTCATAAAATTTGTGCGCAGCAGCAGTACCAGAATTTACCCCTGTTTCCTCCCACACCTTAACCGTCACATTTCGTTCCCCTTCAATCCCCTTCCATCCTTGAGGAGGAACCTTACCACGATACAGCCTGCAGAATTGAGCCTTGCAAATAAGATTCTCGGGACTGAAATTGTTCGTCAAATCAATGAGATCCTGTTCCGCAACTGTCAGAGCTTTGTTTGTCAAATCAAGGAGATCCTGTTTCGGAACTGTCAGAACTTCAGTACTTGGAGCCTCTTCATCAGATGGCGGCATCCTTCATGCCGATGAGAATTACAAAAAAAAAGATAGCCCTCTTAAAATTATGAAAAGAAATACTTTCCAGGATCACGATTAACAAAAACACAATCATAATTCACAAAATAGCTAAAGGAGAATCCTACATATAGGCACTCTCTAATCTCTACGTCTAAACTAGGGTTTGAACCGCAATTAAAATTAGGGAAAACCGTTGCTCAAAAAAACATAAAATTTGCCATAAACACTGATCGTTATTAGAATATCTATTGCGTTAAACAAATCGGGGAGAGACGGGGGGAAGGATTCGTGAATCCAAAGATCATACCTGTCAGAATTCGACGTTTCCTTTAGCTTTAGGGAGTGGAAGATGACCTAACTGACGTTTATTTCGAAGGGTAAACAATTATAAGGAGCGTGTACAATACGCAATTATAAGAGTGGGCCTTCTCTTCTGTTTTTTTTTTTTTAAAGAAAATTTTTGTGATGCCTATAGGTTTTTTTTTTTTTTTTGTGAAGGTAGATATATACATTAGCACCAAACAATGAAACTCCTTTACATATCAGTTTTTTTTTTTTTAATAAAACACACCATGCATTAAAGAATTAAACAACAAGAGGTACATCATTACATAACTGCTTAGCTAATTGATCTACTCCAGCTAGATCATTTCTAGAGACCTTAATAATCTTACAAGACAGAACCTATCCATTATACTAATAACATCATGACTAATACCTTTAACTTCTACTGGAAAACTAGCAAATTTGTATCGAATTTCTGTTAACAAACTACAATCAGTAAACACTCGGCATGAGTGCACATTGAGAGTTAGTGCTTCCTGTAAAGCATATAGCAAGCCCAGAGCTTCAGACTGAAAAAAAGAAATAGAGGCAAACCTTAGACCATTACGGTTGATCAATTGGCCTTGCCAATCCCAAATTTCCCAAGATGCTGAACCTCGGCGACGCTGTGCAGAAAAGATCTATCCACATAGATAAGAAAAGTGCATGTAGCTATCATACCATCATTGTTCTTAGCCAAGGAGGTCGTACTCTCACTTTCAGACACACCAAGAATTGGTGAACTTGTCGACAAAAGCAAATTATGAGCCTCCAATGCACAATTCCATGTCACAAATGGACTTTCAATAATGTCATCCCAGACTCCTTTGTTCATAACTGTCCATATACTTGCATGATATGAAATGACAATTGAATAACGATGATATCTGGAACTTCCAGTAGCCAGTCAGTTGTGACAGTTCACATTCTAAGAACACATATTCTTTGATTTCTAATGCTTTGCCACACCTGCTACACAATGCTGGAGTAATTAACCCTCATCTCATTAGATTTGTGTAGTAGGGAAAGCATTGACAATTGAGCACCACAACAACCATTGATCTTTGGCTGGGGTCTTATTTCTCCAGAAAAGCTTCCAGCACTCTAGGCTGAGGTTCTTCACAACTCTTGATGAGGAAGCAGTAGTGGTGACTGAAGATTGCTCCTTTTGCTTAGCCTGTTGCAAACTATAGTATCCACTTTTCACAGTATAGCAACCATCATGAGTATGTTTCCAGTACAATTGATCCTCAGAGGAAGTCTGCTAAGAAGGAATGTAAATTGTGAGGATGTGATTAAGCACATAAGGGGTAAATATTACATGGAGAAGAGGCAGCCTCCAGGATCTAGTACCGTCCAACAGATCTTTCACTCTCAAACCTGTGGACCTGCTATCAAGATCAGAATGTGCCAGAGGATTTGAGGAGTTGGGGATCCAGTCTTCCTCAATCCAGATACGATCACCTTTTCCAACCTTCCATTTAAGATGCTTACGCAACAAATCTCTTCCCCACAATATACCCTTGCAGCCCCAAGAAGATCTTGTTGGCTGTGCATGAAAGAAAATTTTTTCTAGGACAATATTTTTTCCGAAGAAAAACGGAAAAAAGAGACTTCTTATTGCTAATAGAGCTTGATTCATTTCCTTAGCTGTTCGTAAACCCCAAGCACCATGAAACTTAGACGGACACATAAAGTTCCAAGACTTCCAGTAAATGCCTCGCCCTTCTGAGTCCCCAGTCCATATGAATTTGGCAATGATTCTGTCAATCATCAGAAGTCCAAAAGGGAAGTTTAAAAGGCCCATCATATAAATAGGTTAGCGCTGCCAATGTATGTTTGGCTAACACTACTCTCCCCATCATTGACAATGATTTAGTTTTATGAGAAACCCAAAATTTAGACTGACACAAGAATCATTTTTGTGAACTCGAATCTGCTAGCTACAAAATTTTGAGAGACTGCTATGTGCCTCACTACGTAACCATTACAATTACATCATTAACCATCAGAAAATGGGAAAGTACTGCTTCAAGATCTTTGCTTCTGTAGCTGTGCACTTCTTCTGCTTCCAATATTTAAACCGAATCAATACCTCCTGCTGAACCTTTTGAATAAGTCATCAGGAGCTCTTGAAACTTTCTCAAAATGTCTTTTGTTTCTTTCTTTCCAAAGGAAGTATATGCAAGCTACAAAAGCAGCAAGAAAAATCTTTCTTCTTAGCACCTGACCTTTCCACATGTTCTCTCATTGCTTTAACCAAACCTGCTTCACTGGACTGATCATTCTGCAATGCAACCAGCATCTCAGCAAAGCTATCAGGTCCCTGGCATACCTACATTGAAAATACAGATGGTCTACAGTTTCAGCTTCATCCAAGCATAACAGCTGCCAGTGATAGGAATCTACATATTGGCTAGTCGATCCTTAGTGAGGAGCTTGCCCTTGCAGGCTAACCAAAAAATAAAAGCATGCTTAGGCATGTTGTTGCTTGCCCAGATGCACTGAGTAAGTTTTGCCTGCGAACCACCAACCATAAGCCGTTGATATCCCGAGGCTGCACATTGCTCTTTCGCTTTAACTGTTAGCCTTCAAATCCATCCTTTACTATATCTCTTACCTTCAATAACTGTTTCCATTAGAGTCACTTTTTGGTTGCATATCCCGAAAATGTGCTTGCTTAATGTAAACACCATGAACCCATCGAACACATAGTGCTTCCTTATTCACAACCAGCTGCCAAACCTGCTTAGCAACAACAGCAATGTTTCAAACTTTGGCATCTTTGATTCCAAGTCTATCGGCTGATTTCTTCTTGCAAACTTCTTCCTAGCTGACCAGTGACATAGCCCTTCCCTCAGCACTGCCATTCCAAAAGAACTTTCGACAAACCCTATTCAGAGTTGAATAAGATGGTAACGGTGAACCACTGTAATATGGTATGTATAGGTGAGTCTAAATTGGTGAAGGACAGAGGAGAGAAATATCAGCAGCAGTACTGGAGTGGTTGGCAATGGGAGACAAATTACCGAAGCAATGAACGAGGTAGAATCCTGCTATTTTTGGATGATAGCATGGAAGTGCAAGTGAATTATCAGTCGGCTCAATATTTACATTTTTTGGTAAAAATGAAAACAAATAATGTATATTTCCATTTTACGGGAATTTATGCCTCGAATGATCAGGAAAAGAGGAAAGAGTTATAAAATGACCTAATTGGGATATTAATAAATGTTAAAATACTGTGGCTTATCATGGAAGATTATAACAACGTTCTTAAGCCAGAAGAGAAGATGTGAGATAAACCTGTGTTACAATCAGAATATGAAGACCTTCAGTTGTGTTTGGAGGAATGTGGATTGATAGATCTTAAATACACGGGGAAGGTTTATACATGGTGCAACCAAAAATTGGGATCTGAACGAGTGTATTCTAAGCTGGATTGAGCTCTGGTTAATGAAGAGTGGGTGGATGATTTTCTAGATTCAAGGGCCTCGGTGAAGATGGAAGGGATCTCTAACCATGCTCCTATGGTTGTGGACATTTATACAGAGAGACAGCAACAACATAAACCATTCCGCTACTTTAATATGTGGAGTTTGTCTGACAAATTTCAGAGCATCGTTGAAAGCAATTGGAACCAGAAAGTGAAAGGAACGAAAATGTTTTAAGTGTTGAGGTAGGAGCATCCTTCAAGTTAATGTTTCGAATTTGAGGAGTTTGAAAATAAGATGAGTTCGGATTTCCCAAATCTAAAAAATATATATTTGCGGTAGAGTCCATATAAGATTTTTAGATTTCTAAAATCTGACTTCTTAATATTGATTAAACTTTTGAATTTCGGTATTTAGAAAGTCCACAAGAAAAAGAAAAAAGAAAATTCAACTGTCCACCTAAAATTTACTACTATTTAAATTTTTTCTTTCCCCCGAAGTTTCCCCATCAGTTTTGTTCCTTGGCCCTTGATCAATCGGACGTCGTCGTTTAAATCAGCTCATCTCCATCGTCATACTCCTAGTCTCCAACTACTACTACTCCACTGAGTCCCTTCCAAGAGAACTGCGTACTATTAACTTATTTCCCGGCAACGATCGGATCTGCTCGGATTCTTCAATCATCTGTAACATTTGTAAGAAGTATTTCTTTCAGGGTTTTTCAATAATCAGTAAGCTTAAACGAACTTTCTTTCAATAATCAGTATTTGCTGTCTGTATACGTTAAATTTGAAGACTTTGCTCACCGTTATACGCAATTCAGATTTTTTTTTAACTTCCCTGAGATTGGTTTCTTTGATTTTTCACTCTACCCAGTTAAGGGATGAATGATCAGGAACAACTGCCCGTCGTAATTGGAGGAATGGTGCTGGACATTGATGCCATTCCCTCTGTGCCTTCCAATCCCAGGACTACTACCCCTGGAAAGGTACGCTCAAGTTTCAATCTCTTTTCGGATGCTTCATTTTTTAGCACCTTTAACTTTCTCTTCTTTTCATCAAGAAGCTACTGATGACAACACTGTCGGCATTTATAGAGATTAGTACCTGATTTTGATTAGTCATGTTTTTATTCATCAACCTCGTCCTTTGATTCCAATGAGGTATTTGTACTTAGAGGGACTATTTAGATGAATCTAACTCTGCTAGATTGCAGGGGAGTTTCAAGCATGATCTTGTGAACTTCCATGCCATTTGACTTTGTAATGACTGGGTTGGTTTCTGCCTAGGCTTACAAAAATCTGGTGTTCTCCCATCCAGGTTAATTATGCACTGGGCGGTGTAGCTAGGAATGTTGCAGAGTGCATGTCCAAGCTTGGAGCAAAACCTTACATGATCAGTGCTGTGGGACTGGATATGGCAGGTCCATAATCTTTCTTTTTGATGTACTTTGCTCCTTTTATACTCAGGACTATAATATACGCCTTCCGTCCCATGAAATTGACGCCGACTAGTTTTGTGGGACGGGGGGAGTATAGTCTAAAACATTTCATTGTCTACTCCGAAAGAACTAACTTAACTGTACTTTTCAAAATCAGGGAACATGCTGTTGGATCAGTGGAAATCAGCGCAATTATGCACAGAAGGTAAACTTGTTTGTTCTTTTTTTTTCTGTAACGTTTCTCATTGCATTGATTTCCAGATTTACCACAATGAGACTTTGCAAAGTAAAATAGGAATATCTGGCCTGTGATAATGTGAAGCGAATTTTATTTTTTCTTACACTTATACTTTCACCTGCCAGAATGAAATTCATTTAATGAACTAGGAGACACCCTTGAGATTAGCAAGAGCTCGTAAGGGTTATACGTCTTTTTGCTAAACCATTTACAAGGAAGCCAATACCAGACTTACTTCCCACTTCTTACATTTTTTACAGAAAGAAAATGCTAAGAGTGAACCTTTCAAGTGAACATCTTCATGCAAGTGTTTCATGATTTGGAAAGTAACCTTACTTTAACTACTATGCTATACATTAAGCAAGAAGGTTTAATTGTCAGACTGACCTGTTTTTGCTGATTATTAGGCATTAGAATGCACCAAGATATTGAGACAGCTGTCGTGTGCAATATCTTCGATGGTGATGGTGAATTGGCTGCTGCTGTGGCTAGTGTAGGAGCAATTGTGAGTTCATTATTCTTTTTACAAAGAAGCTCAATTCATGGTTTAAAATGTAGATTCCTCTTTTGAATGTTCTTCTGTTGTGGAAGCAGGAAAAATTTGTAACTCCAGATTGGGTTTGGAAGTTTAATAGCAAGATTTCAGCTTCTCCTGTCCTGGTACTTGATGCAAATTTAAGTCCTGCAACACTGGAAGCTGCTTGTCAATGTATGATTATCACTTACTTCTTTGTGTCTTTTCCCCACTCTCTTTGCTTTATCACTCTGTGCTTGTGGTGGCCGCAAATATCTGTGAATATCTTTTTATGTTTCATGCTGGCTTATCCAACCAAGTATTGCTTTTACATGTCGCACTAATTGAATCTAGCCATAAAAGCATATAAATTGAAGAGCGGTTTTTCCTCCTTTTTTTAATTTTTTTAATTTTTTTTTTTTGCGTTTCATTTGACGAGTGTTACCTTTGATTCTCAGTGGCAGCAAAATCAAATACACCAGTGTGGTTTGAGCCTGTATCAGTTGTAAAATCTAAAAGAGTTGCCACAGTTGCCAAGTATGTGAGTTCTGAGACCCTCGATAATCTGTAAGCAGATTAGAGATAGGCCTACATTTCCTTAACTAATTTTGTACTATTATACATATTGCTATTATGTTAAGAAAAAGTAAAATTTTAAAGATGATATGAATTGTTCAAATGATTGGTTGGTGATGTTGCAGATCCTTAAAACATTGAGAGACTAGCCCATTATGCCTTTTTGAAAAGAGAATATTTGATTTATTTTCTCAAAAATTTCTAGATTCTTCTTGAGGATAACTCATCTTTTCACCCTAGCCGTAGTTAATGCACTTTTCTTCAATTTGCTGCAAATAAAGACAGTTTAATAAGATTTAGAGTAGCATAGCACAAATTTTTTGGGCTCAGGTCAGCCTTAGAGTTAATAGGCATTTGACCTTAAAAATAGCACCTATACTTTCTTGTTGTTGTTGTTTTGGTATATGACGCTCCCGTGAATAGCACTTGTTTTTTAAGAATAATGGACGCAATATGTTAAAGTCATCTTGGCCCTGATTGTAGATATTATGTAGGTAACTTTTGCTTCACCTAATGAAGATGAGCTAATAGCCATGGCAAATGCTCTTTCCTCTGTGGATGTATTTTCGCCAATCAAAAGAGAGGGTAGTGGTATCAAGCTTCCTGTAAGAGATTTATTTCAAATTCTTAAGCCGGCGATCTCAGTTTTGCTACAGAGAGGTATAAAAGTGGTCGTTGTGACACTCGGATCAGATGGTGTATTCCTCTGCTCTAGAGAAAAGCATGACCTCAAGAAACTTAACTTCAGCAGAAACCAGACTCATTCTTTCAGTGGTAAATTATATGAAACTATTCATTCAATCTGCTGCCCAGAGTGGGATTTTAGCATTCCGAAGTGCAAGACCAGCTTTTTTGCCGTACATCTGCCTGCACTTTCTGCATCAGTAATGAGGCTTACTGGAGCTGGGGATTGTTTGGTTGGTGGAACATTAGCTTCTCTTTGTGCCGGTTTAGATGTCATGCAGAGTGTTGCTGTTGGGATTGCTGCAGCAAAAGCTGCAGTGGAGGTCGAAAGCAATGTCCCCGCGGGGTTCAATCTAGACAAAATTTCAGGTGTGCATCCTAAAACCTAATTCAGTTTTGCCTGTCTTCATTGTTTGCACTTCCTTTCCTTTCCTTTCTGGACTGATCCAGTTGCTAAAGGATATTGTATTTAAATGTTGTACTGGTGTGAGGGGATCCTTTCCTTCCGTTAGATATATAGTCCCCTTTAGTCATTTTCCTCGGTTCTTCATGCAGCCTTGCCTTTCCCCAGCTCCAATTGCACAAAAAAATTGATGCACTTTTGGTTCTTGTATCAAATTGTTGTACAAAAATGCACTGAATGATATTTACATTAATAATCTGCATCACCACCCTTGTAATCCTTAATCAAGTTTTTATTGGGTCATCAGAGATTCTTGTTTTTTCGAGTTAGGAAAGAGCAAGGGTGCGACTAGCCACCTATGTTTTCATTACTACTGCATTTCTTAAGTCAGTTTGGAAACTGTCACGGTTTTGATTCCCTATATGCAGCTCTCTTTAGAGTTATAAGGAAAACTGGGTTACTGAATTAACACGCCCTGAATTTCCTAATGTGCAGATGATGCCGGATCAGTCTATTCTGGTGTTAGATTCCTCTTCGGAACATCAATGCTATAATGTACTAGAGTTAATCATGTTGTAACAAAATGGCTGAAGTTGCACAATGTGTTCCACAAGATGTGTAATGGTAACTTCTTTGGAACGGAGATTTGTAGGCACAAAACAATGTTAGTTATTATTTCATCAGTAGTCCCAATATGATTATTTTGCTCATTATACTAATTACAATTTCATTCTGATATGGATGGAGAATTTTCTTTTTTATTAAAATTTTTCCTTGATGCTTATTCAAACTTTAAATGAGATTTAATGATTATTAGTATTTAATAGGGCGTATGTACTAATTCCCCGGACGCGTAATTCCCCGTACTTTTGACACTTTCTAATGATTGTTAAAAAAAAAATATACTAAATTCGTTGAGCTTAACTTTCTAAATACTCTTCCAGTCTTCCTCAAACAAACGAAATTCACAACTTGTAATATATTTCTATTATTAATCCCTTCAAGAAATTAGAGTTAACAGGTCGAGAAATTTGGATTACAGTTTTACACCACTTAAAGTTGACGAATAGAGCCCGCGTAAATCTGGCCGGAAATTTCCTTTCTTGGCGGCATCTCCACTTTTATTAGCCCTAAAATCCCTCCGCCACCATTCACCCAGCGATCAGAGCCTTTGTCGCCACCTCCAGTAATCAACGGCGACATCGCTCTCTGTTTCACCACCGCAACGCTTCCGCCTCCCGCTCCCTCCAACCAACTTCCGGCGCGTCTTTCACTGCCGGCATCCCCAGTCACCCACTCAACCACCCCCGGCACGGCAATCTCTTTCGGTGACGCAATCCTTCACCTTCGTCGACCCCCGGCTCTCCCGGTAGAAAGTAAGGGTTTGTCTTGTTTTTCTGTTTTAAATTCCCCTTAAAATTATCCTCAGATGATAAGAGCATTGGTGAAATGAGCTTATACATAGTCACGGTTCTGAATTTAAGCATTTTGCAGGGGTTCTAATTGCGTCGTTGAAAGTTTTTAAGACCCGTTTCGTTGACGATGATGAACTCTTGATATAACTCTACTGTTGATCGCGTGAAGAAAACCGCAATCTTCATAACTTGTTGTAAAATTGGTTGCGGGCTTTTGCTTATGAGTCATGGCTATGCTTGGATCGAACATACCGAGTGAGGTGATTGTCTTAAAACATTGTTTCACTTTTACTCTGTTTTTGCTGTTGTTAGTTCGGGTTTTTTTGCATCCGCTTTCCTGGTCAATGTTTCCAGCTAGTTCCAGATTATTATGCATCCCAATTATGAATGATCTTGTGTGTTGTGCAGGTTGGGTTAAAGTTGCTTCTCTGCCCCCTCGGTTCTAATGTTGTCATCCGAACAGCATGGTAAGCTGTCAATTTTCCTTTTTGAAGTTCTAAATTCAAACTTTAATATGCTTAGGTTTAACAACTGGTGTTAACCTTTTATATGTGATTTGAGTTTCCTTTTATATGTGATTTAAGTTTCAGTCTGGTCTCCCAGTAAATTTGCTAAATGTTCTCCGCTTTCGTCTTAAGATTCATGTTGCCGAAACTTTCTCTTTCCTGCTGAGTAGTATGGTTCCACTTCTATGAATTTTGTATTGTTTCATGCCTTTACATTTGGAGGATTATGTAGCTAGATGCTATGTCTTGATACTTTTTCTGTCTTGTGTAGCTGTACTGTGGGAATTGGTTTACCTGTTTACTCGACATTCAAAGCCATTCAGTCAAGAGAACAAAACGAACAACAAAAATGGCTTATATACTGGGCAGGTTCGTTGGTGATTTTGGATCTAGTTTTGTGGAAAGAATAAGTTTTTTGGTTCCCTGTTCACCCACGCTTTCAGAATTAGTATTTCACTTTTACGTTTGCATGAATGGCATTTTTTATATTGGAATCCTGTTAATAATGATGTGTGCGTTGGATGATTCCATATTTGAATTTGCTTGGTCTGGTTTATGTGGAGGGATAATCTGAGTAGGTTTTTGTTCTTGCAGCTTATGGATCTTTTAGCATTGTTGAGGCAGTGACAGATAAATTTCTTTACTGGTATCCTTCTTTCCAGCTTAACTTTCTTTTGATTGTATTTTGGGTTCTTTTTGTGGCTGCTTGTGGTTTCTTGCTTGTTTAAACAAAAGATGGTTTATTTTTCTGGTGTCTGTTTGGGCAGGTTTCCCTTCTACTACCACATGAAGTTCGCATTTCTTGTGTGGCTCCAGTTCCCTTCTGCGGATGTAAGTTCTTATTTAGCAAGCCATTATGTTCTCCCTTGATAGTGTCTCCTCGGGGACCTTCACCAATGTAGATCAAGTGGCTTTGGGATTTTCACCATGTTGTTCTTTTAGAGCAAATTATATACTTCTAGTGCAAATGATGATGTAATATGATCATGGAAGTATGATATTCATTTCCAATTGCATCTCAAAGTGAAGTTTTGGGAACTCGTTTTGAGGAAGTGGGAGAAGTTAAAAGCATAAAAAATTTTAAGCTGCACTACTTCTGTTCTCTTATGTTGGATTGTTCTATTACTTTGTTGCTTTAAAGTTCTAAGACTTGTTCTTTAGCTTCATCTGATGGAAAGCTGAAGTTTTGACTTATTCAATTTCAGGTTTTCATGCTTTTGTAAATAATGCTAATGCACTTCTTTTGCCAATCTGCAGGGGTCAAGGCAATTGTATGTACGTTATTTGCGCCCATTCCTTAGGAAGCATCAAGCTAGGTTTGACCAACTTGTGGGAGTTCTGCAAACTGAAACGGTAAAACTCTTGTAATTTGTTCTTTTTTTTTTGTGTTATGTGAATAAATTACGTGGATGTGGAGTTGTTTTCTTGGTTCTATCTTCCGCTTAGACAAGGAGATTATCCTCTTGTTGATTTTTTAGGGGATTTGTATTGTTCTCGAATAAGGTTTGCAACTACTACAATCATTTATTGGTTTTGCTTTTCTGTGAAATTGTTGTAACATGTTTAGTTAAAGTTCCATCTTATTAGGAATTGAGCTATTCTTCTCCTGGTTCTATCAATCATTTGTGGATGATCAGTAGAATCCTTTTATGGAAATGCAGGCTAAATTTGCTAATGCCTACAAAGCAGAATTGCAGTTAGCGAAGGCACTGCTCTCAAAGATTTTCATATCAGGTATGAGTCAGTCTATATGATTTTATATTTTCTGTTTGATAAACAAGTTTGGTCTCTTTCAAACTTAATGGGATGAATATAACACAAGATTTGTTCATTTGAAGTTCTCTAAAATTTTTTTCTTCTTCCACTTTGCTGCTTTAGCTCGGGATATTGTGCACCCTGGGCAACGGATTAATGGTGCTATTGAAGGTCCAACTGCGGAAGAAGAGAGTTCGGAATCGGACGACGAGGAAGATTGAAGAATTTTGCCATCTTCCACCCACAAGGAGAGGATGTCACTGTACTTGCATAATTTACAGTGAGACTGCTGGATACTTCTTTTGAAGCATTTGACAGCTGAGTTATTTTCATAGATTAGGTCGTAGCAACTCTACATTACAAGCTAAATAAGCTAGACTCGTTAGTCATGAAAAGTTTGATGTGTTTCAAGACATGGATTTATTCGTTCATTTCGCTGATTTGGTCTTTGTTGTTGGCCTGTGAATAGTGTGTATTCTACCAAGTTGTATATACTACTGAATACTTCATCGATGACAATATAAAACATGGTGATGAAATTTTTGGTGGTATACTGCGGTCGAAGGTCTTTCAATATTTGGCATTCAGTCTATTTGACAAAAATAATTAAGGGTGATGCTCAGAATGTACACAAAGGAGTAGTTATTTATATTTAGAATTTAGCAACACGTACATAGATGTTGACATATACAGTATACACCACAGAAGTGAAAAAAGGAAATGCAGGAGCAATATTGATTATTTATTCTAGTGCATATTGGGAATTATGGAAAGCAAAAATTAAGATAGATGTTAACACATAATGCAGGAACCTTTCCAAGAAGAGGACAACAGTCAGCATTTGATTCACAGGTTTCAAGTAAGCCAGAAGCACAACTAGAGGTCTGAACTTGAAGTGGCGTTCCCCCGGCGGTGCCTGTGATCGTGGCCCGAGCCTCCGCCATCTTCACCATTTCTGTTGCCGGAAACTGCCATAATATAGCTGCACATAAAAAATATAAGGGTGTGAATCCGATAAGAAGAAGGAAAAAAGAAGACTTCAAAAAAATTGTCACTTGTGTGTGGTATTGAATTCGGAGAAGAGAGACTTACAAATTGTTATAACAGCTAAGAAAACCGCAATCGTTGAAGCGTTCACCATACCTTCTTCTTTTTCTTTTTCTTTTTTTTTCCTTTTTTTTTAGGGGTTATAGATCTTCTGAATGAATTATTTTGTTGTTGAGAACTTGGTTTATATACACAAGTATACAACATATTTACATATCTGCTGCCTGTATTTTTTGGATCCATTAAATTAAGGAAATGGGGTTTTTCTTTTTTTTTTAAGGCATCCATCCATTTACCAAAAGATGTCGATTGGAGATTGAGCAACTCTTTAGTCCTAAATAAAACAATGTGAATGTGTGATTAGCAATGTTAGGTGAATTGTATATTTGTTATTGCAGTTAATACACATCAAGACATCACTTCTTTATGCATTAAATATCCCTTATTTACGTACTCGGAATTTATTTTGAATGTGGAATTGATAGAAACTTTGCCTAGGATAACTACAGTTTTTTAAATGACTTCTCACACACATAATCCTTAGTTTATTGAATCTCATTAATCTGGAGGTTGAATTTTTTTGTCCTCGATATTTTTATAAGTTCTTTGTTTTTGTAATTCATTATGAACAACCAGTCAACTCCACTAATGAGTTAATTACTTGAAATCCCCTAAGGTAGTAATCAACAAATTGTTGACCAAATTTAGCAGTGAAATCAATCTTAATTTTTTTTTTTAATTTTATAAAAAGTTAAATGAGTAAAATCTTAGATTTAATGCTGATTTATGCTATGTACTTATCGAGAGACTTAATGTTAGTCAACGTAATTATCCGGCATGGAAGAAAAAAAAAAAAAAGAGTCGTGTTTCCTAAATCAAAATCGACGAAACAAATACGCCATAGTTTTGGGATGAATCGATAGTTATCTCAAACTTGTACGACCATTAATAAAAGCATTACAAACTTTAAAGGAGGTCTTAGTAAATTTTAAAGTATCAAAGGATCTAAATATATAATAATGAGCTATTTAGTAGTTGACTTTCCTCCATTACAGTTACATTTCCCACTCGGTCTCTCGTCCCCTGTGATTTAAAAACTTTAGTCAACTTTCCCACTCTGAAACGGAGATTCAGAGTCGCCGGAGCAGGTTTCCGAGGCGGCGTTTACCAGTGTGAATGTTGATTAAGAATTTGAGATCAAAGAAGCCCAGCTCTAAATGCTTATTTGAATGGGTATTTCTTCCTGAGAACTGAGAACCCGTGTATTCTTCCCCAAAAGTCCAGAGTGAAAAAAGGGTAATATTTAAATACTGTGTAAACGAAAGGATGATCGGGGGTCGAAGTCGTAGAGATGGCCCAATGATGAGAAGCATTGGGCATCGATCAAGAATTGCAGTGGCCATTGCAGTGGGAGTGTTCTTTGGATGTGTTTTTGCCTTTCTGTATCCTCATGGCTTGTTTGTTTCGATTCCCAGGGTTCATTCCAGAACTTCCATTAGGCAGGTTAGTGGCTTTCCTTTTTCTTCCTTGGATTTGTGTTTTTGAAATCTTGATTATGCAATCCATTGGCTTCGACTGCATTTTCTCTTTTGCAATTATTATTATTATCATTCTGGAGAAAGGTGACAGTAGTTGACCCAGAATCTTGTCCTTCAACATGAAAAAAACCTGTCTTTACAGAAGTAATTGATGACTTGTTCTTTTATCCCCAAGATTGGAAGTAGCTTTTCAATAGATAGGCCAACTTCCGTTCTTTTTAGCGAATCAGGGATTTGATTTTTAGCTGGGAAAGAATTTGTTTCCAAGAGAGTCAACTCGTTTCTTTCTCATGAATTACCTGGCCTAGAGGGCATTTCTTTGAAATCTGATGTTAAATGTAAACCGTTCGATTCTAAAGTACTATGTTTAAGTTTTATCAACAGCCAATAATATGCTCGAGGGATTCACAGGGAGGCCTCGTTTGTGTTTTGATATTACTTGGACACTATGATCTTTTCCCTCATTCATTATTTGCACTCAGGCTAATTTTGATTTGCTCTTTTTTTATACTCTCAAAGTGTAATCAGAATAAATCGAAGAAATTGACTGTCACGGATACCCATACACGAGTCCAGTTGAGTGAATAAATACCAGCTCCCAAGTGGACACTCTTACTTTGAAATGGGCATTGAGCATTGGCATATGCTGCTAAATATTAGTTTCCTATTTACATTCAGCTATTTGTATGTCATTCAATGTTGTGATTTTCTACTCTATGATATTCTAGTTGCCTACTTACACATGTACATGCCTTTTTCTTTTGTTAGCTCAACTCATCTTCCTGTGAGTCTTCTCAAGGCATCCATATGCTGAAGTTAGAATTTGTGGCAGCTTCCGAAGAAAATGCCAAGTTGAAAAATCAGGTCAGGGAATTGACAGAAAAGCTGCGTTTGGCGGAGCAAGGAGAGGATAACGCACGGAAGCAGGTTTTGGTGTTGGGTAAGCAGCAAAAAGCTGGTCCTTTTGGGACGGTAAAGAGTTTGAGAACAAATCCTACTGTCATTCCTGACAAATCTGTGAACCCAAGATTGGCCAAAATATTGAAAAAACTTGCTTTGAGGCAGGAACTTATTGTCGCCCTAGCAAATTCAAATGTAAAAGATATGTTGGAAGTTTGGTTTAGCAGCATTAAGAAAGTTGGAATACCCAATTATTTGGTGGTTGCTTTGGATGAAGAAATCGCCAACTTCTGTCGGCAAAATAATGTTCCCGTTTATGAGAGAGATGCAGATGAAGGAATTGACTCTATTGGGAGAACAGGTGGAAATCATGCTGTCTCAGGGTTGAAATTCCACATATTGAGGGAGTTTTTGCAGCTAGGATACAGTGTTCTTCTTTCAGATGTTGATATAGTATACTTGCAGAACCCTTTTGACCATCTTCATCGTGACTCAGATATCGAGTCCATGACTGATGGCCATGATAACCAAACTGCTTATGGGTATGATGACGTATTTGATGAACCTTCAATGGGTTGGGCTCGGTACGCTCATACAATGAGAATGTGGGTATATAATTCCGGTTTCTTCTTCATAAGGCCGACAATCCCCTCAATAGAGCTTCTGGACCGCGTTGCTGGAAGGCTTTCTCGAGTAAAGGCTTGGGACCAAGCAGTCTTCAATGAGGAACTTTTTTTCCCTTCACATCCTGGATATGATGGACTTCATGCCTCCAGAAGGACTCTGGACTTTTATCTCTTCATGAACAGTAAGGTCCTTTTCAAGACAGTCAGGAAAGATGCAAAACTCAGGAAGTTAAAGCCAGTTATTGTTCATTTGAATTATCATCCCGACAAGCTAGAAAGGATGAAAGCTGTTGTAGAGTACTATGTTAATGGGAAACATAATGCCCTAGAACCCTTTCCTCTTGGTTCAGAATGATAATGTTTGCTACGCTTGACTAGATCTAATAGAATACTCATTTCCTTTATGTTTGTTTGCACAAGTTCTAAAACATTTCTTCCTCAGGATCTGTATTGGTTGGTCTAAACTATTCTCTTTGAAATGTAACACCATCACTTGAATTTTACAGCAACTTCCTCACTATATATGTCTAGCGTTTGGCAATTCGAGCATTACTCACTTTTAAGTGATTTATAGTTGATAAGTTGAGTTTGAAAACATAAGCACCCTGGCTTTGTTTAGAAAAACCAGCCTAACAGCGGTGATCTATGATTGCTGCTGGTCTGCACTGTATACTGATCACGATAAGTTCGCGTTTAAACCTTTTCCTAGGTTATCAGAACAAAAGGACAGTTTTTGCAGCGATTTTCAAAGGCATATATGATGCCCAAGGAAATCCTAAGGCCCGAGGTAGTCAAACAGATAACAATTACTCTAGGCTGCAGGGTTTTTCGCTTACTTCAATTATACACTTTAGCATGTCCCGTCCATAAAATCTACTAGTCATCTGGTTGATTTGATGCTCGATCGGAAATGAGATGATGTAACGATGATAAATGGAAAAATGAAGAATGGTCAGAACTCAGAAGGCACGACCAACTTCATCACTATTTACAAAAGAAAGAAAAACGCTCATATGAGAAGAGGGACTTAAGACATGCCGCGTGCCCCACCCTGACGATTGACGGAAGATGAGGGAAAAAATCAGTCAAGTCTTCTTCCACTTCCAGTATCTCCAATTTGATTATGGCAGGCATTAGCATAATGAGTCATTGAGCTTCGACATAACTTGTTCATGGCGACAGGTATCAATCTCGATCTGGATTCGCCGCTTCAAGCCTTGCAATCACGTCTGGAGGTAATTTTCGCCTCAGGTCATTCTGTTTCATCAGTACAACCAATCAATAACATAATGGCTGCACTATGATTTTTGAGTTATCAATGTCTACCTTACAGAAAGCAAATTACAGTCACCTACCAAATTTCTTTAGTCAATTCTACCAAGTTTTCAAATGCAGCATCCTAATTCCAATTAAAAAACCCCTGTACACTTTTTCTTCCATTGTTTTGCAATGCGATTAAGATTGTTTCATCAAAACATGTGCATTATTAGTAGCATACATGCCAAAACCTGGAATTCTGTGAAGGGAAAAAAGAGATGGCTCACCAACAGCTTTGTGTTTGCATCTTTAAGCTGCGAAGCAAGTTCAGCTTCCTCTTCCACTTGGAACCTAAGATTTTGATTCTGCTCCTTCAGTACCTTTATTCTCGCTTTCAAAGATTTACATCTTTCTCTTTCCTGCTAAACAGAGATGCTATGTTAAAAAAACCTATTACAAGTGAGCAGAAAACTAATCAAACTCATCTTAGCACATTCTTTCACAATCTGTAAGCATATATTTAAGCAAGGGACATCAGTTTACTAGAAGCATATTTGTCAGCAAGATTGTACATTTAAGCATAATTTGTACACCCTCTGTCCCAAAATTTACTAAAACCTTTATTGTCCAGTTTCTGGACAATAATTTTGGGAGGGAGGGAGTACATGTTTTCTTTATTCTCACCCTCTTTGCAAGTCACAGACTCACAAATGATAAATACACTAACCTTTTCAGCAAAGCTTGATTCGGTGGGTGATATTTGTCTGATAATTTGCTGCGCTTTCATTGTTGCTGGATTGTTTGGACCCTGCCCAAGCAACATTTCAAAAAAGTCCATCAGCTTACACATCTAAGAAGTACATGATGGAACAGTTATAGAAAGAAAAAAAATCACACAAGAGCCTAAGACGATAATGCAGGTTTTCTTCAAGGACTCAACATTGAATAAAACCTTTATCCCATTATAATTTGGAGTAACAAGTATACCCCTCATATTCTTATGATATCAAAGCAGTTCATTTCATTTCCAAGACTGACTGGACCCCTTATATACCTGTTTGAAAGATTAGTTATATACTCCTCAGGTTCGCCATTAGAGTTTGCACTTCACTAGAAGTATGTATATCATTGCAGCAAGAGTAACAATGAATGTCTACACCAACCTTTTCAGCAAAGTTTGATTCACTGGGTGCTATATGTCTGGCAGTTGTGTTCGCTTCCTTCTTTGGTGGTCTTTTTGGACCCTGCCAAGCAACATTTCACAAAACCCCATCAGCTCGCATCTAACTAGTGCAAGACAGAACAATTTTAGTAAGAAAAAAAGAACAAAGTTCCCAAGAGGATGAGAGGAGGCTGGGACCAGAACTGGCACGGTATATGCAGGTCAACAACAATAGAACACTTTTGAGTTCATCTACAATGGATAAACATGCCCCATATTTCCAATTTGGAGCAGCATTGTGTCCTTAGTGTCCTTATGACATCAAAGCATTTTATTAACATTCACACTTAACCATTCCAAATCATAATTACCAGAGTTGATGACTGGATAACTTCCACCCTTAGCATACCTGTTTTAAACCTTGTTCAGTTAAATTTTCCTCATGTCCATGTGTAGCAGTAGGCACTTTAGGGGTCATCTTGAGAAACTTGGATCTGATATCTGATTCAAGTACAGCAATAAAACTATCAGCAAAGGTTGACAACTTTACTACTATTGCTGCGGTATAAAATCAGGTTCAGAAGATGAAAATTCGCATATTAGAATTCTGTCTTATCCAATCTAGACGTCTTTTTCTCTTCCAAAAAAACATATCTACTTTATTCTCTAGTTTAGAAAGAAGAATGAACGCAATCAAATTCAATTTTGATATGCTTGACTCACAAATCACAGATTACATGCATGTTATTGAAAGGAAGCGGAAGAAAGAGATGTTACAGCACCATCACTTTCAGGATTACAAGTTGCATTGCCAAGCACTGCATTATCTGGAAGCGCATTCCAAATTTTCATAGTATTCTTTTTAGTTGACCTTCTCTTTATATATTCTGCCCCTGGTTGACCCTGCCATGCAACAGTGAAGAACATAAGATATCCTACTTTAAGCTCAACCTCACAAGCGAACTGATAGATATGAGCTGACAATTTCTCACTATGCAGGAGATGTCACAGAGCTAGCACTATGGTACAATGCATCATAAGAGTTACATTTGATGAGTAAACAACAAGTTCCAATAGTATTGTGGGAACTTCATGTATGATTCCACAATGAGCACTTGTACGGAGTAATGACATTTGCTACAAAAAGGAAGAAACATGACTGATTATGCTGTTCTTAAGTCGGCTCAAGTGAGTGCAAATCAAACGAGACCTCAGTTAAATCAGCTTGATTTTTCCGCTTGAGATATCCCTTGGTTTTCTGAGCTGCCTTTGGTTTTGGATTAGTTGTTTCATTGCCAGTCCCAGTCGACATTGTGATTATGCTACACACAAAAATAATTGATCAGCCACCATCAGGAAAAAAAAAATGTTAAAAAACAAAAACTAACATCATCAGCTTAGAGGTTGGTTATCCAGTCTGCTAAGTAACCCTGGGTTCGAGAACTTCTGTCAGGCTTTCATTTTACATGAGAATCCTCAACATGAGTTCTGTGAAGCACATTTAGCTACAGTTACAAAGTATGATATTCATATTGAGCAATAATCAATTCAGTACATAATACTTTTATCATCTGTTCTCCCAACAAGAATTTCTCCAATTCAAATTGCTTTTTTTGTTTTTCCCCTTTCTTTATTTTCGACATGACTTGTAATGATTGATGCCTAAATTACAATTGTTCACGGAAGCACTACTCCCAGATAGAGCCTTAGAGGCTCACTCAATAAGTGATAAGTTGTTCCACAGTAAACCAAAAGGTTGAATCTTTCCTTCAAACCTAAAATCAATCTTTTCTTCTCATAATCACGACATGCATTCATCAAAACACCAACAAAACGACAAAAAGAAGAAGAAGAAAAAAATGGAGAATCAACCAAAAGAATCACTTTCCTTCCGGCTCATCCTCAACTATACGACAAGATCATTGACCACTATAAACAATCTAACAATCTAACGCTGAAGCCAAAACCTTCGACAAAATTAAAACGAATCGAGACTGAAACACCGGCCAAAATCGACAATTTTGAAATTCAAATCAAATTCACTGCACTTGGACCATGTGATTTAGAAATTCTTACCGTATCGATTCAAAGCAGTAACGGAAAATCTTCCTCCACGGCAAGCCTCCGGTCGCGTCTTCCGAATTTGATTTCGACCGAAACCCTCTCGGCAGCTGAAATAGAAAGGTGCTATTTCGGAGACTCTTTTGATCAATTTATAGAAATTAAAAAAAAAAAAAAGGATTTTGTAAACCAATGAGAATTTAGTACTTTCAATTCAAATTAATGGCGCCACAGAGTTTTACTGGAAAGTGAACTCTATGCTGTAAAGGTTTTCCTCAAGTCTAATCCAATCTAAACCATTCAATAGAAACTCTACTGTATATGAACGGTGAGGATTCTTTTTCGTTTCCCTTAACCAAGCTTCTCGATATTTTCACTTCTTAAAATTTACACCCGCGCTCCTTGTAGTTTGTTAATAGCAGTATTTGTTCCCAAAATTTTATGACGGCAGATCACAATTTTGTGTTTCTAATTATTCAAAATTTAGTAGTCCTCTGTTTCAAAATATATGTCTTTTTAGGTTGTTTAGATAAATATTTTAAGATTTCAAAGTTAATTAATTTAACTTTTCAACGTTGTCCTCGATAAATAATACTAGTAACTCCTTTTCATTTAGTCTGTTTAGAGTTTTAATACAATTAATGAGGGGTAAAATAGATTTATGATACGTAAATCAATTGTTGAATTATCGTCTCTTTAATTTACATCCAAAGTTTAAATTAATTTATATTTTGAAATGGAATTATTGTATATTTTGGTCTACCAAATAGTCCAATAAATGATCTAGATGTAGAGATCGATCATAATGGATTTTACACGATTGAAAATTACGATTTCATTGGATTAAATTTTTAATCACAAATTCATGATGTTACACTCTTTTTTCTTAATAAATTTTGTATGTTACCTATGACCTCAATATAACTAGTACATATAGACTTTTGATATATTTTAAATAAAAAATATAGTAGATTAAAAGTTTTCAATTACGTTTTGCTAAATATTTTGTCTTCTAATTTATGTGAAGGTTCTACTTCTACATTTTGTACAGAATTTTGTCTGAAGAGAGATGGAGAAGAAATACTAGGCTTCATTTGGATTTTATTTATTTATATTTTTTAGTGCGCATCTTTTTGTCAGGAATGGAAAATTTTGTATTGAAAATGTAAAACAAAACAATATCGGATGGAGAATATATTAATAAATAAAAATCTGAAAAAAAATATAGTAAAGGTGATGAAGAAGCAAACCATTAAATTTGTTATTCTCTCCCGGTTGAATTTTATTTTTAGTATGACTGCTTCGGGACAGAGAAATAAGTAGGACTGTAGGAGTACAATGTGGATAATTGCTTAATATAACTACATAAATGAATTTATAAATTTCTCTGTGTGATAAATTCCATATTGATAGAATTTGTGAACTAGTAATACTCTCTCTATTTCGAAATGTAGGCCGTTTAGTTTTGGAGAAATATTTTAAAATATAGATCACTTTAAGATTTTAAAACAAATTAAAGACTAACTTCTTAACTTTGACACCAATAAATGATACTAATCACTTTTCATCTAGTAGTATTAGTTATAATTCCAAAACAATTAATGATGGGTAAAATAAAAATTTAATATAATATAAATTATTTATTAAATTATTATTTTATTAGTTTACGTGTAAAGTCTAAAATAATTTATATTTTAAAATAGATGGAGTAATTTATAAGATGGATGACTGGAATTTATGTCAACAAAATTGGCGTCATGAAGTGTGGAATAAATACGTAATAGAGGATGACACATAAAAGTTTGTATAGAAGAACCCGCAGAAGCTGATGGGTTTATTTTGTCAGAGAAAAACAAAGGGTAGCGCAGTACAGATAAAACGACTAATAAGGCTCCGGTCATTTTTGCATGTTTTCGACTTTTTAGAAGGGCTTTGATGGCCGATGCCCGTAGACAATTTTGGAGTCTATGGAATTTAGCCCGGACAAAATTTGCTCGCGATTCGTAAATGTGGGTTATCCCAAAATTCATTCTTGTTTCTGTTTTTTTTATTATATACATATATATTTTGGGTTGGGGGGTGGTGTATATATAAAAAATAAAGGAATCCGAAGCCTCATATACTTCCTCCATTTGTGTGAAAATTCCAAACAGAGATTCAAACATTGAAAAGATTGATTAGCCATTTTTACGTAGATTTCTTGTTTGCCTTTTTTCACTTTACCTTGCCACGCTTTTCTAAATAAAAAAGCAAAAGGCAAAACTAAAAAAAAAAACAAGACACCCCACGCCAGTTGCTCTCTCAGTGGGGTGACTGACTGGGCAGTTACTGTAACCTCTTTGCAGCTCTTTTCTGTGTAGAATTCTTGCCATTTTGTGAGAACAATTAAGAACAGAGATCGTTTTTTTTTTCCCTTTTTTTTAGGTGAAATTTTTTAAGGTATCTGTGCTTCACTTTCAGTCGCATTCTTTGCTTCAAGAGGTGGGTGATTTTCGGATGCGGGAGTCAAGAATTCCCTGATCTGAAGATTGGGTTTTTTCTCTCCAAACTTCGGAGGTAAAATTATGAGATGGGATTCTCAATTTTTTTTATTTCTTATTTTTTAATTTTCTCCTTGTCTACATTTTCATTTGGGTTCGTTGTAATGCTTGATTTCCTAACAGGGGCATCCTGGTTTTGGGTTCCTTTTCTGTAATCTTAATTTATTCCAGAATTTATGGAAGATCATTTAGGACCTGTTTGATTTAGGAATTAGCTTATTGCCAGGATATCCGCCTTGCCGGATCCACTTTAGTTATTATTCTAGTAACGACGTGTTCTTTACTCTGCTACTGCTTCCTTCTATGCGGGAAGCTTAGCTGGTCTTGTTTGATTTTTTTTCCCCTTTTCTCCTCGAAGAAAGGGCATCACTTGAAAGACCTGACCTTGGAGTTGACGTTACTGTGTTTGTTCACTTTTAATTGTTTCTGTATAGTATTTACTCTCACGTTCTGGGCTAGTTTGCACTGTATGTGTTAGTTTACTCTCAAAAAATTGATCCTGTGATTACACATGCTGTATAGTTTAGGAGTTATGGAATTGATCCAACAATGAGATAAAGATCAGATTTTGACTGTTTCAATGTTATCAGATTTTGTGGTACTTTTTTGAGGATTGTCTTGGAGTTAGATGACATCCTTGAAGTATCCCTCAGCATGTACTTCGACTTTTTGATTTGTTGCACTTATCTTACAAATATTTATAGCGAGGTGGCTAAGATCGAGGAGTGACTGCAGAGAACCTGAATTCACTCATTATGCCAATAAATATACAGTATCCCCTCTTGTAGATAATTTGACACCCTTCTCTTGCTATCAACACCATCCATAAGCACTTCTCGTTCCAGGACATATCTTCATTTTGCTGTATTGCTCTGCTACAAGTCAGCAGTGTAAGATTGGAGTTTTTCATTCACCTAGTATCCAATTTGTATGTGCACAGTTGATGTGATAAGAAGATAGTTTTGTTGTATGGATATTTTGTGCTTGTTACAGTCATGACTCATACGGTTTGTGTGTTACTGCTTTGTGCTAAAGATCAATTTGCCTTCTTAGGATGTGGTAGTTGTAATTTGTTTCTTTTGCTTGCCCTTTGTACTTGGTGCCTGAGATCACAGCCATGCACTATATCCATGTAACATCTTTCTCTTATTGGAGTTCTCAACTTCTTTTCACATTTCAGTTGCTAGTTTTCCATTTCCTCCCTTTTTGGTGGCTGGCGACCATATGGTCCATATCTACCGTTTCTCTCCACGACAGAGGAACTGAAGTACTACCTTTCTAAAGCATTAGCAGATAACTTGCCTTTTCTCTCGAAATCATATGCATCTCTGTGTTGATCCAGTGTCACTGTTTGAGATCCTTCATGTTGGGGCTTAGGTAGTGTGGCCAGTCAGTGTGGGGTTGGGATTTGGAGAGGAGACGTGGGGTTGGTGGTGGTTTGTACCTATTTTGTTTCATTCTCTTACCAATTTACAGGTATAACAACAGTTCTAATTGAATTACAAGTTCAGAAATTGTACATATATTTTGTGAATATGATTCTGAAATTGTAGTTTTCACATCCTCAGATTTTTATTCTAGTTGCTCTTTTTTAAGGTTTTACTGATTCCAGTTTTCAAATTTTCAGGTTGGAACTAGAGACCAAAACTATTCCTACCTTCGTCCTTACATCATGAGTCCCAAACTTAAAAATAGGTGGCGCTCAATTGTTCCTCTAAATCTTCCAGGAAGTGGCTGTTTTTGCATCTTTCCTAGTGCTGATTCATCTGGCTATAGTCCAAGGGAAACTCCTGTTTATCTCAATGTCTATGACTTGACTCCGATCAATGGTTATCTCTATTGGGCGGGCATTGGTGTTTTCCACACTGGAGTGGAAGGTTAGTGTACAGTCTCTTTGGCAGCACACGTTTGTCAACGTTAAGTCTGTTAGCAGCTTCTTTAAAAGGAATGCATATGATGGTTCGAAACTGGAAAGTGTCTACATGTCCATTATTACAGTAGTTGTCTGATTCTTAAATTCATATTTTACTTTTCACTGTCTCCATAAACAGAAAAATTCTGTTAACTTTCTAATTTCTCTCTGTGCTTCTCAGTGCATGGTATTGAATATGCTTTTGGAGCTCATGATTATCCAACAAGTGGTGTCTTTGAGGTCGAACCTCGGCAGTGCCCTGGATTCAAGTTTAGGAAGTCTATTTTCGTAGGCACCACATATATGGATCCTATCCAGGTTAGAGACTTCATTGAGCAGCAATCTGCATTCTATAGTGGTGACACATACCAGTTGGTGAGAAAAAACTGCAATCACTTTTGCGAGGATTTATGCTACAGATTAACTGGGCGCAAAATTCCTAAATGGGTGAATCGACTTGCGAGAATAGGTATAGTTCTGGTCTTGTCAGCATATATATTCTTCAGTTCTTTTCTTATACTGAGGATTAGGATTATTCAGTGAAACTAAGTTGTTTTTCTTTTCAACTTCATTTAGGTTCAGTTTGCAATTGCGTACTTCCTAAAGCACTCAAAGCATCTGCTGTGAAGAACAGCAAAAAGTCGCAAGGCAGTGATGGTGAAAAAAATAGATTGAGAAATACATATGGTTTCTCGAATTCACATTCAATCAGTCAGGAGAAAGAAGAAACAATATCTTCATTGTTCTTACATTCTCACTACAAAGGTTGCATAACCCCATGGGAGCCCAAAATTTCAAGGAATGTCTCTGTGAAAGAAGAATGACAATGCTTCTTTGTTGACCAGTCATCTCTTGTAGGCTCTCCAATTGAACCAAGTCTGACATTTTAAGGAGATCAATCTTCGGTACTGCGAGCTTCACTTTGTGAATAGAAAGCTTGTTGTTTGGTCTTCCGATTGGGATTGTACTTTTGGGTGTGGTTTTCTGGTGGGTTGATATCGTTCCTCGTATTGGAAAAAAAGAAAAAGAAAATAGAAGGATTGAAATGCTTTTGATTCATTCTTGTTTTAGAATTTAGCTCTTCCCATTATAGGGAACCTTGCCCTGTTTTGTATATCTGGAACTACGTACGGCTCCAGTGCTCTTAAAGGCTAAAAGCATTTAGCTGAGGTCAACCAGCATCTGAATGTATACAATGCAAATATGAGAAGGTTTTCTGTTTGAACCATTATCTGATTTTGTGCACAAAACGGTATATACATACCAAGAAATCCAACCACCAAAACAAAATGATCGGTTCTGCAGTTGAAAATCAACCTTCATGAGAACATGAATAGTATAGTACATCCCACATTATCTCTATCCTTATCAGAAGGGTCAAAACCGCTGCAAGTTACACATCTTTTCCCATGCTGATTGGGCGCATTTATGCAGGTGAAAATTTTCTGACAAAGAATGCCGCCAAACGTAAATAAAAATACTCTCTTTTTTTACACTACTGACAGCGAAGCTCGTACTTACACTAAGTGGAAGATTCTGAATTGTCATTCTAAGCAATTATTAACAATACTAAATTTTCAAACAGCTCAGAGATTGAGAATCTTGAATATGACTTCCAGACTATCAGATGAACATTCTTCCAATAATTTACTTATTAAAAACGGTCCCACTTCATCCCCATCATTCTCTACTCTGTTCTCATTGTCACATTCATCTTCAGTCAAAACAGACAGCCTTGTTTTTCTTGTTTTTTTTTTTTTTTGTTTTTCCCTACTTCTGGGCTTCTGTTTGATCCTGCTGAGTGATTTACTTGTTCAGAACATAAATTTGGTTCTTTTAATAGTTTTGGTGATTTGGGTTTTTTTTGGTTTTCCAAGTTCTTGATAAAATTCCTGAATATGGGTAAAGGAGGAGGATGTTTTCCGAGCAAAACAAGGGTTCTTGTCGGTGCATCTGAGCATGAAGAAAGGCTCAACCAAGCAAGCGACGAATCAATCTCAGTCACAGTTGAGGGTCAGAGCCATAATAGTACTGAAGCAGGGGCTAATAATTTACAAGATGGAGGAGCTTTGGGAACAAGTACAAAGAAATTGAGAATCTTTATCGTGTTTTATTCGATGTATGGGCACATAGAAGGTTTAGCAAAGAGGATGAAGAAAGGGGTTGATGGAATTGATGGCGTTGAAGCGGTTTTGTACAGAGTTCCTGAGACGTTGGATGCTCAGGTTTTGGAGCAGATGCAGGTGCCCGATAGAGATGATGGGATTCCGGTGATCTCGGCGGCGGAATTGGTGGAGGCCGATGGGATATTGTTTGGGTTTCCGACGAGATATGGATGCATGGCTGCACAAATGAAGGCATTTTTTGACTCGACTGGGAAGTTGTGGACGGAGCAGAAACTCGCCGGGGTACCCGCCGGATTCTTTGTTAGTACTGGAACCCAAGGAGGTGGACAGGAGACAACTGCGTAAGTATACTTTTGTGCTCTTCTCAATTGTTTTTTTTTTTTTTTTTCAGCTGTTGGGTTGATTAGTCTTCCAGTTAAACAAATCTCTTCGTTAGATTCTTTTTATCGAATGGTTGTGAATGTACATTTTTGGTTAGTATAGAAGCGAAAAATTCATAAGCAGATCATCAAGGTGAGAAGGTCGCTTTTATGGTTGATGTCAGGATGCCGCTTATGATCTTAGAATTTGTTTTTTTTCATCGTAAAACCAGCAAGGATTAGCGAAAAAGCTCTTCCACTTTGTTGATTACATGGGCTAGGGAGGGGAACGAGAATTCCTATGAGGATATTTTGATAAATACTTGGTGCTTTGGTACTGGCAATAATAGAAAATGAATTGGAGGGAAGAATGAATGGCTTATATGGTTTCGTAATATGATGCATTTTTTAGAATGAATGGCTGATAAGGTTAAGGGATCCGTTAAAATGAAAAGTTACCAACTTCTGATCACCATTGCAGATGTGGTTAAGGTATGCTTTACTGGACATGGCGAAAGTTACCAACATTTGATCAATCAAGCACTGTAATTTAAGCTGCATTTATCTTGAGTTAAGCCTTCAAATGTAGAAGAATCAATTTGTAGTATAGATCTAAAAAGTAAGTACAGAGAAAATGGCAGTAGTCTCTGAAGGAAACTTTAATATTGTTTTCCGTGTGAATCAAGGAGCAAAACATTAGAATGAATTTGAGAAACTAAGTTACAATAAGAATAATTTCTCTTTCTTTTGGCCGCATTTATTTGCTAATTGGAGTGACCAACTGGAGCTGCAATTTGCCTATATGTAGGATCCTGTCCAAAAGTCCCTTATTACTAGACAATTCCATCAGTTTATCAATTCTTTTATCTGCTGAAGCTTGTAGCTTGGTGTATGTATCACATCACATGAGCACATCTTTGTCTCATTTGGGATGAGGTTCATTTAGTTGCAGTTGCCCTTCACTTCCATACGCTTAGATTATGAATTTCAAATTTCAAAGCAATTGACGTTGAAGCTGCTTGACAGGACAGCAGTCGAACTATATTAGGTAACTAAACTAATTACTCTCTGGCCGGATATGAGCTATCAAATTTTGAAGCAAATTCTCAAATCCTCTAATACCAGTATCTTAATGAAGAACATCCGAGTTTCGTAGGATGGGTTTAGTTTTGTGAGACTAGCTTTTGGTGATAGAAACTAAAGGAACCAAATGACTTCTACTACCTGAGATAGTGTAGAAATGTCCTTGTGCGTCATATTTCTGCGTAGAACTTCACCACATCGACTTTCAGTTTTCAAGTCTGATTATGTAATACTTTCCAGACTCAAACCTCCTTGCTGAGGCAGTTTCCAGGTACTAAACCATTATGAATCATTCTCACTCTACATTTTAGTCTTGCCTTGCCTGAAATCCTTTTCACTCACCATGACATTGCCATACGAGGGATGAATTTTGTATCTTTCTCTCTTAACAACCTAATATGTTCCACTTACACAGAAAAACTTAGAATTTCTTTTTGCATTTTTAGTAAATGACTGTATTTTGAACAGATGGACAGCTATTACCCAGTTAGTCCACCACGGTATGATCTACGTTCCAATTGGATACACATTCGGAGCAGGAATGTTTACGATGGACAATATCAGAGGAGGTTCCCCTTATGGAGCAGGAGTTTTTTCCGGAGATGGCACGAGAGAGCCAAGTGAAACAGAGCTTGCTCTTGCAGAGCATCAGGGACAGTATATGGCAACCGTGGTGAAGAAGTTCTCCCAACCTCATTCCATGACGAATGGGCATAGTAGCAGTAGCTAGCAAAGCTACTTCTTTTGCATTCTTTTGTTTTTTCATCCTTTTTTGTTAGGTGGTTAGTCATACAGTTTTGCTTTCTGTTCCATATAAGAAGGTAGATAGAGAGTGATTGCTTGTCTCATAGTCATTTGAGTAAATTTTTACAGGATGACCTCATTGTTTTGTAAAAATTATAAACCTTTCTTTGACTTTTGTACATTTGAACTTCTTGTGATGCATATATATCAAACATTTGTGAATTTAGTGTATAGGAAATATTCGAGTGACCATTGCTAATTTTCTTTTCTTTTTTTTTTTCATTTTTATGTTGACTGTTCACAGATTTGAAGTGAATATTTTTGCTTAATGTCATTTCTAAAATTTAGCCTTGGGTTAAAATCAAGACATACTTTTCTTACAACGTAATCTATAACGAGTAGTGATTAAATTTTACCTAGTTCAAAAAATTCAGCACGCCCCAGAAATGAACACAAATTAGTTCAGTTTCAGTGTTGTTCTACGGTTTGAATTATCATTCTTACCTTTTTTCTTTTTTTCTTTTTTTTGAAAAGGTTGATTGTTATTTTCATGATGCTGAAAAATGAATTTTTATTGGCAAAACAGAAGGGTGAGTTTGAAACGTGTTAGTAAATAAAAGGGCCAATTCGGGATGAAACAAAAATATTTGGGTCAAATTGAAAATTTCTATTTTGTGAAATTGCAATTTTCAGTTCAGACTTCAGACCTGGACTACAGAAGTTGACTTCACCACTGTAATCAAAGATCTCCAAGGCAGCTTTTTGAGTTCCGGAGCAGTGGGCATAGCTACGATGAACCCTAGAATGGCTCCGAGAATGCAGAGCGTTGTCAGATTCTTAAGTTTCCTTGCCTGTGCAATTCCTTTCGTGGCGATTTTGGGCCTCTCGTTCTCCCCGGAAAACCCCACGGATCGCCGGATTTTGGTTTTAGTTGACGATTTGGCAATTAAATCTTCTCACTCTATTTACTTCAAGTCACTTCAGAGCCGAGGATATCAACTTGACTTCCAACTCGCCGATGACTCCAAGATCGCTTTACATAGATATGGCCAGTACTTATATGACGGATTGATTCTATTCTCTCCTTCGATTGAGCGTATGTTCATTCCTCACTCTTTCAACAATCATTTTACTATTTAATCCTAGTGAATGTAATGTAATTCTATCATGTTTTTCAAATGTATGTGAAAGATGATCAATTTGGCAGGATGAGGATATGATTTATTGTAGTTTTTATTTTAATCAGTTTGACCCGTCTTAGAAAATAAGCGCTTGGTTAACCGAAAATTTATATAATTAAGCATTTGAAATGCTGATATTGTATTCTTTTGATTTATTTTGCTCGAATGGATTGCTGATATGAGTTCCTCGTTTTCTGAGGACATTTGGACTATTGGATGGGACATTTCCTGCATGGTTAGAGCTGTCATTCTTAATAATGGAGCTGTATGTTAATATTGTTTCAATGCCTGTAGGATTTGGAGGCTCCATTAATACAGCTGCAATCGCGGAATTTGTTGATTCTGGTCATGATTTAATTATTGCGGCTGATGAATCTGCCTCTGATTTGATTCGAGAAGTTGCCGCTGAATGTGGAGTTGATTTTGACGAGGTAGGTCTCATGTTTAGTGCACTCGTGATATTTATGTTGCGGTTTGCAAACTCTGGTTGACCCATGTTAGGTCATCATGGGTCTTTTAGCAGTCTATTGTTAGTTAAATTTTGGTTGATTAATGACTAATTTGGCCATTTCATAAACAAGTTAAATATCGATTGTTCATGACTAATTTGGCTATTTCATAAACGATCCCTTCATCAATAGGACCCTGGAGCTGTGGTCATTGACCATACTAGTTACGCAGTCTCAGGTACAGATGGGGACCACTCTCTAATTGCTGCTGGTGATTTTATCAAGTCTGCCGCAATCTTGGGAAGCAAGACTGTTGAGGTGAAAGCTCAATTTCAAAGATTTTTTTTGAGAAATTTTTTTTATTAACTCACTGTGGCCGCTGCTTGTTTTGCTTTTGTCTCTCCTGTTAAAGTAGCTTTAAATTGATGTCATAATATTTTCCTGTTGCTAATATGGTTGAGGGGCTGGTAAATTACAACTAGTTGCTATGAAAGTTTATTCCTTTTTAACATTGAAGTATGTTGCATGAGATGATGATTGAATTTTGAAACTCAATTTAGATTAATGATCACACATAGTTTTGTTGTACTGCTTCGGTACACTAATACAGCTTGAGGATGCACATTGTTGATTTCTATTTCCTTTCTGCCACCCTTTAATTATGGCGCAGGCCCCCATACTTTTTCGCGGGATCGGACACTCAGTGAATCCTGCCAATAACTTGGTATGCTGACTCCTTCTGATGTCGCACTTCTGATGTTACTAAAGGAAGTATGAAGATATGTCTACCAAAGAGTCCTGTTTATGCAGGTTTTGAAGGTTCTTTCAGCATCTCCAGCAGCATATTCAGCAAATCCAAAAACCAAGTTAGCAAATCCTCCAGCAATTTATGGATCGTCAATCTCTTTTGTTTCCATTGTGCAGGTGCATTATTTCTCCATCTTGTCCTTAGTACATTTCTTTTGCATGTCAATTTAGTTGGATGACTGTTTTTCCATATTCGCAATGCTGCCATAATCTTCTTTTCTGCTCTGCTTATTTTGCTGAAATCCAAAATATTAGCTGAAACTGATGAAAGGACTATATGGGGCCAAGAAGCTTCTTCATGTGCAGGGTCTGGGGAAAGTTGAGCCATTGAGGCCTAATTCACAGAGCATTATGTCCAAACTAATGCATGAAATTAATGAAATAGTGCTGGACTTGATAAGAAATAATCAAGAAAATTCAGAACTCATCAATAGCAGCATTTAAGGGCAAATATTTGAGGACCCGTGTAGGTTTAGACAAGATCATTACCTTGGGAATAGTACATGATTATTGCCTCTTTTCTCTTCGCCCCCCAAGGGGTGTGTGGGTAGGCAGGCGGTGGAAGGTTGCTTTAGATTAACAAAGATAGGGGATTTTAAGAAGCAGCTCAAATTCATCCTTTACTTAGTAAAATGGGGAATAATTGGGTTATTCCCTGTCTAAGTGATTATAATATGAAATGTCTGGTTGTATCTAACAAGTAGTTTGGTATGTTAATTAAAGGGAAAAAAAGAAGTCTTGAATTCCCAATCAAAGATATCTTCAAAAGTTCCCTCCCAGTTATGTGAAACAAAGAATTTACTGCCTGTAGCTTATTTCTTTTATTAGTGCTGCAATGCTAATGGTACTCACTTGGATGCTGTAGGCTAGAAATAATGCCCGAGTGCTGATCTCTGGCTCATTGAAAATGTTCAGCGACCAGTGAGTATATTCTCTGTCCTTGATTACTTAAATTATCAGCAAATACGGTGCTTAACCTTTTGTTTTCCTTCTCAGATTTTTCCTATCTGGGGTACTGAAAGCTGGAAGTCCAATCAAGTGAGTGATCATTCTTTGTGCACTGTAAATTATTTTTTGGCTTGGAAGTGGTTTTCACCCAAAAGATGGAAATACCCTACATTTCATTGTACACAATATGGATGCATACAAAAGTTCGTAGTTTGTCTAGTTGAGTGATTCACACTCATAATGACACTTTCAACTGGGTATAACAGGCACAAGAAATCTGGTAACGAGCAATTCTTGACTGAAATAAGCAAATGGGTTTTCCATGAGAGGGGCCACCTTAAGGTATGGCATCAGTCCTTCATATGGCTTCCTGGATTCGATGTTTAAATCGATTGCTGTCGACTCCTAGCTCATCAGAGGCCTTATGATAACTTGTCACTTTATCTTTTTGTTTAGAAAATCTCCAGTTACCAATAGCATCATTGTTTTTGTCCTTTTCTTTTTCGTGTTTACTTAAACTGTTCCATTAACATCTTTTTTTATGTTGGCTATTTTCTGGTTTCTAGGCCGTGAATGTGAGACATCATAAAGTTGGAGAGGTTGATGAACCCTTAATGTACAGGATCAATGATGATCTGGTAATATTTTCTGCACATTCGATGCTCAGAGCCTGGTTTTAAATCCTACTGACACTTGGTAAACTATCTGAAGGAATACTCTGTTGAAATCTTCGAGTGGTCTGGAGCCAGTTGGGAACCATATGTAGCAAATGATGTTCAAATACAATTTTACATGATGAGTCCTTATGTTTTGAAAACTATGTCTACTGATCAGAAGGTACATTTTGGAAATTTACTATTTAAGATTGCCCACGGCTTCTCCGAGCATTAGAAATAACAATTATTTAACTTCTCTATGCAGGGCAAATATCATGCTTCTTTCAAGGTTCCAGATGTTTATGGAGTTTTCCAGTTTAAGGTGGAGTACCAGAGACTTGGGTATACAAGCTTGAGCCTATCAAAGCAGGTTATTCCATCAATCTTTGTTTAAAGACTTGAAGTTATGGCCGGATAAGATCATACTGGCATAAATACTTTGTTATGCAATTGCTACTTTCTGGTTGCATTTCAATTTGAATGTGTAAATGCTGTGATTTGTCTGCCAATATCCTGACCATCACTGTGGTGGTTGGTGTTGAGAATACTGATTTACATAAATAGTTGGATCTTCAGCAGATTGATTTGCCTTAGATATTGAGCCCAAATTTTCAGTTTACTTTTCTCGTTTTCTTTTATTTAAACTGCTGAGTCGAATTGTTCCCTTGCAGATCCCAGTTCGTCCATTCAGACATAATGAGTATGAGAGATTTATTACAGCAGCTTTCCCTTACTACGGGGCATCGTTCTCAATGGTACTTCCTCTTTTTGTGACTGAATAACACATCCACTTCTTCATGTGCAAGTAGTATTGTGTGCTCTGCTTTCTAGTTGAATGCGAATTGTCAGGGATACATCTGGAAATTTATACCCATTCTGTACATCAGTTCAATACTGGCGTGGTCCTCATTTTAGGCTTTAGGGTTCTTAACACAACATATACACTTGCAAGCTTTATATGTGATTGATGAAATACCAAGGGTCATTCATTTCAGTTTGCAACATGGCTTCAGTTTACTTCATTTTGTTGAGAATGATATGACATTCCTAATGAGTAATGACTAATCCCATTCATGTTTGTTATGCTACAGATGGCTGGATTTCTTGTTTTCACCATTGTTTACTTATACAACAAGTAAGACCATCCCAAGCAGAGTGATCGAAGATTCACCGAATCGACAGCATTCGAGTATAGGTCTTAGGTCCTCCATGTTTGTGCCAGAGGAGCTGCTTGCAGTTCAGTTTTGTATTTAGTGAGGCTGCATTGAACTATATGATATACAGATTACTAGTCTCTAAATTAAATATCTTATGATGAAGTATAAATACTTTCAGCTAGAGGCAAGAGCAATCCTCGCGAACTTTTAGCGAAGATTACTCTGTTCCTTAATGATAGTGTCACCAGATTATTGAGCTTAATTTAAATCCCATAGTTTAAGTTTATCTCACGACAAGGAGTTTCAACTTTCAAGTGTAGTCTTGTGGTATCGGCATTCTTTTGGTCCAAGAGTTGCTCCAAACCATATCTGGGTCACCTTCCCCAGCTCGGCTCATGCTTAAAATTTTCGAACCCATATGCATGAGGCAAGTGTTATTATAGTGTCTTAATTCCAAATCCAGAAGCCAAGAAACAGACATAGAACCATATCCAAAACGATATGCACGAATAGACAGTTTGGTCGGGATCCTAAGTCCAAAACAAAGAACAGAGATTCAAACATTGACAAAAAGCATTGCACAAGGGGGGATGGAAATGAGTGAGAGTGTGAAACACTAACTCTGCATTGGAAACATAAAAAATGCAAAGCAAAAAGGAGCAACAACAGGAAGAACACATTTTCATCGGGGAAAAATGCATTCCTAGATGGACCGACAAATGTGAATCAGAAAGCCAAAAATGGGGTGTATTATGTATGGGATAGCTACTAGTGAACGCCAAGTACAAAGAACATAAAAACGGCGCCATCAGCGAAGCTTCCATTGAGGATTTAATGTTGGCCTCCCATGAATCAGATAAGCACAGATATATCAAATCCAAAGCTCATCTGGGATTATGAAGGCCTACCAATCAAACGCGGAAACGAAGAAGAAGAAATTGAAAAAACAAACCCAATAATTTCATCACCAACCAACCTACGTCGTCACCGTTACCGACAGGCGAGGGTAGAAAGAAATAGGCCTAATTTCGAGTCTTACTCCGATTCTCAAATGTTGAGATCTGAGATATTGGGTGAGAGTGACGCAGTGGTGGCCGCCTTCGTTGCGGTGGTTTGTTTATATAAGGGGGAAAAAGCGGGCCGAGTCGTTCAGGGAACCCTAATTAAAATTTCCTACCCGCCCATTCTCTATAGGTAAAAGCATAGATAAATAATAGTAGTACTATTACAGACGTGTAGAATTAGTGAAATATCTGCGGTAAAATACAATAGTTTGTGGTAATTGTTGGGAGTAATTGTTATTCGTTTAGTCTAAAAGAAATTATCTAATTTGGTTTTTTATTTTTAGTATAATTTATACTAAAAATAAAAAATTCAAGATGGATGATAATCTATATTTATATACTATACTAAGACAAAAACCAGAGAAAGAAAACTAAAGGCTTGGAGCACATGTCACATAGAATTTAATCTTATGTGGCATTTTCTTAATTTCTTAGACTTAAAAATGCACAAAACATAATAATAAAACCAAAAAAAAACAACTAAAATAATTTTAAAAAATAATAATAAAAATCGAACCTTTATTTTCATGAACCAAATCCTAACACAGAGATTGATTGGAGAGAGTATCAAATCCTAACAAATTTTAGAGAGATCTGCATAAACCTTGTCACCAGTGAATTTAAAATGTCATTTAAAAAAAACAAATTCCTGTAAACCCAGAGGTAATCCTGTTTAAAATTGAAATCATTACATATTTTATAAAAATACAAGATTTATATAAAAATGTCTAAATGTGTATGTCTTTCTCGTCCATCGGACGGGTCTAACACCTAGTTTCATAAGGAAAGAAATATTTGACTTATTTCATAGTGCTTAAAGAAAGATGTAGAATATACCCATTGGGACGAGAGGGGAAAACCCAGTTTCACAGTTTGAAAGATGTCTATGCAAAAAAGAATTCCAAACCTCATCAGATTAGATAATTTGGCCGATCATGGGGTGACCATTTTTTGCTTAATTGCAAAAGATACAAAACCTTCCACCCCAAAAAAGGTGTAAAATCTAAATCATGATGAAGATATAGTATTAGATTATAAGGAAATTTTGGCATGCTCTAATTACTAGTTTACTCTCAACGGTAAATCATATTCCCTTTGTCCCAAAATTACTGTCCAGTTTAGATTTTCAGTTTTAAAATAATTTATCCTAAGAATCAAAGCTCAAATTAGGCAATATTTTCAGAACGGAAGAAGTATAATTTTAAAAATCTCAATAGCAAAATTCAATATAAGTAACCAGTCATAGGATTTAACTTACGCAAATATATTTCACCCTTCCAGTAAATCTTTAATTGTCCAAGAGAAATTACCAGTTCACCACCATTTAACCTCATCATCTCCATCTGGTATAGGACCGTCACAACTATATTCTGATTATTATCAACATCCACCTCTTTCTCCTAACAACATCTATCCCATGTCCCATGCAATTGTACACCTTTAGAGTACTCAATTTTTTTATACCTTGTGGGACGATATGTTTTTTCTCTAAATCATATGAAGATTTAATATTTTTATTATGAAAAAAAAAGTTTTTTTCTCTAAATCTCACGAGAGGGTTCGACAATCAATATTTTATAAAATGTAAAATTATGATGTTGTAATCTCAATGTTTGAACCAACATTGCGGATTTAATCTTTATCCCTTACCACACCTTTTCAGTTACATAAAACTTCTATAAATTAATAGCGTTGAAACCAACAAAATTTATTAATTTAAAAAATTATTAAATAATAGATAAATTAATAAACTATTAATTTAAAGAATTTCTATGAGAAAAAACTATTGTCACTAAATTACATAATTTGTAATTGTCTTTACATTCAAATCAATCAATTAGTATAACTCTTCTAAATACTAAAGATCAATACATCGTTCATATCATCTCTAAGGACTGAAAAATAAGATCAATCATTCATATTTTATTAAATATTTATAGTTATTATTATTATTATTATTATTATTATTATTATTATTAATTTTCTTTTAAGGTATTATTAATTTATGACTTTGTTGGGACCTATAGATATGTAGGAGATTTTCACAAATATTATTATCTTATCATTTTATCGATTATTTTCACTTTTTGTACTAATCCCAACTTGAGACCGGAAAAAATTATTAATTGCTAGAAGTTATTAATTTACCAACGTTTTACTATATGTGTGTGTGTGTGTTAGAAGCATACGATGAACTCAAGTCGAACATATGGGGGATATCGTACCAAAAGTGGAAATTATCAAAAGGAGTTAATGCAATCTCACCCTACAATTATCTACAATTAACTACTACTTATATTTAATTTGTCTATTGGTCTAATACATAATGTTCCAAAAATTCACAAAATAACAACTTACAGTTAACTACAATGAACTACGATTCACCAACTTACCATATTCCAAAATTCCACTTTGTGGCACAAGGTTTACTGTCAATTATATATAATGAATGATTCAAAATCTGTGTGAACAGAAAATCTTCATTTCTATAGTCAGTAAATGATGAACGGATTATAATTTCAAACTAATGAAATTGTTAGGTAAGTGATTATAATTTCAATAATACGAAGGGGACCCATGGAGGAATGACAAATGATAAGCGCGCCAATATAAATAGCCTGCTTCCTCTCCTCATTGAACAAATTTTAAACCAATTCAGCAACTCTCCCAAGTGTTTCAGTATTCAATAAACTAATTAAGGTTTGTGAAACTCATAAACTAAAAATTTCTTAATTGTAGCCTGTTGTAATGTGACATTTACATCGCATAATTATCAATTTTGTTTTTTTATTTTTATTTTTATTTTTTTTTGGTTTGCAGAGATTTGTATGCATGGGTTCTTTAAACATGGAGTTGAAAAAGGGCAAGGTTCTGTTCATCATGGGAGCAACCGGGACCGGGAAATCGCGCCTCTCGATCGATCTGGCGAGCCGATTCGCGGCCGAGTTAATCAACTCCGACAAGATGCAAGTGTACAAGGGGTTGGACATTGTGACCAACAAGGTTAAGGAGGAGGAAAGGCTGAATGTGCCTCACCATTTGCTTGGAGAAGTGGACGACCCGGATTCGGATTACACCGCGCTCCATTTCTGCTACGAGGCCATGTCCGCTATCGACCGGATATTGGGTTCGGGTCAGGTCCCGATCATCGTGGGCGGGTCCAACTCTTTCATTGAAACACTCGTGGAAGACCCGATCATCAAGTTCAAATCCAGATACGATTGCTGCTTCATTTGGGTCGATGTTTCCTTGCCTGTCCTGTTTAATTATGTTTCCAAACGGGTTGATCAAATGGTGGATTCGGGTCAGCCATTCATAATTACTATATTCTTTCTTTGGATTAATTTATCATAAACCTTACTAATTAATTTCATTGAATTTGGAACCAAAAAAAATTTAATCAAATGAATTAAATGCAGGGCTAGTTGAAGAAGTGCGTCAAATTTTCGACCCGAAGGCGGATTACAGCCGGGGAATACGTCGGGCAATCGGGGTTCCGGAGCTGGACGAGTATTTCAGGGCAGAGCAGTCGACGGAACTGGATGAGACGGATAAGGAGCTATTGCTGGCGTCAGCAATTCAGGAGATTAAGGACAACACGTGCAAGCTAGTTCGGCGTCAGCTGGAGAAGATTGAGAAGCTGAAGGAGGAGCGTGGGTGGGAAATCCACCGCGTGGATGCCACGGCGGTGTTTGAGAATTCCGGGAACAAGGAAGAAGCGGAGATTGCTTGGAGAGAGAATGTCTTCCAGCCCAGCATTCAGACAGTGGCCGATTTCCTGTCCGGCGGTCGCAACAACAAGATCATCTTCGAGGAAGTTAAGGATTAAGCGCTGATGCACTCACTAATTTAAATCAAGCTTATAATCTAGATTATTTTTGCCCAAATCGACCTATTTATACTTTTGGATTCCATCCTTATTTTGGCCCAAAAAGTGTTTTGGCCCATTGGTCTAGGATAGGGATTTTGTTATTTTATTTATTTATTTATTCTAAATAATAATGAAGTTTTTTTTTTTTTTCCCTTTTTGATTAACTAACGATATATATATATATATATATGGTAATGACATCTTTTTCTTTTTCTTTTTTTTTTAAAAAAGCTTGTTCTCAGTCTACTTTGATTGATAAAAAAAAAATCTTGGTGGATAACCAAATTACAACATCACTGACATGATATATCAGATTTACAACATAAGCATTAAGACAGTAACTATAACATGAGTTTAATAATCATCTAAATGTTCAACCTAAAAGATGTACATGTATCCTCTACCTCTAGATGTTAGCATTTTTATTTTTTCTCAAGAGAATTGATTTTATGGAGAACTTTAGAATTTGGGATTTTTATTGTTTATTATACTTTGTACACAAAAACAAAAATTCAGCTCATTTAATAAAGTTGTGGTCTGAGCCACCCTCTCTCTGTCAGTCGCAGTTACGCGTTTCCTAGCAATATATATAAAATTTCTTATTTTCCAAAAAAAAAAAAGTTGCGAGACTTTTTTCCATTCATTCCAAATGTTCGGATTCAATGGATCAAATAAGTATCAATTCCAGTAACAATAAATAGATAACACCAAATTAAAGCATAAATTAAAGTGGAACAAAATAAGCTCTAGAACCCTTCCTTAATCCAATTGTTATTATTCAGAGGCTGTAAATTTGTTGCCAATTGATGATGTTGATACATCCCACAACAATATTTTTGTCCCGATAAAGTCCTTGATGAACCACAGAATGTTCGGTGGAAATCAGCCATGCTCGCTGGAAATGAAACGGAAAAACAGATTCGTTAGCAACATTTGAATGTTTTTTCAATATAAAATGCCTTATACTAAATACGGGGAGGGAGTATGTAGCATGTAGATGATAATTTAGTTGGGAAAAAAGTACAAAGAATACAACCTCCACATGTGTTTATATTTTTTCCCTAATGAAAAAAACCGAAGCAGAATTAGGATGATTAATCCAAATTGTTAGGATGCCGAAATAAAATACTCCTATTATTTTAAAGTAGTAGTTTCTTAAATCTCAATAATTAACTTTTGAATTAGAAGATGAGTTATAAGATAAAGATATAATCAGAATCGGCGGAATTGAATGACAGCCTAATAATTAGGATGTTGTGTTTTCTGGTTTTAGACTTGGTTCAATTCCCACCAAAGCGTATGTAAAAGAGTTTTATCCACATTTAAGTGGTGTGCATTGTGGTAGATTTTTTTAAAAAAAAATTCCGAATCAACAAGAACACCTATTTGAGTTTGAAACCATATATTCTCTAATAAATTAACCATATATTTTTTATCCGATTATTTTAAGTTTAACACTAATACATTAAGATAAGAACTAGTTCTTACTTCTTACAAAACAAAACAAGATGCACGTCGAGATATAAGTTGTCGTCTTTTAAACTACTTGGCTTAGATTTTGTTTAGGTGGAAGGAATCAAATCCAGCAACAAATCAAAATTAGCTTAAAAAAGTAAAATTATCCATTAAGAAATCAAGATAATTTGCAAAAAGAAAGCCCAAAACTGAAAAACTTGAAAGTCTTTCCCGGTTTCCCCCTCAAAAAGAAAAAGAAAAAAAAAAAAAGAAAGAAAGAAAAGAAGATGCTTTGTGAATGTCCCTGAAGGGACAAACCATAAGAAGCGTCACAAAATTCACAAAGCACGTGACATCGGTTCCTAAATGACGTAGCGTGGAATCATTTTTGAACTATCCAAAGGCGGCAACCAGTGTGGTTCCGCCACGTATTCCACATGTGACGTGTGATCCCCAAGCCGGTTAAACTCTCCCATCTACTTGAGTGAAGGACGGCCCAACCCACGCGGAGATGAGGAACGGGGGTTAATTTCGGCATGAAAAAAAATAAATTATAACCTTGATTGTTGTATGAAGGTACGAATACGACATGTTTATTTGGCACATTTACGTGAATAATTTACAGGAATAAAAAAAAGTGATTTTGTATAAATAAATCTTTTATTAACATTAGTTCACATGCAAAAATGATAATTTTTCATATATATTCTTTTCAATCCGTAAACACAAAATACACTTAATTAGGTTTTGTGTGGTAGACACAAAGTACATTCGGATTATGGCCCTAGATAAGGATATCAAATGACTATTTTAGCTCCTCCAGGTTCGTTGATTTGGTTGGTTTGTTCCGCTATTTGAGCATTGATTTTGCTGCGGCTGCTATTTTACTTCTTCCAAACAACCCCTCTAGTGTGTGACTGTGTGTGAGTCAGCCACAAAATGGAATTAATGAGTCACAAAATAGCCACATGGAATTTTGTTGGCTTGCAAACGATAATCAATGTCCATACACCTAATTCAATTAATTCATGGCTACAGTTCAAAATTCAGTTAATGATGATGATGATGATGATGATGATGATGCTTCGTCAAAATGTCTTCCTGTCCCCGCCACGTTAAACTGTAATGGCAGACTTGGTAATTTATTTATTTTTTGATTATGTAAATACAGGTACGTTATTACCGTGTTTTAGAAGTGTAGTTTAAATTTCTGATAAACCATATTGTTCAATCTCATTCTCATGTACGCCCGGGTCACCACATTGCTGTTAACATGTAAGTATATTACTATGTATTATCATTATCCGTTGAGTTGTATAAGATTAAGACACAATTAAATTTCCAAAATATCTTCACATATCTTTACTCTTCATCTTATTTGTTTATAATGTATTATAAGTTAATAAGGCGTTACGACCATTAACTGTTAATTTCAACTTTCAAACAACGAAAATAAATATATTTTTTTGTACTTTGTAATAAACAAACTAATGGCAAATGTTAATAGCCAGTTACACAAATTACGTTAACCCATAATAAGAACTTACAAAGTCATTTTGTTAAAAAAATAAATAAAATCAAACTCTTCTTCATTTGGAATATGCACTTCGTTTTTATTAATCTACTACGGAGTCTACGGTTGTATAAGTAATAAGTAACATAATACTCCCGTATTTCTACTTTTATTGTGTTTCCTAGAAGTCAAGAAGCACGAAGAAGGGTACATCCGTCAATTAACAAAGCACCCATTTGGAAGCTTTTACCTTGTTGCTTTCCCACGAACCATCACAACCCTTTTCAGATTTCGGCAATTTATTACAGAATCCTAGGTTTCATAACCAAAGATTACTATTAGAGTAGTCAAATTTGTTGTTACTAATAATTAAAACAATTTTGTTAGAACAAACACACAACAGGACCTTCGTCTTCTTCACCATAGCTTCCTCCACACTCACAGTTTGACTCCTAGTTACCCACCACCACTTTCCCTTTTTCGGCTCTTCCTTCTTTCTTCTTCTTACTTTGAGCTGAAGTTTCTGAGTCTTCTTTCTTTTGACATTTGATCTTCTTGTTAAAATTAAAACTTGGTTGTCCTTTCTTAGCGCGTTTTACAACTGGTAGTAAAATCTCCCCACCCCTTTTTGCAGTCCTCCTAATTTTTCTTGTTTCTAGATTGATGGAAATGAGATAGAAAAAACTAATAAAAATTGAGCTACAGTTCAAAGAAATTCATTGCTTCCCGCGTTTTCCATCTGCAATCTCCTCTCTCCCCCAAAAAATTAAAGTCATGCGTGCAAGCTATCAGTTTATATGAATCCTAATCTTTATATATCTGAGAGATATTGAAATCCACATTTTTCTCTTGGTCCTTAACGGTTTTTAATTCTCCCTAAGCTTCTTCATTGATCATCAGCCGCTAACTCTCCCAAATCCCACCTTCCTTTTCACGTCTCACTTTCCTCTTTTTCTACAAAAGCTTTATAAATTAAAAAAACCATCCCTATTTCTTCCCATCCTTATCATTTGTGTATCCAATCTTGCTGATTTTCTCTCCCCTTTTCTTCCTCCTGCTGTAAAATTTCTACACTTGTCTCCGAGCTATAAATCAACTCAGAAAGACTCAAATTTTAGTGTTTACTCAGACCCTTTTTGCTGCTGCTGCTGGTTTTGGTGGTGGTGATTGTTGTTATTTTTGGGGGAGTTTGTGAATCAAAGTACGGATCTTTCTGTAAAAATTGCATCTTTTTTTCTATTCTGTTGCAATATTCTACTGTTCCTGTGCTTTAAAGATTTGATCTTTTTGGGAAATTATTTGCTAGTTTGCTTTCAGCTTTCTTAAGGGTTTTGCTTGAAGGGTTGCTGAATTTATTTCGATATGATTTTGTACGTGATTGTATTTCTCAGGTTGCATTTTCTGGTTTTCTCTTTTTTTTTTTTTTTTTCAGGATTGAAAGAGTTTGGGTGCTGATTATTAAGCAACATTTGAAGTTTTTTCTGTTCGGCTTCTGGAATCAGATTGAAGTGTACTGTTTGAAGCTTGCCTGGTGTTCCTGTCTTTTGCTTTCTGGTGTTGTTTAGTTCAGATCTGAATTTGGAAAGAGCCATGGGAAGCCATATGAGCAAGAGGCCTGGTGAAAGCTCAGCTGCAATTAGCAGCATTCAAATAGCAACAGAGCTCAATTCATATGAAGCTGCCTGCAAGGTGGATGAAGATTTGCAGTCGTTTGACTCAAGTCTTCATGCTCGAACAAATCACGTAATAAGTACTCTTGCTGCTGGGGTTGAAGTTAGAGCCCTCTCCTTTGATTCTTTGAAGGAAGTTACTGGATGCCTTCTGGAAATGAACCAGGAAGTTGTTAAGGTTATCTTGGAGTGTAAGAAGGATATTTGGAAGAATCAAGAATTGTTTGAACTCGTGGAGGAGTACTTTGAGAACAGCTTGAAAACTCTGGATTTCTGTGCTGCTTTAGAGAAGTGCTTAAAGCGAGCTAGGGATAGCCAATTGCTGATTATGGTTGCCCTTCAGCAATTTGAAGAGGAGAATATTGGGGTTGAAGGAAACAAGTATACCAGAACTTTGGATGAATTGAAGAATTTCAAGGCTGCTGGCGATCCTTTCACTGAGGAATTCTTCCAGATTTTCCAATCTGTTTACAGGCAACAAATGCTGATGCTTGAGAAGCTGCAGACGAAAAAGAACAAGCTCGATAAGAAGCTTAAGTACATTCATGCTTGGAGAAAGGTCTCAAGTATTATCTTTGTTGCTACATTTGCTGCTGTTCTCATTTGTTCAGTTGTGGCTGCTGCCATGGCTGCTCCACCTGTTGCTGCCGCCCTTGCCGCCGCAACTTCCATCCCTTTAGGCTCGATGGGAAAGTGGATTGATTCTCTTTTTAAGAATTACGAAATGGCTATTAAGGGACAGAAGGAGATCATTAACTATATGCAAGTGGGTACTTATGTAACCATCAAGGATTTGGACAGTATCCGAGTGCTGATCGACCGACTGGAAATTGAAATTGAGGCCCTCTTAGCAAATACAGATTTTGCTACCACTGATGATGCTGCTGTGAAGATTGGCATTGAAGAGATAAAGAAGAAGCTGGATGCCTTTATGAAGAATGTTGAAGATTTAGGGGTTCAAGCCGATGTTTGCAGCCGTGATATTCGCAGGGCGAGGACAGTTGTGCTTCAGAGGATTATTAAGAATCCCAACAACTGAAAGAGACAGGAAGACCTTCACCTATCATCGGTACTCCTACGGCTACAAGGACGGTTTTCTTTCAAAAAGATTCATCAAGCATCCCAAGTCCAACCATTGGAAGAAAGGAGAGACCTTTATCAGGTCTGCTACTGCTGCTAACAGTTACCATATTGTCGAAAAACGACTTCAAAATTATGTGTCTTTTAATGTTCATTTAGTCCTTGAGATCTGTGACTCAATTTAGTGCTTTTGAAACCATCGCTTCTGTCAGGCTAACAAGGGCTAATGACTTGATCATTTTATCATGTTACTTTTTCAGTTTAACAGTTCATTTATTCTTGATGTAATTAAAGTTTTAGATATCTGATTCGTTTGAAGAACTGCAATTTCATTCAATTTCGACTTTTGTGCTGTTGCTATCTACCTATCTATTATCATCTGGAAATATTTTCTCACATACATCAAGTAGAGAGAAAAAAATCACATTTTGGTGTTGTGAAGTTGTTACAATCAAGCAGCTTTCCCAGATTCCAGTTAGGGAGAAAAATGGTCCCCTTTCTAAACTCTTTCAGATAGTCAAGCACCTAACAGCATCTTGGAAATAGTCAAGCAAATTTAGTGGCTGAAAGTTGGAAAGTGAAACTAATAGTCTATCGCAATATTAGGTAGAGTATCATCTGATCTCTTGGTTGAAATTGTGAGAATTAGGTAAAGATGACTAGATTGACTAACTTTGGTGTTCCGTTTTTAGATCCTGCAGTTTTAGTTAGGCACTGCAACCACCTCGTATGCGTAGCACTTGGTAGATCTTGCTCTAGTTTAGCAACCATTAAAACCATACAACGCAGAATACTGAATACTCACGGACGGTTGAAAATACCTACCAAATTCCAATTAATGTGACGCGATAAACATGATAACCAAAAATGAACACGAAGATTGTACCGATCAGATACAAATATAAGAAGAAATAATATGGTTTGACAAATTGTATGATCAAACATGGGCAGAGCAAAAATCATGATTGCTGCAATCATGCTAATGAGAAAATATATGAACAATGACTGTTTTTAAAGCCAAAAAATTGGCTTGCACCGGATATTCAAATATGTTGCAGGCTTGCAGCTGCAAAATGGACAGAGGCTGAGATAACATAAATTTCGAACGAAATGGATGAGAAAAAGGTTAAACATGTATAGAAACCAGTCAAGATGGCTATGAAGGCAAAGTTTAGTACACACTTCACTGTATAAAGTCCCCCTTCTATTCCTTCACCGGGAAAGTTGCCCTTAAAATAAAAATCGGAGAGCAACTAATTGATCCTTCTGAAGGAACGTTTCCAACTCCATCAAGCATGAAGTTGCTCGGTTGAACATAAATGTGAACCTCAGCAGGATCAACACCAAAAACATTGTCCAAGAAGGATGGGCAACAGTGCTTGTAAGCTATGGTTATGGCATTAGCTGCCCGCACATTGGAATGAAGGCATTCTCAGAGCACATATCATACAGCGAAAGTTTGATTTGTAGTACATTGGCAGCATGACAAAAGCACAAGGAGCATCAATCATCATTTGGTGCAGCAGATGTGTTATAGCACAAAAAGGAAGCATGTTGTAGCCAATTAAGATTTGTACTAAAGCATATAAACTAATTTGCATATTACTCTTGTAGCGGGGAACTTGCGCATCAACATGGGGACGTGCTTAAATTCAGACATAATTGGCATTCAATTCCAATCTTAGTGCATAGTGGCCCTCAAATATTCTTGTTTCCTACTCATTTCGGATGCATCTACAGAAGCTCAGGACAGTTACTTTTCACACAGTCTCAATCAATGTTTGTCCTGTTCTACAATTGCTGGTAGAAAAACCAAATAACTAGTACAGTAGTACCTAAAATCAATCCCTTCATGGAAAATGGCAAGCCATAGTTGATTTCGATGATCTTTTCGCACTGAAAGCATCTAATGCAAGGTTGATGCAGCAGCCTCCCAGTTCTCTCAACTGCAATGAACCCCGCAATACGAAATATAGAAAATTCACCCTAATACAAGCATTTTTCATCAAAAAACTGCTCTTGGGAACATATTTGATGTAACCTTGGCATCCCTTGTCTGCAGGTTCATTTTCTCAAAGGTCACAAGCAATTCAGCTTCCTGAAATAAAGAAAGCTGCAGTCCTGCTATAATGTATATTCTCAAGCCAACAATTGTCGAAAACCGACGATAACAACACATACGGGGGGTTACTAAACTAGCACAACGATACATAGTACAGCCTTCAGCATTTTCCATATGGCATCAGAGGACAATGCTTCCGTCTTATCTTTTCATTTTACAGTATTTCTACTGATGAAAACCTTCCGTCTCTCTCTAGCTCTTGAGCTCTCGGCGCACGTTATTAACGTACGCTAACCATGGCAAGACCGCAAAGAATTGGAAGGGGAAAGCTGTTGTTGTTGAAGAAGAGCAACCGGAGGAAGAATTACGTCATGGTATGGAGGAGTTATCACCACCGAGGAGGACTCATATTGGGTGGAGCTTCTTCATCTAGCAAAGCGTCGGAATCTGGCAACTGTTCTAAATTCTCTAAATTTGCATAATCACGCATTGGAATTGCTCTGTAGTCAAAGGATTGTGAAGGATGGGGTTGAATTGCTTGAGAAATTAGAGGAACACAAGCAAAGTTGGAGTCAACAACTCAAAGTAGAGACTAAGTTTCACTATTGCGAATAGGAAGGTGGCTAAAATTAATCAAGTTGATATACCGTCTGAAATTGATTACTGGGAAACTCTGTTTTGTGCTATTTGAAAATGAAGATGGGAATGTGATCACTCAGAAGGCTGCAATATGACTGGTTCCCTATAAAATGTTCTAAGTGCAAGGGGTTTGGGCATGAAGGGCAGAATTGTGGAGCTGTGACAACTGAGAGGAACCCCAGGGGCAAATGATATGAAGAAAGAAGGTGACTGAGATACAACAAGTCTCAGCAGGCACAAACCAGCATCAAATGCCACTAGAGAAGAAGAATGAACACCAAACTTTGCAGGAGGAGGTTATGGAGGAAAGTGATAAAAGTCCTAAAGATGTATCAATTAGAATAGTCAACTGTGAAGGATGTGGAATTTAAAGGAGGAGCAGCCAAATACACCATCTAGAGGCCTAGCCTTAATGGATAGTGTCTTTTTTGGAATGTAAGGGGACTTAATAGTCTCCTGAAACACAGGGAGGTATAACATAACCTCTCTATTAATAAGGTAGGGTTAGCAGGACTAATTGAAACTAAATTAAGTGAAAAAAAAGGTGAAGGAACTAATGGAAGGAAAATGGAAGCAGTATAGGCTACTTAAGACGAATGACAAGGCGAATGACAAGGGAAGAATTTTAGTATTATAGAGGCAGTAGGAGTATGATGTGAACGTGTTGATCTCAGATGAACAACTAGTGCATTGTGAGGTGTGGAATATAACTCAACAGTGCAGATTTATTAATGACATTGGTGTATGGTGATCCGCAGGCAAACCATAGAAACAAGTTACGGCAAGTATGAACCGCCTGCTGATTGCAGTTAGCATTGGAGGAAGTTTATGTTAATTAAACAGAAACTGAAAGAGGGAGTTGGAAGCTGGAATTTGGGAGTTTGGAAGAATGAATACAGTACCAAGAATGGTTATGATCAGTGGAGAAGTAAAAGGTAGAAGTTTGAAGCAGTAGTCAAGGTTTGGAACATAACATGTTTACCAAAGCATAGTTTCATTTTAAAATTATTTTATTCAATAAAAGTATTTTTTTGAATTTTTTAAAATACCAAAAATACCCCTATTGACCGACGTCCGAAATAGTCAAACTGACGGAATAGTACCAAAAGACCAAAAAATTTATAAACATAGAAGTAGAGAACCAAAACAGACAAATATTGATGTAGGGGACCAAAATGTGCAAACGGTTTAATGTAAAGGACCAATTTTAGATTTTAGTCAATTTAAAAACATGAAAAAGAAAAATTCGAGTTGAAGTAAAAATTAAAATTAATAATTTATTATTTTAAACCTAAAAAAAATAAAAATTAGCTAAGGAAGGTTATTTCATCTAGGTTATTTAATTATTTTCAACTCGAGGTTATTTAATTATTTTCAACTCGAGTTAATTATTAATTTTTATGTTTACTTTAATTTTGAATTTCTCTTCTATATTTTTTTTCTTCTTCTTTTTTTTTTTCTAATCTAGAAGTTATACAAATGAAAAATTAATTTTTGAAATTTAATAATTATTATAGTACCAACATATACAAGTTAGGAATTAAAAGAAGAAGAACCGTAAAAAAATTAATTAAAGTATTATATTTTAAGAAAAATACAGAGTGAAATTACACCTAGGCTCAAAAGCATGTGAAAAATAAATTTTCGTCACGATTTAATATCCAAAATAGCTTTCAACTAAGAGAAGTTGTTTCGCCAAGGTTATTTCGGTTGGTTAATTACGAAGGAAAACTATCTATCACATGGTTCTGGGTTCAGAGGTAATTTCATCATTTTATATATTTTTAAAAAAATATTAAGATTTTAATTATTTTGTTTATAATTATTTTTCTTTTATTTTCTAACTTGTATTTGTTGGTAATAGTATTTCATTTGTATCTTAATTTCTAGATTATTAAAAAAGAATAAAGAAAAACAATAAAGAAGAAATATTCAACTTGAAGTTAATGTGAAAATTAATAATTAAATAATTAAATAAACTAGAAAAAAGAACTTGTCTTGGCTAATTTTGTAGTTTTTTTTTTTGGTTTAAAATAGTAAATCATTAATTTTCATGTGTACTTCAACTCAAATTTTTCTTCTTCATTTTTAAATTCTTTAAAAAAAAATTTATAATCTAGAAGTTAAAATACAAAAGTAAAATTAATTTTTGAAATTTAGTGATTATACTACAACATATACAAGTTAGGAAGTATTCCCACCGGTTCTTAATATAAGGCCTTTTTATTTGTCCTAGGTTTCACCTGATACATATTCTTAATTGATAAAAAATTTTAAAAATATATTTTCACATTCTTTGTGTTTTCTTGATTGTTATGAAATTTTTTAAAGTTCTTTTTGTCAAGTAAAAATGCGTATTTAGTGAAACGTATGACAAATCAAAATGCCTTATAATAAGGACACGATGGAGTATAAGAAGAAGAATTGTAAAAAATAAAAACTTAATTAAAAAATAAAAAACGACAAAATACCCCTAAATCTAAAAACATGTGAAAAATAGCTTTCTGTCATTATTTAACGGTCAAAATTAACAGAATGATCTCGGATGAATTTTTTTACTTAGTACGGTGACTTATTTTGGAAATAAATTTGATGGGTTATCTGTGAAGAAAGTATCGAATAGTTCAATGACATGTTTTGTGGTTAAAAAAATAAGTGTTGAAAAAAGTGTTAAAAAAAAGTGTTGACATCTAGTGGTTAGGCTTTCTGGAGACAAAATACTATGACTGCATTGGGTGGAAAGGGAGACTTGTATTGCTTCTATATTATACTCCCTCCATCCCATAATTATTGTCCAGTTTTATTAAAATGAAAGATTTTATTTTTTGTCAAACTTAACTATATTTTACCTTAAATAACCGGATATACCCCTACATAAGTAATTGTTTAACCATTAAGATTTTATGGATAATGTTTTTTACTAAGGACAAATGTGTAACTTGATCCATAAAAAGTCAAATTGGACAATAATTTTGGGACAAAATTTTTTGGGCAAAGTGGACAATAATTATGGGACAGAGGGAGTACAACAATACGACCGGGATAGCTATTCACAACCACGACGTGATAAAGGCAATCAACTAGTCCTGGAGGAGGCATATTTTGTTGTAATATATACATGGCAATGTTGTAACGTGTCCCTAGATGTGTTCAGTTTTTAACTTGTAGAGGCTGGTTTCAGAACGAAAAGGGAAAAAGGGAAAGAAATAAAAACAATACATGTATCTAATATAGTCCATTCACTCTGCATCGAAATTCATCATCCAACCATGACTGCGGAAAGGAAAAGGGGGCAAAAAAAAAAAAAAAGAGCATTTAATACGAGTCTAACTTGAGTAGTGTAATTTCATGAGCTCTTGGGTTCTGGAGCAACATACATAAGGTTTTATTGCAAAGTAGCAGAAAATTAAGAGCATCACTTCAACAACAATTTAAGCTCGAATAGGCAAACGATGGTCAGGATTTTAAAAGCTCGCCAAGTTGGTACTAGTAGACTACTAGTAGTAGACAAAAGAATTCCCAGCTAATGACTGAAATCAAAATACCAAAGGAGGTTAAATAAACAAACAATTGCAAACCTTGGAGATTGACTGTAGGAACTTCACCACGTATCCGGGGGAGAGCACGGCGGTAAATAAGGAGGTGGACGAAAGCCTTCATGTCACTGAATCTTCCTCCACCATGGGGTTGCTCTCCAACACCTCGCAAACCTCTGTTTCCAACCGCCTCTTCCAGCAGGACCCGGTTCCTTACATCGATCTCCAAACTCTTGTATACACTTGTGCTCCCAAAGATCCTCACTTGAGGTCAAGGATCGCAATTCCTGGCATACACAACCGAGTTTCGCAACATAGTCACCGCGCAACAGCTCCAGGATTTTTAGTTTAACATCAGTCGGCAGCATCATAAAGCAAGGCACCAGGGGATCTAGTCCAAATTCCTCACATAAATCAGTTAAGAAAGGCAATGCAAGATTGTCTTTCACTGCCCTCCAAAATTCTATCACCTGTTCCTCAGGGGATCTCATCGAACCTTTATCTGTTCTGATTTTATCTTTCAGTCCGGGGCCACAATTAGCCCATACGGCACCAAAGTAAGATGCTGACTCTAGTTCATTAAGCTGCACCCCGTGCCTCATCCTCATCGTCGTCGTCGTCGTCCATGCAGAAGAATCCAGTAATAAGTATCCGAACAGGGACATATACTTAGAGGGATAATCAAAGTCCAACTGAACAACAGGACACTCCAAATTACTACTACTCGGACGGCGACGAAGTGTGTAAAAGAGGGATAAATCCCGAGTATCTGAAGGCCAAGCATTCCGGAATTGGAATGTTTTGACTACACTCTTGGAGTCCATATCAAAGCCTATGAAGCCAGATTCTATGAAAACACAATGGATAGCAATAACCAATAGTTTACGGCCGAGGCATTGACATATACACCGGCGGCAACAATCGGAATCAGTGTCACCGAGACCGCCTAATTCTTTCTTGAACGCTTTATTCAACAACTCAGGTACATAAAACGGCTTCCTCAACATCTCATCATCCTCGTAATCATCCTCCAAAGGCTTACTGTCTGATTGATCGCCTTGTTGAAACGGCTCACACGACACATCTGGATTCGGCGGCGGCTCCATCAAAACTGGTGGACTTGTGGAGGTGGAATTCATTTGGGGATCCGGAAAGATAAAAGATATTAAATCACCGGACCTCCAAAATCGGACCGAAATTCGACGGAAGTTAGAATCAACGTTTTAGGGTTTCTCTTTGTATCCAGCCATCTCTGATTTTGAGCTTTCAGATTTTTTTTTATATAGAGATAAATAAAAGTGTATATATATAGACAATTATTTACTTATTTTTAATTTACTACATCACCGTAAAATTTTTGCAAAAACAAAGTAAATATGAAAACGGTAAGTAATACTAGTAAAAGTTTACGAAAACCATAGTAACTTCATCAAGATTAATGGTTGGTACAGTGCTTTTTTTTATATCAAAAATATTATTAATGAAATATTTAATGCTTTATGAAATTTCATCCCGCAAAAGATTGTCAATTCAATATGAAATTGTTAAATTTACTAGTACTACTTATAATAAAATACAATCTCCTCAGGTGGGCAATGTTGACTTTGACACTCGCATCTCACCGGTTGTTACTAGTATTCAAGTCAGTAACAAATTAGAATTATCCTTCCTCCGCAGGTTATACATTTAGTACTACTACTACTACTACTTATTTCTTTTCATAATTTTAGCGATCAATCTTTTTTTCCTCGTGGCTGTTTGTTTTATGATCCTGTTGATCCTTTTATATTCATTATGTTCTCCGATTTATTAATTTTTTTTAAAGGTTTTTTCTTCAATCAAAAAAATATATTAAGTGAAACTTAGGATAAGCAAAAATATCTTATAATAAGGACGGGAAGGAGTATTCCGTATTATAGCCGGAGAGTGTTATAATTGTGTCTTTTACCTGCACCAATTCTGCTGGGGGACTAGCTAACTTGACCTCGGGGTGGAATTTTTTTTTTTTGGTTGAGTTTGAATATCTGAAAGCAGCCTGCTAGGTTTCTTATACTCATCAATCAGTAGATTGAGGATAGGCTTATGACTGTAGTAATGTTTGATCATTTTAGTTGCAGCTCTTGCGTACAGGTGGAAAAGTTTGTAAAAAGCGGGATCTCATTGTGCTCGACAGTACTTAAGCTTGATGAATTACTCTTTGTGTTTTCAATTTTATCCATTTAGAAATCTGGTTCATTTCAACTGCAATTTTATTCGAAATTGGTACGTAGAGCAAAATGCAGTTTTAAGAGTCTCCGGTGATCTTAAGTTGATTTCCAGCGTGCTAGAAAAAATGATCCCGCCACACCACCACCCCCGCCCGCCCGTAAATTTTCAGTCGGTCAAGCACGTAACAGTCATCAAGCAAGTAAATGGCCGTAAACCCAAAATCCACCATCTATCGCGATATTATTAAGGATCAAAATCTTATCTCTTGGTTATATATAATTGATGGTGTTAAGGATACTACTAGGTCGACTTTATTTCGTACACCTGGTACTTGATCGTTCTTCTTTCTTGTTTCGCAGCCATACAACCCAATGCTCACGCACACTTACAGGTTGGTACAGATTAATGTGAAGTTTCCAATGATGAACATAATGGTTGAAGAACAACATATATTCACACAAGGGGAACAAAATCTCAACTATAAGATAAACGAAAAAGCGTAGATTTTGCTTTCGTGATGATTTCTTACAAAACCAAAATGGGCTTGGGTCGAAAATTCATAAGTGTAGCAGCAGCAAAATAGGCACATGCTGAGACCACATAAATTTTAAACCAAATGGATGCGAAAAAGGTCAAAAATGTACACACACCAGTCAAGGTGATAACAAAAACAAAGTTTAGCACACACTTCACTGTCGAAAGCTCGTCTTCTATTCCTTCTCCGGGGAAGTGGCCATTCACATAAAAGTCGGAGAGCAGTTGATCCTTCTGACGGAATGTTTCCATCAGCCATGAAGTTGTTCCGTCCTCAGATTCTGGGAGGTCAGATATATTTACCCGCTCAATATGGATGTGAACCTCAGCAGGATCAACACCAAAAGCATTATCCAGGAAAGATGGACAACGGAACTTGTACCCGATCGTTATGTCATAAACTGCACCCCATTTGGTACAAAGGAGTTAGCAGAGCGCATAATTTAGTGGGGAATGGAATTTGATAGTATACTGCCGAGACAGTTACTAAAGCACAATCATACAGAAGTCGTTTTAAAGTTTAACGAGTTGCAGAGAGCAAAGGAATCATCTTTTGATGCAACAGATGTTCATATTTGTGCTAAACACAAACTACTCTTATAGCTGGAAAATTGCACATCAATTAGACACACTCAAATTCAACATAAAAGTCATTCAGTTCCAAAGTAAAAGTCACTACACATGTACAGATTATTTGTTTACAAGTTCAGGATACAGAGGGCGAATCATTTTTGTTTCTGGGATCAGTCAGAGGTGAATGATAACAACCAACATCAGTAATATCCCAGGCTCAAAGTAACTACATGAAGAAACTTAGTGCGTACCACAAAAGAAGAAATGGATTACAAACAATCATCAGAACGGTATCAGTGCAACTTTGCCAGTGAAAGACAATCACCATCCCTAAATATAACCAAGGAATGCAGATATGCAATATATGGAGAAAGAGTAAAAAAATCTAGAACACAAAACTTGAGGAAAAAAAGGGGAACGTTTTTAATCGCATAAACAGAGAACACTAGATGAAAGAAAGCCACACATCCATGGAGAAGGGGTAACCTGCATCTAATGAGCCTCGTAAACATTCTATGCATGCATAAAATCCTTTTGTTTTTGGAAGCAGCACGTTTTTCATAACAGGAAGTCCTGTCTCAGCAGCATATTTTTTACTGCGAAGGCATTTCTGTTCTCTGCATAATGTCAAATGAAGCAAATTCAGCACAAGATTCTGATGATAGTAAGTTAGGGGGTAAAAAGCTAAAAAAAGAATAATACTATTACGAATAACATATCAAACCTGCATCTTAGGGTACAAAGCTTAAAGCAGTTAAACTAAAATGTTAGCCTATCTTAGTGGGTAATGAAGTAATGGTACTAAAAAATTCTTGACTCCTACTCATTCCATATGCAGCTAACATATCAATATATTATAGACTGTCTAACAGTTGCTGGGAGAAAAGGCAATAGCATAGTACGTGAAATCAGTGCCTTCAGGAAAAACGGCAAGCCATAGTGGATCTTCAGGATCTTTTAACATCGAAAGCATCTGATAGATGGTTGATGCATCAGCCTCCCACTTTCTCTCAACCGGAATGAACTCTGCGATATGGAAAATCCACCCAAATACAGGCATTTTCATCAAACTGCTCTTGAGAACATACTTGATACAACCTTGGCAACCCTTACGCACAGCAAGATCCCACAAGTACATCCAATCAACCTCAGTCCTGTGGTTTGCAATAAGCAACGCACGCTCCCTTGCTGGGACAGACTCTCCGGAGAAGACCACTTTGGTCTGGTTTATTTTCTCGAAGAAAAACGGCCACAAAGCAATCCAGGTTCCTAGAAAAAAAGAAGTTGCTGTCCTGCTATAATGTATGCTAAAAAACCTCAAGCCAAAAGCCGTCCAAAACCCGCAGTATATCAACAGCATGAATGCGGTCAAAACTAAGACAATCAAACATAGTACACCCTTCAGCATTTTCCATGGCGTTAGAGGACAATGTTTTTGTTTATCTTTTGATTCTACTGATGAACAAGCTTCCATCTAATCTTAAACTGCAAGTTCAAATCTCCAGCAAAGGCCACAACTTCCTCAAGTAAGCAGATTCAACCTAGATAAGATAGACCACTATTAATTCCCAATATGATGCAAAAAAGGACATTATTGTACTACTGAGAAAAATTTCTGTTCTGATCACATTCTTGGACATAATTCATTCGCCTTTTCCAGAGCAACAAATCCGTAGAGTTTCATCAAACATTCACAGGAACCAAGGAAGAAACATGAATCAGACTGCATACATAAATCATCAAAGAAAAGGGAATAAGCTACCTTTTCCAGCTCTCAAGTCCCAAATCCCCAATTTCCAGGCAAAGAATACAGGCACAAACACAAGAAGAAAGGATATTTCTACAAATTAATGTACAAATTCAATCATCGTACCTACTTATGCAACAGGAAACACAACTTAACCAAGAAATTGAAGGAAGACCAATTTGTCAACTTTTAGGTCAATATATATCAAACGGGGACCCATGGAATTTTGAAGAAATGGACACTTTTAGGCGAAACTCTGCCCTTTGTTGTGAGTGACATACATGTGCATTAGGTAAAAAATGCAAGCTTTCCTAGTCAGGATTAATATATTCTTCAAGTAGCCAATGAATTCAATTAAAGAATGAGACTTACACTTGAACAAGTCTTTGTCTATCCTTCTAGCACCATTAAAATTAACCAATAACATCCCCAGAAGCTTCGCAAACTAAAAAGAAGCAACAAATTATAAAAAAAAAAAATGCCACCTTAAATAAAGATTGAGAAACCTTGAGCTTGAGCATTTCTTTTTTTTTTTGTTCCAAATTTTACAACACTCATAAACAAATTGGGAAGCTGAAGGCAAGTGGGGTTAAGCTCGTTTCAGCCCAGCTATGTGAAAGAAGGAAGAAACTGACCTCGTTCAAACGAATTTGTAGAAGGCTCTGAAACTGAATGGTAATGATTGAGAGATGAAGACCCAAAAGGCCAAAACAATAGAGGGAAGGTGAAAACGAAAGGTGGTATTGAAAATTACTATAAAGAGTTCCCTCCCCTTCCCCACTTTTGCTATATTTTCGGAGATACCCACTCACCCTGTCGGATGCTAACGGGTACGATGTGGCAATAATAACGTTTTGCCTCGACCCAAAAAAGTAATTATTCTATCGTCCCATAATTATTATCTAATTTTAATTTTGATTTTGATTTTTAGTTCAAATTGTACTAAAAGTGCAATTTTAAGCTGGACAATAATTTTGGGACGAAAGGAGTATTTATCGTTTGCTTATTCGTTGAGGAAAAACGAAATGTTGACAGGGGGAATTCATTTCTAAAGGGAAAGAGGGTTTCACATCTTAGTTCGTTATTAGAAATGTAATCAAAATCATAAAATATTCCATCCGTCCCATAATTATTGTCTAGTTCGAATTTTCACTTTCAGTTTAAATTGTAGTAAAAGTAAAATCTCAAATTGGATAATAATTTTGGGATAGAGAGAGTACTTCATAATCACTTAATACTCTCGAGTTTGATAATTGATAAGCCGGTCTTTCTTTTCTTTCTCCCCCCTAAATAATTGAACCGATTGTGATTGTCTTTTTTATATACGATGATCATAAAAGTTATTCGTACTGATTCCGTCTTGAAATAATTTTTCAATTTAAATTTTTATGCTTTGCTTAATTTTAACTTAAAAGTGAAATTTTAAGTTTAAAAAAAAATTTAAACAGAAAGAGCATCATTTTGGTTTACATGTATTGTCTTCATGTTTGGTTACTTGTACTCTTCTTTCCATTAATTTTTTTTTTCACTTTTTTTATGCTAATAATTTAGTTTAATAAAATACTCCATTTATCATAACATGGTTGTCCAACTTAGAATTATACTAAAATTGTGATTTCAAGCCAGATAATTATTTTAGAGTACAAGGAGTATTCTTTTTGGGATACAGAAAAGATTAAAAAACAAAATTAATTTGGGGTTGTATGGACCACCCTCTGAAACAAAGCGCTCTCCATCTAGTTTGGGAGCCATAAATGTTGACATTTGGGATGCCAAACAAAGTCGTCAATAAGAAAATCAGATGTCGAAGAATTTCGCTGCTAGTAATATTGTTAAAAAAAAAAAACGTGATAGTTCATTGAATATTATATTCGTAACAGGTGGACAGTTCCATTTCGCTGCCATTAATGTGATGATTTTTTTGTTTTGTTGATTAAACTTGCTCAAGACACCTTACGGTGACCGTTCCCAGTTTAAAAAATTTGTGTGAAGATTACTAGGTGTTAGACCTGTCCGATGGACGGGGAAGACATACACATTTAGACATTTTTATATAAATTTTGTATTTTTATAAAATATGTAATGACTTCAATTTTAAACATGATTACCTTTGGATTTACAGGAATTTGTTTTTTTTAAATGACATTTTAAATTCACTGGTGATAAGGTTTATGCAGATCTCTCTAAAATTTATTAGGATTTGGTACTCTCTCTAATCAATCTTTGTGTTAGGATTTGGTTCATGAAAATAAAGGTTCGGTTTTTATTATTTTATTTTTTTTAAAAAAATTATTTTAGTTGTTTTTTTTTGTTTTATTATTTTTTTTGTGCATTTTAAAGTCTAAGAAATTACCTATGTGGCATGTGGTCCATGCCTTTAGTTTTCTCGCTCTGATTTTTGCCTTAGTATAGTATATAAATAGATTTGAATATACTGCAAAATCTCTTTTCTTTTATTTTTTAGTAAAAAGTAAAATAAAATGATTAGCATGGGGGGGACTTGTATCAAAGCCCAAATCCCACAACTTATTCACCAACTTCTAAGGCCCAAAAGGAATGAATCAGATTAGTAATCCAAGCCCAACGCTAACTCGATCTCGCAACAAAAGTGGAGTCGGCGGCAAGCAAAACAAAATTCCGGCACCGTTAAATACTTGAACCCAGTCCCACTGCGACGGTACGGAATCCGCTTCCAACACTGAGACGGAAAAGTCTCCTTAATTGACTGAAACTCCCTAAAAACCCTCAATTCTCAGCGCCATTGCTGCTCAGCTTTCATAATTGACCATGGATATCGACGTCCCTGAGTACAAACTAAGTTCCCAGCTCCGCGGCCACGAAGACGACGTTAGATTCTATCCCCTGCTACTTGAATTCGACTTTAAAATTTTCAATTGCTTGTCTGATCACGGATTTCTCTTATTAATTTTTGTAAATTTACTGTTAGTTGTTGAATGTATTGCTCAAGTCGTATTTGTTCTAAATAGGCTCGTGGAATTTGCATTTGTGACAATTTTGGCATCGCTACATCATCGAGAGATAAGACGATTAGGTTCTGGACTCTGGATGAATCAAACAAGCGGGATTACACCTCTTCGAAGATTCTTTTAGGTCATACAAGCTTTGTTGGGCCTGTGGCTTGGATTTCGCCCAATGATGAGTTTCCAGAAGGCGGTCTTGTGTCGGGTGGGATGGATACGCTTGTTTTGGTGTGGAATTTGGCATCTGGAGAGATAGTTCAGACATTGAAGGGGCATTCGCTCCAGGTTACTGGTGTTGCTCTGGATGGCTCAGACGTGGTGTCTTCTTCCATTGATTGGTATGTGGTTATTGTAGTTGTTCCCCTCTTATGTTTTTTATTGGCAGTTAATTGGCATTGTAGATGTTAGTATGTTGGATCGTTAGCTTAGCTATGCCTTTGAAAGGTATCAAGCTCTTAACAGTGCGAGTTATCCTGGTAAATGGGGATTTGAAATGTTTTACCTGTCTGATATTTGTTTGTAGTGTGTCATAACCGGTTCCAGTGATAAAAGAACAGTCTCGTGAATTCACAAGTTTGACGCCCGCAGTAATATATGTTTCTAAAGTGCGCTGGTAAAATCAGATTAACTCCTTGTCGCCTGCAATTTGTGGTGATCACTTGCTGTCTAATTCTTGAATTATGCTAGAATCTCAATCTTAGTTTTCCTCGCACAATGCTGTAAAAGAAAGGGTAAAGAGATATATCTTTATGACATGGAGTTGAATAAGTGAAATCGTGAATGATCAACTTGACATGGGAAGAAGGCTTAGTACTTTATGCGAATAATTAGAAGAACCTGCTGAGCCTTTGTAGTTTGTACAAATACATGTAATTTGCTATGCTGTCTATACTCAAGCCATTAGCATTACTCTTCTCATATAGGTTGTTTTTCTCTATCAATATTTTTTTTTCTTTATATATCAATACTCATGTATCGGTTAAGTTTCAACAAATCGTGTATATTTAGTTGTTATAAATTCTTCCCCTTCCCTTTTAGTTTGAGTTTATGTTTTTTTAATTCTTTTTTGCACCTTATCGAGGTATTCAAAGGTCTCTTGCCATTTTCTCATTCATTGCAAGTCCTACCTTGTTTACAATACGTCATTACTAATCATTCTGGTATTATGTTTCTTTCAACATTTTCTTTTGTAGTGCTATCATGTTTATATTCATCTTCAGTTTTCTGTTGCCAATACCCTTACCTAGAAGGACCACCCCTTTATAAGACTTTGTTGTTGGTTTAGCTGTACTTTTGTGGTTACGTTGAAATATTGTGGGTACAAAGTGCTACTATATGTGGTGCTTTCCGACCTCCACTTGCAATATGTAAAGGGTAGTTTATCTTTCACTTAGATAGATGTAACTCTCCTTATCTTAGTTAAATTATCATTGTCTTCATTAATATATATATATATATATATATATATATATGAAAGCATATCTTCCATCCAACTTTTATGAGTCTGTTAATAGCGTAAACATTATCATTTCAAATGTTACACACATTTGGTTTATGTGTTAGCTCTCTTGTTCATTTCCCTCATCTTTTATGTTTATTATAATTACTTCTCTTCTTGTCTTTATATTAAATCTTTTATTCCTTTTCCTTTCACTCATCTTCAAAAGATTTCATCACTTCCTTTGTCATTGCTTTGAATCTCGGTTGGTCTTTCATCATCTCTTTTATAATTGCCATGTATTTTGGTTGTCTCAGTTCATTGAGGAGATGGAAGAATGGCCAACAAGTTGAAGTTTGGGAAGCACATAAAGCAGCAGTCCAAGCAATAATTAGGTTACCTTCCGGAGAACTTGTCACCGGTAATGATTACAGATGACTTATTTGAAATTATATGGACAGTGAACATTGTCATATGGCACTTTCTTCTATTGCCTTCGCCATTTACTTTTTGACACATTTTATTATCTGAGTCCGGATGGATAATCATTGATTTTCTGGATTTTTTATTATTTAATTTTAACTTTATGATAATGAAATGGACCGTGCATGTGGTATTCAGGTTCTAGCGACATGACCTTAAAGCTTTGGAAAGGGAGGAGCTGTGTGCATACCTATGTTGGGCATACAGGTTATTCAAACATTCCCATACTTTAGTCACAAGATTGGTTTTGTTTTCTGTTAACGTCTATCGTCTACTGAACTGTTTATTGTGTATTTATACTTTCTGATTTCCATTATATTTCCATCTAACTCTCACCTCCACCTGAAATAACCTACATGTAGTCTGACTAGCCACCAGTTAATTTAAGATATTGTTTCATTGACTGAATTTGAGGCCTATCAAGCTTACTGCGACATCTTGCTTGATGCTGTACCTATTTTTTCAACTGCTCAATTTGAGGATACATATTTTTGGTTGTAGATATTGTCGTTGTCGCTGTCACTATATGCAGTCAGTTTGTTTGTTTTGGAGCTGGTGAACGAATTAGGGTATCTGTGAACCGTGAGAATCAATTGATCTGACTGGCATGAATGAACTACTGTATGTATTCATTTTATTTGTTTTGGGTTGGTGAATGAATTAGGGTATCTATGAAACTAGGGAATCAATTGATCTGACTGGTATGAGTGAACCAGTTAACTTGATTATCTTGTGAAACATATCTGATACAATCTGAAGTATGAAGCAGCTTATATCATCAGTGCTCTGTTAATATTCCTTCTCATTTTGCAGACACGGTTCGGGGCTTGGCTGTGATGCCTGGTTTAGGAATTGTTTCTGCATCCCATGATGGGTAATGCACTTTATTTTAGTCTTTTTTTTTTGGTGTGTGTGTGCGTCCTTTATTGGAAAAGACTTCCCTTTTGCTCTTTTTTATGCATGCACTAACGGTTTTTCTGTCATGGCAGCTCCATCAGGTTGTGGGCAGTTAGTGGTGAGCTCCTAATGGAGATGGTTGGTCACACTGCTCTTGTCTATTCTGTAGATACCCATAATTCTGGGCTTATTGTCAGTGGCAGCGAAGACAATTTCGCTAAAATTTGGAAAGGTAATCACGTTGTTGAAATTATTTGTTTTTCTTCTCTTCTTTTCATCCTCGCCCCCAGTAGTGTTTGGGTTCACAGTGGTTGTTAGGGGAAAAGTTGAGTACCTTTTTTTCATCGTCCTCCCCAAACATCACGAGTGCTTCTCTGGATGGACGTTTGAAAATAGATTGGATTTGGCTGTTCATGAATTTCTGTCAATGGAACCATTTGTTCTCTCTTTTTAACATACAAATAATTTTGCATTGTAGATGGAGTATGTATTCAAAGCATAGAGCATCCTGGTTGTGTTTGGGATGCAAAGTTCTTGGAGAATGGAAACATTGTGACTGCATGTTCTGATGGGGTTGTCCGCATTTGGACAGTTCATCACGATAAGGTGGCTGATTCAGTGGAACTTGAAGCTTATACTTCTCTAGTTTCTCAGTACAAAATTAGTAGGTACAGTATCTTAACTATTCTTGTTTTGGACTGTTAATGTGTTTGATGATTAGCATTGATTGGCAAAACTTGTCGCAGTTTTTCTGTGATCAATATGAAGTCCAAACTTCTCTGTAATGCTTCTGTTGTAAAAGCTGAAGAGGATTGTATTTTCTCAGTTGTTTTGTATGCTTCTGTTGTAAAATTGGTAAGCTGTTAGAACCTTTTGTGTCAGAAAATGTTAGGCCACTAACGTCCTAATTAGGCAGCCTCACCATATTTATCGGTCACTGATCCACTCTCAGATTACTTCACCAAAGGATTTATGCACCTTATAACTTGTAACAATGATGAATCTTATGATACAAACATTTTTTTTTTTGCTGGGTTGTTAGGAAGAGAGTTGGGGGACTGAAATTGGAAGAGCTACCGGGGCTTGAGGCTCTGCAGACTCCAGGTTTGGCCTTATTTCTCAAGTTCAAAGTTTTCTACTGAGTGCTTTCGCTAAAATAAGATGTATTCTTGATTAGAAGTTACTTTTTATGCATTTAAGATCTCTCAATGGTTAAAAGTTTCTGTTTGGGTTGACGGTTTCAGAGAGCATGCTCTTGATGATACATTCACTTGAAATATTTTACAATGCTCTACAGGAACCAGTGATGGTCAGACGAAAGTTGTGAGAGAAGGAGACAATGGTGTGGCATATGCATGGAATGCAAAAGAGTACAAGTGGGACAAAGTAAGAATTACTCCTCTGTCAACCACCAATTTTTTCTCTATGGGCTTTGTTTTATATATGGTCTTTTTTCTTTTGGTAAACTTGATGGTGTTTTTTCCATCTCTTACTGCTGCCTCTGTTTCTGTTTCTATTTGGTCTTTCTTGTTATTGTCTAAATCGACTTTGGAGGAACCATTTTGTTATTGAAGCTTTTTACATATTGTTCAAGTTGTGTATGATTAATGATTCTTTTATTAGCTCACTGAATGGGCAAGCGCTGGTCGCATAAAATATGTTGAAAGTAGTGGGCCTATCCTCCTTCTCCTCCACTTTTCCCTTTCCCTTTTCCTTTCTTCTGTTGAACGTTTAGAATCTGAATTGCACATGTCTCCTGAAGGGAAGTGACATTTCCATGTGAAAATTAGGAAAAATTCTAACCGTCCTCTTTATCCGAAACAGTTTTTGCTTTAATGAAGTCTGCATTCAAGACAATCTAGACTTCGTCGAAAACAATGTTTCTGACTTTGCTTTCATGTAATATTGTGTAAACGTGATTTCTGAGTTTTCTAGTTAACTTTTAAATATTGGTCATAATCATTAATTCAGATTGGAGAAGTTGTGGATGGACCTGATGATAGCTTGGCTCGGCCTATTCTAGAGGGCATTCAGTATGATTATGGTTAGTGTTTCCTTTCGATGATTTGCCCTTTATTTTATTCTGTCATTTTTTAATTACTGAATTTTTTTTCAATCATATTCAGTATTTGATGTTGACATTGGAGATGGAGAACCAATACGAAAGCTGCCATACAATCGCTCAGGTAACATGGTTTTTTTGTCATCTTTCAAAACCAGCTCTATGCTCAACTTTAAATCTCGAATTCTGATTTATTTTAATTTACTTGTTATTGGTTGTTTCCTGACTACTGCACAGATAACCCCTATGATGCTGCTGATAGGTGGCTACTTAAAGAGAATCTACCTCTGTCCTACCGCCAGCAGATTGTGGAGTTTATACTGCAAAATACTGGGCAAAGGGACTTCTCTCTGGATCCGTCATTCCGTGACCCTTTTACTGGAGGTAAGTTTCTGATCATGCATTATGATGCATAGTGAGCTATTTGAGTTGACATATGTTGGGTCCTGTAGTGCATTTCATCTCTTCTTAGTATTGGATGTTTCGCTTATGAGGTTTTCCTCTCCTTTTCTTGTCAAACAAATGTTACAGCCAGCGCTTACATCCCTGGACAACCTTCAAAGTCTGACGGTAATATTTGCTTCGCAGTTTTTATCCTATTGGTTTGCCTTTTCATTTGTAATCTCCATGGCTGAAATTGTTATGTCTGCTTTTGATGACAGCTTTTTCTGCTAAGCCTACCTACAAGCACATTCCTAAGGTGAGTTCATGACCAGTATATCTTGCACTTATTGTTGGGTTCAACTCTATACATGCTTAATTCAGAATTCAAAGTAAGTGTGTGAATGCAACATTTCACACAAGGACTGTTCCGACTCCCTCTGCGAAGAGAGCAATAATTGTTAAGCTTTAAACTTAAAGTTTTGAATATTTCATGTTGTAATGTCATTATTCTTGAAACTGGTATAACTTGGATGTTGTCAAACTTTCTTTTATGACCATGCATAGTGGCCTGCCTTAATTTTAAATGGAATCCGTAAGAAAAAGATATAGGTGGTCCGGAAATTATCTTTTTGTTGGTGTTCAGTGTTCTTTTTATCCTTGTGCCTTCTCTTTGAGCCTGCTACGTGACAGATAAGAGAAAAATGTTTATCTGTTTAGGCCCTTATACTAAATTGCAGTTGAAACTACCTATCTTGCTTTCTCTGATTAGGTTTTATGGATGACTGATGTAGATTTTCTTTCCAGAGAGGAATGCTTATCTTTGATTCAGCCCAATACGATGGGATCCTGAAGAAAATTTCAGAGTTTAACCACTCGCTACTATCGAACGTGGTAATACTTAGGTTTTATTTTCGCTGTTGTATCTTTGTTCTTTTGTGGAAATTACTAAATTAGTTGCATATGCTTTATTTTCTGTTGATGATTTTGTTACAATGTGCGAGTTTTAAAATAATTGCTCTTTTTTTTTAAAAAAAAAATAATAAAAAAAAATAAAATAATAATAATTGCTCTTTTTTTTCTTTCAAATTCTAATATCTTTTTGTCAGTGAGGAGTCCTTTGATAAACTCACTGAACCTTAGGATCACCAATTGATATTATTAATTCTTATTTCACTCGGATCTGATTAGATTTTTCCTAATACAATTCTTTTATTTTGAAGGATAATAAGCACCTTTCGTTGTCTGAGGTTGACATGTCACGATTGGGAGTCATCATTAAAATTTTGAGAGAGACATCACGATATCATAGCAGCAAATTTTCAGATGATGATGTTGAATTAGTAGTGAAGTTGCTTCACTCTTGGCCTGTAGAAATGTTGTTTCCAGGTTATATTTATTTCCTCTCTAGCCTGAATTCTTGTGTTATTGTATACGTGCATCTTGTCTTCCATACAGGATCTTTTCTCTTTAATAGTTAGTAGGAATGAGATTTCAGCATTTTGAATAAATAAGCTATTTATTTATCTGAAGCGGGGTAATGGAAATGCTTATGAATCATACCATGTTTGATGTTAAAGACATGATAAGTAGGATACTGATGATTGTTCTTGATGGCGAAAATCGGAAATCAAAACTACCGTATGTGTTTGGAGGAAGTACAATATGCAGAGGCCTGATTTTGTCTTCTAGAGAAAAAAGAGAGAAGGAAAGAGTTATCTTGACAGTTAAAAACCTAAAAATTGAATAATGAATTCAGAAATTTAGAGATTTGGATGCTGTCTATTGGGAATGACTGGAAACTAGAAATTCCTGTTTCACTTATTTATTTAATTTCCATTACTATTAGTTTCCACTGTTTGTCACAGCTTCCACTTGTGATCCATTTTATACAGTGGGTGAGATAGAGTTACAGTGGAAGAAGTACCCATGTTTAGGCATAATTATATCTAAAATGCTGGTTCTTGAAGCTTTTGAATGCAGTACAACGCCCTTCTTCTAATTCATATGGTGTTATATTACACGACAGTCCGTTTGGGTTGAACAATCTATGGTTTTTCAAGAAGTTTACCTGACATATTGTTTTCTTACAGTGATTGATCTTTTGAGGATGATTGTGTTGCACCCTGATGGAGCCACTATCCTTCTTAAGCAAGTCAATACTGGAAACGGTAAACACCTTTCTTACTCTCTGCATTTGCTTGGTATCTCTGTGGTAGTTATTCTATTGGCTTTTTCAAAGATACAGAGGATACATTTTCAACCCTAGTTTGTATGTTCTAGCCAAATATTACCTACTTAATTGGAGAAAAAGTATTCTTGTGCGTTAAATTTGCAACCATCTGTTGGTTTCTCATGTTTTCATGAAAATCCTGATCTACGTTTACAAGCTTGTAGTTTGGAAGTTGGTTGTCTTCTGTTTTTTTAGCAGTTTATTTTTAAAATCAAGCACACACTCTGTCTCATATGTCGCTCGTCTTGTGATTCATGTGTCATTTATGTTCTTGTTTTTCTGATTCATTTTTCTGTCCATGGATGATTTCCTAATGTATGTACTTTCCTGTAATCTTTCATTGCTTCACCAGATGTTGTTATGGAGCTCATTAAGAAGGTCACTAGAAGTTCTCCTCTTCCACCAAATCTTCTGACCAGCATCCGTGTTGTAACAAATCTCTTCAGAAATTCAATATTCCATGACTGGTTACTGAAACATTATTCTGAGGTTCGTATCTGAGATCTGTCTCAGAAATCTTTTGCTGGCTTAGGCTCAATTGTACTATGAAGCACTTCTTTGCCATAAGCTTGCCCTTTACTTTGGGTAGAGATGGTGATGTACTTTTTGGACACATGTGAGCGTGTTGGCTTTCAGAGAACTGGCCTGATAGCTTGCTTGGTTCTTGCTACATATTCAGCTAAGGAAGTGATCTACGGGAACATTAAGTGTAGATTTGTTTATTTTTGATAAATGGATCTTTATGTTGGTCATTTCTCCTGTACCTTCCTCTAAGATGATGATAAGTTGACTATCATAAATTGCATCCTGATATTCTTATATCTGTGACGGTTTGCTGTTGGCAGATGAGTTGGTGCTTAGATAACTTATGCATCAATAGTTCTGTTTTCTTACTTGTGAATTTCCGGGTTGCTGATTAGTCTTATATCATCATCTTTGTAGATTATCGATGCGTTCGCCAGCAGTTACCTACCTTCAAATAAAAATGTTCAGTTGGCATACTCAACACTCTTACTCAAGTATGTCCCATTTTAAAGGATCACATCTCATAAGATTACTCAACACTCTTGCTCAGCTAGTGGCTTATCTTTTTATAATGCAGCTTACAGTTTTATATATGCATTTCTGCTTATATGCAATACCTAATCCTTTGCACCTTATACATAACATACTGTTCTGTTGAACTCAGAATATTCATGCCTTTTCCATTTTTTTAAAAATGTAACTTTGTACTTAGTATCTCCTATTTACAGCTCATGAATCTCTCAAACCATTTATTGATCATTGATTTAGTATAGGAAGGACTTTTTGTCTCTTGTTCTCCTGCTTTTTTTATATCTGACATGTGATATTCTGTAAACATTTCAGTTATGCTGTTTTACTGGTTGAGAAGAAGCATGAAAGTGGCCAATCTCAAGTTCTATCGGCTGCAATTGGGGTACGTTTATCTATAATCCTGGCATACTTCTTCTGGAAAGAAAAATCGAATGAATCAGGCTACTGTTTAAATTGAAGTATCCTGTTAGGCCTGATATTTGACATGCTTTTCTCCTTACAACTAAAGATCGCAGAAGAAGAAACTATTGAAGTTGATACAAGATATCGGGTTCTGGTTGCCATTGGATCACTGGTAAGTTGGAATCCTCGGTTAGTTTCCCTAACTATGATTAATTTGTGGTACGAAAATGTTTTCCAATTGCTTTGAAATGATTTTCTGACGGTTGTGTTGTGAAATTCAGATGCTTGAAGGCCTTGTTAAGAAGCTAGCTTTGGACTTCGATGTGGAAAACATAGCTAAAGCAGCAAAAGCATCCAAGGATGCGAAGGTCGCCGAAGTTGGAGCAGACATTGAAGCAATAGTTAAGCAGAGATGAACATCAATCTTTTCTGATCCAACTGTTCAACTAATGCTTACTGAAATTTGGGCGGAAGTATCCTTATTGGAATCAACAAAAACAAGGTACACGCAACCACATAATTCATTTCTTCATTTCAGAGGGTTCTCGGACTTTGTATTTTCACTTGGAAATGAAAATGGGTGGTTTCAAGTTCAGCTTCCCGGTCATGTAATTGTACTCCTATGCAAGTGAAGCTGACATTTACATTTTGTTAAAGGATATTGGCATCATTTCTCAATCTATAATGTCATGCAATACTTTTCTTGCCAGAAATGATCGATGCTCGTAATTTTTGGGGCTGAAGTCTGTTATACTATATTGGTTTCTTTTCTTTCCGTTCATATTTTCAGGTCGCAATGCAATGTGTGTGTGTGTGTGTTTTTTTTTTTTTTAAGGGTCGAAAACTGATTTTATTCATAAATAAAGGCTAGGTGCCTTGATCAAAAGGCGTACATGAACCTTACTAATCTTACTCTAACAACTAGGATATGCAAGAGGGAGCAATATCAAAATATAGTCCTATTGTTATTTTCAAGATGATACGTTAGAAACTCCCTTTCTTCCGAGATTATTGTCGGGAATGGCTATAAACGGCCTGCATTCTACTGGCCTGGAACTTTGGTAGGTTTGGTATTGAATGAAGCAAGCAAAGATACAGTCCACGCAGTACACAAATCAACTAACCAAGTACTCTTGTTCCCAAAACAAATATCCCACATATTGTGCTCTGAGGAATGTATTAAAAGTGGCATTACAATTCACAAGTGTTAGACTATTTTTTCAGGATAGAGGAAGTAATTAATATGGAGTGATTACCTGTCAACATTTGCTTGAAACATTCTTCTTGAACCCATAGTGAGCTCACCAATAAGGTCAGACTACTGTGTTACAAATTCGTCTGCAGGTGTTTTGCATGGATATTTAATACTTTCTTTGTTTTGAAATTATTGTCCAGTTTAAATTTTTATTTTTAATGTAAATTGAACTAAAAATAGAATTCAAATTGATAATATATCCTTTTTAATAGAGCAAACGGCAGTGGCACTTGCAATACTTACATGCCCGATTCGTAATTAAAAAAAAAACTCTACAAACTTCCTCCTCTGTTATTATTTACAACAAGTACACTGTTCCTCTTCAAAAAAAAAAAAAAAGTACACTGTTTAATCAAATTTATTGACCCATCTTTAACATCCATTATTGGTTTCGAGCTGAAAAAAAAGAAAGAAAAATCCAATCTTTAAACTTCAGGTAAGCAACTGCGACCTCCTACAAAAATAATGACTAATAATAGTTAAATCCTTATTCTTAAAGAACACGAATTATGATGATATATAATTCTGGGACATGGGTAGTACACTAGTACTGACTAGAGAGTGGCCAATATCCGGATTTTGTCAAAGTGATGATGGTGATATTTCGCGGGCAATGAAAATAATGATCCCCCAAAATCCACCTACCGACAATCCCATTTAATCAAATTTTTATCTTACAAAAACAAAATTAATTTATAATATCAACGGAAACAGTATCTTTGCAAGAATTGTTAAGTGGGTTTCTAATCCGCTGTTTGTCTGTGTGACCGTGGTCGACGATTCCCCTAAAATTTCCTCCTCAATCCCACAATTTCTTCTTTTGTCTCTTCAAGAGTTCACCCCCTTCATCTCTCCAGGTTCGTTCTTCACTTTTTCCTACTTAATCGGATTCTATTTTCGGGAATTTACTCAAACCCGGGACTCAATCTCCTTCGGAATTTGTCCATATTTTATAAAGGGTTCTTCTTTTTGGAAGAAATTTCGGACGGCAGAAGAGGAAACGTTTTTTACTTGATCATACCTGTCCTAAGTTCTTCGCCAGGTTTATTTATCATCACCCTTTTCTGTTGAATTGTTTGGGGGATGTTTTGTCTGGTACAAGATTTAGAATTACTGAATAGTTGTATAATAGTTGAAATGATCAATATCCATCATCGAGTAGGTTTTGTGCTTTAATATTGCTGGCTTTAATATTGCTGGAGTCTGAGCTCATGTCTAGTGATTCTTTTGTGAATATAGGCGAGTTTAATTAAGCTAGGCAAAAATTTGGAGGAAAATTGGGTTGTTATTTGAAAGTTAATTTCTAGGATAGGGCCATTCAGCTGTCTTAAGATATTATTTTTGGTTCTTTATGCTTTACGTTTTCATGTGTGGAGATGTTAGGAGTAAAGAAGCCTACTTGGCAAGAATTTGGATTGAGAAGCTTTTCTGTGATCTGCAAAAAATGGAAAAAACTTCAATAACTTGCTGTTTAAAAAACTTTAGTTTTATTTGTTTCTTTCCTTTTGTGAAGCTAAGAAACAGCAGAATACCACTTTTTGGATGTGAAACCACACATTGGCATAAAATCTAAGAAAAGTTTTGAACTTTTGAGGACATTGAATGATCTCAGGTAGTTAATTCAGTAGAAGGAAATAGGTGAAATCTATGAACATTGAGTTAGGGACTACTCATAATTATCACTTGTCAGCTAAAGTGATCCCCCTGCCCTTACTGTTTTGCTGTGTTTGTTGCTCCCTGGTAGTTTGGATATGTTTCTTATTTTTAACCCCATCTAAACTATTCCAAGTGAATATTTGTTCACTTCAAAACTGCAAATTAAGATCTTGATTGCCTCTTGGGGCTTAGTTGTGGAGAAACCATAAGTTCCCTTCTCTGTATTCCTTCTTAGGGGTTCCAGATACTGAATAATGGCTTTTCAGTTGATAGTTATAAACTTACAGAAACGTGCCAACAGATAAGCAGCTTAGTTTATGCATGTTTGATTTGTGATCCTTTTTAAATCCAGATACATGTATATGCATGTTATGTAATTATGTGTTCGAACATCATGCGAACCAGCAGCACTTTCGTTACAATAGTGTTTCTAATCATTTTATATGTTCAGATTTTCTTTTGCATGATTGAGGACATGGATTGCAAGGTCAGTGAATCAATGGATGCTTCTTTTCCAGCTGATGATAATGACGAAAATAGTCTTGGTGATTTTGAATGCAATATATGTTTCGAGCTGGTCCAGAGTCCCATTGTAACACTTTGTGGCCACCTCTACTGTTGGCCTTGTCTTTACCAATGGCTGCAAGTTCATTCTTATTCACATGAATGCCCTGTCTGTAAAGCTATCATAGAGGAGGACAAACTTGTTCCCATTTATGGAAGAGGCAAAGGAAGATCTGATTCCAAACCACGCCAGATTCCTGGGCTTGATATTCCAGATCGGCCAGTGGGGCAAAGACCGCCGACAGCTCCCCCTGTAGAGATTAACTATTTCCGGCAGGATGAGTTGGATACAATGCCTGCTCCAAGGTTTGGGAACTTGACGCTGTCTGCACTATTAGGTATTATTCCTGCCTTTTTTACTTGGCAGGTGAACGGAGTCAATGATGCCACAGTGTATGGTGCAACCACAGGAGTCCCTTACGTGTTTTCTAGTTCATTCCACGGAGGTTATGGTCATGGTTTTCATCATTATTCACCTCAAGCTGAGGGCAAACAGTTTTTGAAGATATTTGTACTGCTTCTAGGCTCGTTTTTTATCCTTCGGCTAATTTGGTAGCTATTCCATCTTCTAGTTGATAGACATGTATAGCTTGAGAGAAATGTCTCATGCACCTTGAGTTGATCTCTGTTCCCAGTCCTCTTACACTTAGTAGTAAACAGCCCTACTTGGTCTGTGGCAAAGTGTTTTGCCCTTAAACCATTGTCTAGGAAACACCTACGTATGTAACTACTTGAATCACATTCTTGTTTGAGTTTGCTCTCCGCTATTCTGTCTTTAGATTTTATTTTCTTCGTTCTGTATATATCTCATTCAAATCCTCGAGGGGCAGAACTTTGGTAATGAAGGCTCTTCAAAGTTGCTAGCTTTAGTACTCAAGATGTACCAATTCATTGACATTCTTACAAAAAGTAGAGAACGCTTAGCTGTGCGAGAATGTTGTTTCAGCTTTTCACCCCCTTCTGACTAGTACAACATATATGGCAATTTTATTTTGGGACGAAAGAATTATTATTGTTATTATTTTTTTGAAGTTTCTAAAATGGAAGGTAACTAATACTAAGGACTTGACAAAATAAAAATATCTGAATCTGCAAATGGGGATTTCGGATAAAATGGCAAGTAGACACCAACGAACCAAAGCCCATTTGTTTAAAAGGTCCTTACATAATCAACAAGATTTTTTTTGCTTTGAATTTCAATGGAGTCTCTCAACCTTACTTCCTCATCTTACAGAACCAACCTTACATTATCCATACTACTTCACCACAGACTTAAAACCAATATATCAAGATACCCCTTTTACCCAAAGGCTCCATCTTTGCTGCGGGATGCTGGTGTTACAGGACGCTGTATCATTTTCTGCAAGTACAAAACATCCAAGGATGAAGTCGGTGGCCAGAAGAAGCCCTCCAGGATTGTGCTCCCGGAGACAAATGGAGCTCCCTCCCTATCTTCTGAGGATGGACCCACCGGAAACAGCAAAAATGGTAGCCCGTTCAGCCCACAAAAGCCTCCACCTCCGGCACGAAAGAATAAGAAAACTGGTTCTGGGTTTGCAAAGAGTTTGTCGAAAAGGGTCTTATCAATCCTCTCTAATTTGCCTCTGGCTTTAGCAGAGATGGCCACGATTGCGGCTTTGATGGCTTTGGGTAAGCAAAATGTTATCTTTTTATTTCTCTGTGTGAACATTTTTCTGTGTTTGTTATCACTTATCAGAGAGGGAAAGACAAGTGTTTTTGTGTTAGATATTTAGCCATCCTTATGCTTATTTGGCTTTTTGTGTTAGATACTAGCTTCTATGAATCTTCTTGCACAAAACTATACGTTAAGTTCAGGTTCTTGTTCCTATTGCTCCTTGCCCGTCAAAATGAGATTATTTGGCAGTCCTTTCGTTTACAAAGTCACTTAGAATTAAGGACAACTAAGTTGGAGCATCCTCGGATTTTAGGCGTTTATCATTTTGAGAATATAACTTTCTGCAGGTTGATTACTGTTAAATTCTATAACATTCATGGCTTTACAATCATCACATTCATTGGTAAATGCAGGACCATATTCTCGTCTTTTCTAGCATTTTTAAACGGATTGTCAAGGTTGTGCTTGGTTTGATTGAAATTCTATTCATTTATTCAGGAACCTTCATCGATCAAGGCGAGGCTCCAGATTTCTACTTTCAGAAGTATCCCGAAGATAATCCTGTTCTGGGATTCTTCACCTGGAGATGGGTTCTCACCCTTGGTTTTGATCACATGTTCTCTTCTCCTGTTTTCTTAGGAACATTGGTCCTTTTAGCAGCATCGCTCATGGCTTGTACGTACACTACGCAGATTCCGCTAGTTAAAGTAGCAAGAAGGTGTGATTGTGTACTTAGTCGAATTCTTTAAGTATTAAGGAAATGTCTTTCATTTTGCTTCCATCAGTGGGCTCTACATCGTGCTCTCTCCCAAATAAAATCCCCTAGAAGCTACTTTGTGTGTCTTTATCTCACCTTACTAACTTTTGTTCTATTTTTTTGGTTAAACCCTATTGACTTTTTTGCAAACATAGAGTTATCTAATGATACTTGGATCAGTTTAACAGATGGTCTTTTTCATACTCAGCTGAGTCAATTCGGAAGTTAGAATACAGTGATACTCTGGCCCAAGCGTCAATTAAGGATTTGGGTGTTATCTTGATGGGACATGGATATGAGGTACCTTTTCAACTTCAAAGACCTCCTTTTGTTTTCCTCTGCCTGAACTTATTCTTGAACTATTAGTGTGAAGGGGCATACTCTTCTTTAGTTTACTTGTAACCATAATTCAAATATTTCGGCCACCGGGTTGACAAGATTGTGGATGTTTGAACCGCCCAGAACTATGATTCTAGTCTGGAGAGAGATTTATTAGAGCATCATGCTGACCTTCTTCAAGATGCTGACTTGTAAATAGTTTTCATTATAGCAGTAGCAGCAAGATATACTTCTTTTAATTCTTCTAGATATGCTAGGCATTTTTAACAATAATTTTGTAGTTAATATGAGTTGTCACACCTTATTGCATGTCGCATAATCCTGTAAGTTCTTTCTTTATGCACTGAGTAGAATATTATACGTTGGTTCCATTCCCTGTCTGTTCAGGTATTCCTGAAAGGACCAGCTTTATATGCCTTTAAAGGACTGGCTGGTAGGTTTGCTCCAATTGGAGTGCATTTAGCTTTATTGCTGGTGATGGCAGGAGGAACTATCACTGCTGCTGGTAGCTTCAGAGGATCTGTAACGGTTCCCCAGGGTTTGAACTTTGTTGTGGGAGATGTGCTTGGCCCTAGTGGATTTTTGTCTAAACCAACTGAAGCATTTAACACTGAGGTTCATGTCAATAAGTTCTACATGGACTATTATGACAGTGGAGAGGTGATTTTCCTCATATCTGCCACTATGTTTTTCTTCCAGCTTTTTGCTGCTTCTAATATCTAAGTCGTCTTTAATTGTTTTCAACTTGTATAGGTATCACAGTTTCACACTGATCTTTCACTTCTAGACCTCAATGGTAAGGAGGTTTTGAGGAAAACCATCAGTGTAAATGATCCGTTGAGGTACGGAGGGATCACTATTTACCAAACAGACTGGAGTATTTCTGCACTGCAGATTATGAAGGATGGTGAAGGGCCATTTAACTTAGCAATGGCACCTCTTAAAATCAATGGAGACAAGAAGCTTTTTGGAACTTTCCTTCCTGTTGGGGATACCAATTCTCCTAATGTCAAGGGAATGTAAGTTTCTTTTTTCACTCATTGTAAGCTTTGGAAGTTATTACATTTTCCATCTCTTGAGGAGAAACTGGTAGCCTCTTGCCTAAAATGTACTCTGAATCACCTTTTTGTTTTGTTTTTCTTCTTTTTTTTTATAAATCGCAGATCAATGCTAGCTCGTGATTTACAGTCAATCGTGTTGTATGATCAAGAAGGAAAGTTCGTTGGAGTTAGACGACCAAACTCGAAACTCCCAATCGACATTGATGGCACCAAAATTGTTATTGTTGATGCAATTGGCAGTACGGGACTAGATCTGAAGGTGCAATCCTGTTTGCCTTCACCTTTATATAAGTATTTTCCCTTGCTCTTCCTATTAGCATGTGTGCTTGTGTAACTTAATGCCACCTGTTCTTTTTGTTCCATTTAGACTGACCCAGGAGTGCCAATTGTTTATGCTGGTTTTGGAGCTCTGATGCTCACAACTTGTGTCAGTTTTTTATCTCATTCCCAGGTGTGGTTTCTATTCATGTCTTTCTGGTTGTTAAAGTATCTGGCATACTTTATTGTAGGATATAACGTTTACTACGTTTTCTCCATTTTTGAAGATCTGGGCCTTGCAAGATGGGACAACCGTGGTCATTGGGGGTAAGACCAATCGTGCAAAGGCCGAATTCCCTGATGAGATGAACCTCTTACTCGATCGAGTCCCAGAAATAGTTGCATCATCTGGGCAATCTACGACAACTAGTGGTTGATTCTCAAGCGGCATATTTGGAAAGAGGGAGCTTGTTACAGAGAAACTCGGAGCAAACTCACACTGTACATGATGTATTGGCACATTGTATATGATGCAGTGAAATTGTCAATGGGGTTTTGACTAGCCTATTGCATGCTGTGGGTATTGGCAAATCGAGCTTGCATGAAGATACTATATATACTCCAATAGCTAGGAAGTTGCAGTAATGCAGTCACTAGAGATTCAGAAAAACAGACTATTTATACTCAAAAAATTTTGTGCAAAAATATATGCTGTATTTCTTGCCTTTTTCATGGGTCCTCCTTCACTGTGGATGACACAACTAGTTTTCATGGAAAAATCAAGCAAACTCTTTCTCTGTATTGTATATGTTAGTTCATTGCAGTCGCCATGTGTGTAAAAAAAGTGAAAAATATTGTATTATCAGAAATGAAAGAGTTCTTGTGGTTTCTCATGGTCACATTTCATAGAGGAAATTGGCTGCCATCACAACACAAATCCGAGCTGATTTTTTTTACCATATGACGAAAATCAACGAACAAAATCTAGGTTAAAAATGATCTTGGCTATTTCAAAATACAATTCCAGTAAACAACCCAAGACTACCATGGGGAATAACCCATGAAAGACATCACACACCATTCCGCAAATGTCTTTCGACTTGCACCCATCAAATGATAACCAAATGATTAAATGAAGAAAAACAATCACAATCCTTAAGCATCAAATAGTTCAATCATGCATTAAATTGCAACAAGTAGTTAAATAGATAAGGTTTTAAACATTCCATTGACTAAATACATACAGCTCCAAGACTACTACTACCTTCGAGCATAATATCCTACACGATATACTAGGGGTCCCTCTTTCCTAGATGCTGTTGTGCTTCCTTCCACCAAATGGGCTCCTTCCAGGAACGACACAGGTTCCTAGCTTCAGGGGGCAGGTCCGCAAGGGGGTCCTTGTACTTGTAGTAGCATCGAGAGGATGTTAGTCTTTGCAGCTCCAGCTGAAGCATACCAAGAATGCTCTCCCGAGAGAGTGCTCTTCGAGTTTCCCAGGTATCACGGATAAATCCGCGAAACGTTTCACTGATGGCAGGGTACATGCGGCAACGCCTGCTTCCTTATCTGTTGATCCCAATCTGATAGGAAAACATCTTTCCCCTTGCAAAAAAACACCCCTTCCTCCACTCCCTCCTGATGATCATTAGGTTGATGATAAACAAGATACTGACCTACAAAGGTTTTCCGGTTGCTGGAATCATCAGCCTGAGAAGCTTTGAAGGTAATATAATACAGAGAAAAAGAATGTTGAGGGTGAAAAGCCACGTTCTTAACCTTCCCACCATAGCTGTATCTCTGCAAATATACGTCAGAAATCTAAATAATTAAAAAAAAAAATAAGAAACAGGAAAAGTAACAAAATACCGTTGCTACATGACCAATATTACGGAAAGAGATATCAATCATGATCGAGAGAGTCAATGGATACTAAAGGCAATCACCATCGTTTTTACTTCTCTGAGGAAACTTCTACTGCTCCAATCTGCTCTGCTCTGCCTTCCGCTGAAATTGTATTTGTTAAAATCGATTTGTTCTGATTAGAAAACCTAAGATCTTGATTTAGAAATCAAGAAGAGGAAAATTTTGGGGATTTCTTGATTACTTGGGAAGATAAATCATAGGAATGGAGAATCGAAGAGAGATCGATCTGTTGATTGAAGAACAGTTGCATGTTCATGGTTCTGAAAGTCCAGGAACTCAAATTGTTTCAGTATTGTTGACAAGCAAAAACTATCTCATTTGGAGATGTGCAATGATTTCAGCACTGGAATCTAAGATGAAAGTTGGATTTGTGGATGGTAACTTTCTAATGGCAGCTGATGATTCACCAATCATTCTGAAATGGAGGAAAGCAAACAGCATGGTTTGTTCCTGGAAGAGTTTCATGACGCCTGATTTAATGAATCAATTCATGTTCATTCATGATGCAACAAAATTATGGAGGAGTCTTGAGCAGCGTTTTGGTAAGACTAATCTGCCACATCTTTTTGAATTGACACGAGAAATTGCTTTACTTAGGCAAAGGAATTGGACTGTAAGTGATTACTTTGAAAAAATTGAACAAATCTGGAATTAATATGAAGAACTAAGGCCAACTCCTGTGATAAAGGTGAGGTTGAAGATTTGATTGTGTAACGTGAAAATGAAGATAGAGTTATGGAGTTTATGATGGGATTGAGTGATGTATACGAGCCGAAAAGAAGTCAAATCTTGTTTATGGAACCGATACCTTCTGTTGACAAGGTATATCATATGGTTGGTCAGTGTTCATATTGCTGCAGCCACAGAGAACTCAGCAATGATGATGCAAGAAACTAGAAATTCAGCCATGCTGGCACGATCTAATGGTTGGAAGAAAGACCATCATGGAAGAAATCAAGGATCACAGGGATATTAGAGATATCAGAAGGTGGATAAGAGTCATATGTTATGTATTCATTGTAACAGAACTGGATATCTGGTTGATGATTGTTTCAAGTTGAAAGGATATCCGAAATGGTGGCCACATATCAAGAACAAGAAACCTGGTTTCAATTCCGCCAACATGATTGAATATCCACAGTCTTCTGGATTGCAGAATAACTCAGGAATGAGTCAAGGAAATTACAGTCAGTCATTCTCTGCTACTGGAAACACAGGAGGCATGGTACTATATAATCCAAAAGTGTTGAAGGGTGGATCACAATGTTACGATAATGGAGGTGTTAGCATCACTCCCCTGGACTTCAATGCAGAATGATCATATTCATATTAACATGCTTTCAATACTACAATACAGAGAGAGGTTGACACGATCAACAAAGGTAAAAATGTGATCAATTCAACAGGAGGACCAATGGTGAATATTGCTCATTTTCATGAGTTTTCAGGTACTACTTTTGCTCTTGGTTCTTGGATAACAGAAGAGATTAGTACACGTACGTAGGTGACAGATTCAGGGGCTACATGTCATATGTGTGCAGACATTTCATTAGTGCATAATACACAATCCTTTCATTCGTTTACACCAATTTGGTTACCTAATGGTAGCATTAAACATGTTCGCCATTTTGGAGATGTTAGTCTCTCTGAATCCGTTACTTTGACAACTTGTTTATATCTTCCTAGCTTTAAATACAATCTTTTGTCAGTGAGAAAATTAGCCAAAACTTCTCATATGTTTTTCCAATTCTATACTGATTTTGTTTACTGCAAGACCTTAAAACTGACAAGGTCCTGATAGTTGGAAGGGTAATCAAGGAACTTTATGTCCTGGATTCTTATTCTTTTACTACAGAAGCTATTACAAGATCACAGGAATTTTGATAGGAAATTTTTATAACATGGTACATACACAATTCCAAACCATTATCAAGATCATCAGGACTGATGATGGAACTGAATTTTTGAATCAATCCTGTCAATCATTTTTTAACCAAAAGGGCATTTTCCATTAAAAGAGTTGTCCATATTCACCTCAGCAAAATGGAATTGTGGAAAGAAAACATAGACATCTTCTTAATATAGCTAGATCTTTGTTACTTCAATCAAATTTACCTAAAATATTATGAGGAGACTCTATGTTGACAGCAACTTATTTGATAAACAGATGGCCTTCCAGAGTTCTAAATTGGCTATCTCCCTTTGAAAAGCTCTATCATACTAAGTCTGATCTATCCACATTTTGAAACTTTGGATGTCTGTGTTTTGTAGTCAATAATGGTTCGGGTAGAGATAGGTTTGATCCAAGATCATTTAACGGAATATTTGTAGGATATCCTCCTAGTCAAAAGGGGCACAAAGTGTACTGTCCAACTCTTGATAAAGTCATAGTTTCCAGGGATGTAGTTTTTCATGAAACTACATTTCTTTCTATAGTTGAAGTTAAGAATGATGTTCTTTTACCTTCTGTCAGTATTCCTGGTATAGATGATTCTGTTTCTCAATCTTTTCTTATTAATTCCTTCAATGAGCATTCTGATTCTCATGATGATCATTCTGATTCTTATAATGATCATTCTGTTGAACGAAATTCACAGGATACTTTTATTCCAGCTTCTCCTCCTCCTTTAAGGAGAAGTGACAGGATCAGAAAACCACCTGCTTCATTAGAGGATTTTTATACCTTTCACTGTCATTCTTCATCTTTTCCACTTTTATATTTTGATAATAATTGGATTTCTAGTTCTGCATACAATGCATTTGTAGCAAACCTATCTGTCACACATGAACCTGTTTATTATAATCAAGCTAGAACCAATCACAAGTGGGTGGAAGCCATGAATTCAGAACTGAAAGCTCTTGAAGCAAATGGAACTTGGGAGTTAACTAATCTACCTGAGGGAAAGAAAACAGTAGGATCTAAATGGGTTACAAAATCAAGTGCAATCCTGATGGATCAGTGGAGCGGTATAAGGCAAGACTTGTGGCCAAAAGTTATACTCAGATTGAAGGGGAAGATTTTAATGAAATTTTCTCTCCAGTGGCTAAATTAGTTACTGTTAGATTGATGTTTGCTATGCATCAATCAAAGGATGGGGAGTATGTCAGCTTGATATAAATAATGCATTTCTGCATGGTAATCTGGAAGAAGAAGTGTACATGTATCCTCCTTTGGGTTATGACAAGGCCAAGAAGGGACAGGTTTGCAGACTAAGGAAGTCATTGTACGGTTTAAAGCAAGCCAGCAGACAATAGAACAAGGAATTCACATCCAGGTTACATGGTTATGGTTTTATATAATCATATCATGATCATTGTTTGTTCATAAAGATCACTGGACAATCTCAGCTCTTCCTTCTAGTTTATGTTGATGATGTATTGATTACTGGAACCTTAGAAGTTGAAATTCAACAAGTTAAGAAGTTTTTGGATGATGCTTTTACTATTAAGGACTTGGGAATAGCAAGATATTTTCTGAGAATGGAGATTGCAAGGTCTTCTTCTGGCATATACATTAGTCAGAAGAAATATATTACAGACTTATTGCAGGAAACAGGAATGTTAGATTGTACTACAACAGCTGCTCCACTTTCTGGTGGTTTTAAATTTGTTTCTGAAGAGAAAGATGATACACCACTCTATCATAATCCTGAGAAATACGGAAGACTAATTGGGAAGCTATTGTACTTGAATTATACTCATCTTGATCTCACCTATTCAGTGCAGCAACTAAGTCAATTTGTGCACAAACCTCATGACTCTCACTGGAATGCAGCAGTTCATGTCTTAAGGTACCTTTCTGGTTGTGTTTCTAGAGGCCTGTTTTACTCCAGTAGCACTGTTTCTCATCTCACAGCTTATAGTAATGCTGATTGGGGAGCATGCCGTACATCTAGACACTTCATCACTGGTTATTGTGTGTTCTTAGGGACTAGTTTGATTTCATGGAAAGCCAAGAAACAGTCCACCATTTCATGCTCATCTGCTGAGGCTGAATATAGGACCATGGCTTCAACAGTATGGGAGTTACAATGGAATACTTACATGCTTCAAGACTTTCAGATTCCATTGCAACTGCCAATACCATTCTTCTGTGATAGTAAAGCAGCTCTGAACATCACAACCAATCTAGTCTTCCATGAAAGGACTAAACACATAGAAATAGATTGTCATGTTGTCAGAGATAAGTACAGAGATGGCTTCATTCATCCACAACATATTAGTTCATCACAAGAATTAGCATGTATCTTTACTAAGTCTCTTCCGACTGCTTCCTTCTCCTACATTCTGTCCAAGTTCAGTTATCAACCAGAAGAAGTTCCAGCTGCATGCTTAGATTATGAAGAGGCACGTGCTCAAGTGGTCCTGCGACAACAACCATCTCACAGCTTGATTCATCAGCAAGTTGCATATGATCCAGCTTGGCAGAATCCTTCCAAAAACATCATACGGCTAAGTTATCAATACTCACAATTCAAAGTTCCTTGATTATTGATCATTAGATTAGAGTGATTATTTGTAACTATACGGTACAGATTAATTGTGTTTTCTGTGTTTGTATATGATTAAGTCGGTTAGTGTTGTAAGTAAAGTGTATATATATAGATCATAACTCAGATTGTAAAGCATGATGAATATACAGAAAAGGTTTTTGTCAAATATGAAACACTTGTTCTAGCTCTCGTTTTTACTTCTCTGAGGAAACTTCTACTGCTCCATTGTTGATCATTCTTTGTAGATTCTTTATTTGTCTTCTTTTTTCTCAACTGATATCTGATATGAAAATAATTGTAATCTTTCAGACATCCGTTGCCTTGTGTGAAAATTCCTGCAATTCGCACTCTTACAAATAGCGACAGGGGATAATGTTCTAAGGCTGGCAGTGATTGATACAATGTTCATTGAACATTTAATTCGTTTGCTACAACTTCCAGTGTCTGATATAACAGAAGAAGTTGTGACGGCTGTTTTAAATGTCATCTCTGGCGGAATTGGCCACGGGATTCCGGGTTTGGACGGCTTTGTAAAGCCATTATGTAATCTTCTTGAGTGCAATGATCCTAGGATCGTTATCGTTTGTCTAGAGGCGCTTGTACGCATTTGTGAGTCCAGTGAAGTGGAAAAGTGCTACAATTCCTTTGCCAAATTGGTTGATGATGCTGGAGGCTTGGATAAAGTCAAGGCCATGCAGTCACATGAGAACCGTGAAATCCGCGAGAGAGCGTTGAAAGTATGGGAGCCGTTGTATAGCGAGGCGCTAACTGTATGGAAATACTTTGAAAAGATGGGCGGGACTTTTGTGTTTAATGTGAAGCGCTAATTGTATGGACTTTTTTTGTTTAATGTGAAGGAGTTTGGTCCTCGGAGTTAACTTGTGTCAGATATTGATTTTCAGGATTTAGCAGTGTTGTGGATCATCATAATCTCTCCACACAATACCACTAAGAAAAACCATATTCCTTTATCTTCCTGAAAGAACTGAGATCATGATCGGCCGAGAGATGGAAATACAAAGTGACGGCACTGGCAACCATGCTCCCACTTTACAGTTTACACAGCAATCCTCTTAGGATATAGTACCAATATAAGATGGTGGAAAATGTTTAAAGATAATTTAGAAGGGGAGAAGAAAATGAAGTTATCAAGCTATTGGGATCATCTATTGCATTTCTTCAACATGCGTATACAATGTGGAAGACTATCAATGTGTCCTTCCCTTCAGCACCCTGCAACATATATATCAATACATCTCTTGTTCCTCGAAACCAAGTTTTAACATGTAAAAACCATCCATTTCGATGTGGATATTGTTAGATTCCAATGGCAATACATTTTTACATATGTTACTATAATGTTTCTGCTACATATAGTATGTATCTCCCACATGATATCAGCCCATATAAGCTCACACGAATTTTGACCTTCATCTGGGTCTATGCATAAACAAGCCGCTAATTCCAGATTAGCAAACAGATACCACTTATGCTAGTTGAAGTGCTTCCTCCCGCTTAAGGTCGAATACCTTGAGGAGGACATCTGCAACAACCTGGCAACGAATTTGTTTGAAACGTAAGTATTTACAACTGCATGCATTGATATCACAGGATAACTCTTCAAGAAGAAATGATATTAGACATATCATCTTCAAGATTGTGCTTATAAAGCACCAACACACAGTAGCATTTACCTTGTCAGGAGTGGAGGCACCAGATGTTATCCCAACTGTGATTGGACCTTCTGGCAAAAAGTTCTCTTTCTCAACATATTCTCCATGCTATCAAACGAGATCACCGTGTCAGTAGGATAAATTGTTATAACACAAGAAAACAAATGTTTCAGATATGAAATCATCTCAAGAATACATTTGAAGTAACATTTACACACCATTAACTTGTAAGCAATTCTGTTTCCTGGGCCTATTCTTTGCTCACTGTCGATCCAATATGATGGAATCCCACGCTCCTCTGCAATTTCTTGTAAATGTGAAGTATTGCTGGAGTTCCACCCTCCAACTACTAGCATAAGATCTAGCGGTTTCTCAACCAACTTATACATGGCATCTTGCCGCTCCTGAGACAAGAAGTATGTTAGCTAATACTGTAGGAGGGCCAAAAGGCACGCATACATGACAGAGGCCCTTCTCTGAAACTGACAGACTACAAGGCTATTGTTCCAACTTTATCAAATGGACCAAAAATAATTCCAATGTCAACACTTATTACATTGCCATATTCCGTACATAAATGTTAGCAACAGGTGCTGTATTATTTCATAAACAAGCACTCCAAACATGGCATGCATTAAGTTCCCATGAATAACAAACACCAGGGAAATAAAGAAGATGCCGCCGCTAATATAATACATGTAATCAGGGGGTGGTAGGTAATGTGAAATTATCTTTAATTCAATCAAGCTAGAGTTTTGATGATGCAAGGTCTTCAAATCAGTATGACAAAGGCACAAAGAGAAGAGCCCTCAGTATAAGTGATCTTAGCTTTCCAAATAAACACATAAAGGAAGAATAACAAGCTATAAACCTAAATAAGAATTAAATCAACTCCTTGTCCTCCATAACCACGTCAATGGTGCGTAAGCAGAACAAATTGGGCCAAAAAGAATATGGAAGAAGAATTATACCTGAGTGGCATCACAAATAGTGTTGAAACTTAAGAAATGGGTGTTGATGTTTTCCACACCATACTTCTGCATCATGGTCCTCTCAACCAATTTGCCTGTAACAACAAAAACCAAGGTCAACATAAGTAAGCTCTACAGGGATTAACAGGAGATAGAGCAACTTTGTCATCTCCAACTAACCAATCTCTTCAGTTTCTCCCTTCAACATAGTCGTTTGGTTTGCAATACCAACTTTCTCAAGATCAACGTCAGGATCAAAACCCTCTGAAAATGCAAACTTAAATTTCTGCAGTAAAACAATGCAATATGAGATAAAATGCAGCGCATGAAACTTATCCACAACAAGTCATAAACACAGCACCTCCATAAATGCTTCTCTTGTTGAGCTAGATCCATCCAGTTTACCACCAAGAATGTAGTCGCAAACATATGTTGCCTGCATCAAGCGTAGATCACCTCAATTAATTAAGTCAATGAATCGGAGGATCTTGCTCCGTGGATACAAAAGATCTTTTTAAATAAAGAATCTAAGGAGTTCAATGTACCTCAGCCATGTTCTTCACTATAAGATACTTTCCGGCAAATGATGCAGTTGCTATTGTCTCTTCGTGGTTGTGTTTACCATGAATAATGGAAGTATAATCTCCTTTCTTATGCTTCTCAACAGTGTTCCATACCTTCGCCAAAATAAAAAGCAGAAGGTCAAGCACGGAATGTGCAACCAATGCTATAACATGCAAGCAAAAAAGTTTGTGAATCCAAAACGAAAGAATACCTTTGAAACCCATGGACAGGTGGTGTCAACTATTTGCACATTCCTCTGGTTCAAAGTGTACATCTCCTCCACAGCAGCTCCAAAAGCAGGTAAAACCACGACATCACCCTGGTTAATAACATCGAATTGTTTCTGCCCATTCTCAATTGGGACCTCTTCAATCTTCATCTCCTCCAGTCGCTGAAAAGGATTATAAAAAAAATAAAAATAAAAAAACCAAAATTAACATAAAGATAAGCACGAGCAGTTTACAGGTGAGCTTCATTTCAGGGCTAAAATAAAACCTTGTTGACGGTAGGATTGTGAATAATCTCATTGGTGAGCCATATCTTCTCAGTCGGGAATTGCTTCCTGGCTTCATAAGCAATCTGGACAGCTCTTTCAACTCCCCAACAAAATCCATATGCTTCAGCTAATCTCACCGTAACATTACCCCAGGTGTACTCGTATCCATTCTCCTTCAATGTCTTTATAATATCACCTGAAACGTATCCAACACAAATCATCAGCACCGATCAGAAAAAAAGAAGAGATTGCTGTGAACAAACCAAAACAAACAAAAAAATGTTGTGGCTATTCTCTAACCAATTCCTTGAGCAACAAAAGGCCGATATCCAGAACCTTGAGAAAGTATCAAAGTCAATTTTGCCGGTTTAATAAGAGATAAACAGTTTCATCAACAATAAACAGACCGAAAATGAAAGAAAACTTTGGTATTAGTTTGCCGCTGTATGATTCAAAGTTTGCCTCACTAAGCAAATACAACTATAATTCAGCACAAATTAACAAAAAATTAAAAATCAGAAGAAGAATCACTTACTGGCTTGGTACTCTTGATTCAAGAGTTCAAGAGTCTCTTCTTTGTGACCAAAACCTTTCCGGTTGTAATTCTTGCTCCGAGTCAAGTTATGCCTGAACTTCTTAGCATCGAAGTCATTTTCCACCGACGCGGATGCGGAAGAAGACGAGACAGCACCATCGCCGGAGCATCGAACGGAGAAAGGCTTCCGGAATTGGAAGATCCTCGGCTCGGGCAAGGCCAAATCCGGCGTCCGAGTGGTTGTTAGACGAGAGAATTGCATAGAAATCGCCATGTGGAAATGAAGGAGAAAATTGACCGGTAAGATCGGCACAAGTTAGCGAGGGACAAACAACTATAAATCTTTAACTGTCCTTAATCCCTTATCGCGAGGATCCAGCATCTTTATATATCCCCTTGTGGAGAGCTCGTGAACCATGCGGTTTTGTATTTTTCCAATAATATTTTTTTATTAATTGTTTATTTAATAATTGTCATTTTTAGGTGGCTTTTAATTTTTTTTTTATATAATTTATTTTTCTTGGATTATATTTTTTCTGGGAGTTTGGCATTTTGCTGAAGGAGGATCAATAATTTTTCTGGTGTTGGATGCCTAATAGTCTGTCTGGTTAGTGTCTTCGTGGTGAGCTAAGTTCAGTTCTGGAATTTTCTTACTGTGTTTTTATTATATTCATAAGTTGACATTAACGGATTGAGATATTTACAAATGTTAATTTAAATTGTCAAGAAATGTGATTGATTGTGGGGTTGATGCATAACGAGCCCAACGAGCCGAGCTCGAGTCAGTAAAAAATTGACCGAGCCAAGCTCAAGCTGAAATTTTATTGCTCGACCAAGTTCAAGCTCGAGTTTAAGCTTGTTAAAAATAAATTGAGTTGGGCTCGATAAAGACCATGCTCGAGCTCAGCTCAGTTCGTTTACACTCTTAATTGATTGGAGAAATAAAATTAATTACTAAGAGCTGCTGATTTGAGAAATAAAATGGAATTGATTCCGTACACATTCACCATATTGAAAAAGCACCATTTACTATTGATGAAATGTTAATACTTAATACCACTTCACAAAGCCATCTCCATAGAAATCTTTCCTTTTTTTTTTCTTTTACCAGAAAGTATGTTTTTTTTTTGGGGGGTGATAACATTACATTAAAAAGTATGTAGATTATTATGGAAGTGACTAACTACGAAAAAGTTTAATACGCACTGCTTTTTTATACTTTTTTTAATCTCTACTTATCGTAATTTATATATTTATTCGATATTGTTATTAAAAGCTTAGAATTACAAATATATTTTCAATCGGGCAACTGAGTCAAGCATTTTATGTGCAGCATGACGATTTTCAAATATCAAAAAATATGGAATCCAAAATTTCAATCAGCCGCCAGATATTATTGTTACAATTACAGTAACCAACTTGGAATATTAGTAGTAAGAGTTGTACAAGGTTGAAAGTGGTAATTCTTATGGTATTTGTTAAGCTCCATTTATACTACAAATTTATTTTTTTTCCCCATTAGCAGCAAGAGTGAAGAATAGTCAAATTGGGAGGCTTTCCCTCTCTGCCATGGTCACCCAAAATTGAAAGTATTGATTGCGTGCAACAACTCTCCAAATTTTTTGGGCTAATTATATTATATTATATTATTGAGACACAGACAAATGACAAATAATGTGACCTGTCCTTAAGGTGTTAGTTTTTGATTAATGAATAAGAGTAACATATTTTTTCTACAAAGGAAAATCGGATCCTGAGCCTTTTTTCCAAGCCAAGGAACCTGACTCTCGAGTCTCCACAGTCAAACAATTTACCATATATATCAACAGTTATAGTTGACTAAAGGTGCGTTTTAATCAACTAGTTATGTTAAGTTTACCATTTTTTCAACGCAAAATATCAATACAATATCTCCGTGATAGAACAAACAATCAAAAGCATTTATTTACAAAATATATCTTTGAACTAATTTTTAGAGCTCATTTCTGTGTAGTTATAACATGGAGTAACTAAATTGAAATTGTTCAGAATTTTCTTTCTTTCTTTCTTTTTTTTTTTTAATGTTTCACATTACCCATGAGGACCGGTGTTCTAAAAATCATTGTACTCCCTCTGTTCTAAAATTATTGTCCAATTTAAGATTTCACTTTTAGTATAATTTTAACTAGAAATGAAAACTCAAACTGGACAATAATTATGGGACGGAGTGAGTACACCATTGATAACTGAGTAAATGTAATCATCCAATGTCCGATTTGTTAATAAATTCTCTAATGGGGTTTCTCTCTTTTTTATTTTGGATTGATTACTGGATTTCTTAGAGATATCGTGAGTAAATTGGAGAATTAAGAAGGGAGGGATCATGAGGTCAGAGCTGGGCCTTTCTAAGAGATTTGATCATGGGTTTGAGCTGGGTTACTACTAAACTTAGGTAACTTGTTTTATGGGCTTCAGTAGTTTAAAGTTTAATACGCATGTGATCCAATAAACAATCGTTTTATATGTCTAAGCACATATTCAAATTTTCTTGGAAAAAAAAAAAACACATCTTTAAATTGGTTCGTTTGGCTTTACCCTTCGAAGAGAAGCAAGCAACTGTCAAATTCTGTTGGTTTACCTTTCCCGCAATATTTCTTATACGTATTTTAATCATATCATGAATTGGATAAGAGGGCTAAAATTGAAGGGAATCACTATAAGCGTAAGCGAAGTAACTAAAATGGTAGTATGGGTATTCAATTGGAGGAAATTCAACTTAACAGAATAATATTCTTCATCATCATCATCATCACTGCTGCTAGTACCAAACCCAGGAAACTCTTTTCTTTTCTTTTTTCTTTTTTTTTTATTTTTTTGAAACTAACTCAGAAAATTTAAGGAACGAAAGAAAAACAACGGAAAAAAAAAAAAAACAGGGGAAACCCAAGAACAGAAATGCGAACAATCTTCATCAAATCTTCTTAGGCACCAAAGAGTTACAGCATCGTCAGGCGAAAAGCCTTGTAAGCCGTCACCATAGCCTCTGGACAGGGACAACTCTCTCATTAGGCAAAATAGGTCATTGATTAAGGAATAAGAACTGGGAGGGTCCCTGTGTATATATATGTATACACATAGATATACGCACACAAACACGCGCGCACACACACACGTGTATATATATATATACATATACACAAACACACACATATATATATATATATACACACACACATATATATATATATTCAAAAAATTTAGAACTAATAAATATTGACTAATTATAAAAATATAAATAAAAATTGACCACTCGACATTCATATATGACTTTCTTTATTCTATAAAATAATTAAAAGATCTCGTTACTTTTTAAAAAAATATACAGAAAAGATGGATTCGAAAATGGTATAACTTCAACCATGAACTTGGTGTCAAGATGAACATAAAAACTAAAGTTGAAGAAAAAAAATTAAAATTCATAGAAATACGCAGTTTGATGAAAATGTAGAGAATGAAATTATTAGAACCCCACAAAATATTTTAAAAATTAATTATTTTCTTTATGTAGTTAATAGACCTATCTCATCGCTATAAAGTTTATTTATAAATTTTAAAATGTACGATTTTTTTTCTATTTAGTTTGAAAAAATTAAAAATCACTTGATGACAAAAATTTAGAAAAGATTTGTTTTAAACTTCAAAACTCCTTAAAACACAATGATAGTTTAGATATTAGCGGTTTAGATTTATTTTATAAATTAACATTTTAAGGAAAAATATAAATACTAAGAATATAATCCAATTGACATACATACTTAATTATATTAAAAGAAATAAATCCTTTTCCAAATATTTATATTGCATGTAGATAATGTTAACTATTCACGCAACTGTTGCTCTGCAGTCTCGACCTTGTTCCCGAAGCCTCTAGCGATCCGGTTTAGCCTGGGTGGATTGTCCATCACATTTGGATCTGCACTGTCTAACTCAACAGCTGCCACATAATTGAAATTATTTCTGAAGCGCCCAACAGTAGTCCAGTCGGGATTTTAGCCCGAGAACAGCACCGGGTCGATTCAAGTCTGCTTGTGAGCCTCAAGCGTGCCATGGAGGTGCTAATGTTCATGGGTCCAGTCGGGTCTAATATTTATTTCAAGCACTGTTAAAGAAATATATTACCAAAAAAGGAATGGAAAAAAAGTTTTATTGGTTTCTGTTTTCTCCAGTATTTTGTATTCAAACTGACAAGGAATTTACCTTGTCAGGGGTGGATGCACCAGCCGTTATCCCTATTGTGATAAGACCTTTTGGTACAAAATTCTCCTTTTCGACCAGCTCTCCATGCTGTTAGATTTTTTCAAGCAGAGAAAACAGTCGTTTACTCACCTCTCTATATTACAGAACTCAAACACGCAAAAAAAGTCTAATATATAATCAGACTTGACATTGGAGTTATGGAATTAAATTACCCATCCGTCTCAGAAATAAGAGTCATGTCTGTTGTATTTTTTAGTTACACAAACGTTAGAACGATCTTATTTTGGGGCGAATGGAGTTGGTTATGAAACAGAAGAAGGGTGGGAAGCATTTACATACCGCTAACTTGTAAGATATTCTGTTTCCGGGGCCTATTCGCTTCTCAGTATCAATCCAAGATGATGGAATTCCATGTTCCTCCACGATTCTTTGTAACTCGGTAGTGTTACTGGAAATTCCAAGCTCCAACAACCAGCATAAGATTTACCTACCGGTTGTTCAAGCAGCTTGTACAGCGCATCTTGCCACTCCTGACACAAACAAGACCAGCAATAATAATAGTATGGCGATCACGGGGAAAAGAGAAAAAAAAAAAAAAATACATCACCAAGAAAAGATGGGAGAATTTGTATGCCCACCTGAGTTGCAAAACAAATAGTGTTGAAACTTATAAAATGGTTGTTGATGTTTTCAACTCCATATTTCCGCATCATGGTCTTCTCCACCAATTTGCCTGTAGGAATCAAAAATAAGAACATCATCCTGATTAACATTGTTTTTTCCCATCATCAATCGGGATTATCTCGATTTCCATATCCGTCAGACGCTGTAAAGGGGAGGAAAAGAAAAAAGAAAAAGAAAAGGCAAATTTACTAATCTATAACATGAAATCATGAACAGAGTTTCATATCAAGCACTTTGTTAATGGGGATACTATGCTATATACCTCAGTGATGAGAGGGCTGTGGAGAATTTCATTGGTGAGCCATATTTTATGAGCCGGAAACTGTTTCCTGGCTTCATAAGCGATCTGGACAGTTCTTTCGACACCCCAACAAAAACCATAGGCTTCTGCTAGTCTCACCGTAACATTAACCCCCCATGTGTACTCAAATCCATTCTCCTTCAGTGTCTTTATCATCTTACCTGTAATAAACGTAAAAAAATCTAATCAAACATGTCGAATATATCATAAATGAAGATGAAATTTCGATAAAATAAGGCCTAAATGAATTAATTAAAAGAAAGTCTTACTGGTGTAATCCCGATTCATGAGTTGAAGAGTCTCTTCTTTGTGTCCGAAGCCTTTGCGATTGTACTTGTTGCTTCTAGTCTGGTTGTGCCCCAACTTCTTGGGGTTCCGCTGTTCTATAACTAGAACCTGGTGTGGCATGATCAGGATGGTTATCGCCCGCCGACAACAGAGCATTTAACGGATAATGACTTCCGGCCGTAACGGACGATTCTCAGCTCCGCCGGCGTGGCTAATAAGTTGGCTGTTGTGCGGGTGGAGAATTGCATGGAGAAAGCCATGTGAAAGACAAATTGACCGCCACAAGGTTGGCGCCCCTTATGGAATGTGCACTTTCTAAAAGTCTCTGTACTCGTATTGATTTGTTACGGCGTGAATATTTATATAGAAGTTGACCAAATTGAGAGCAATTTTAATTTGCATCTGCATGTAATCTAATTGATCTAATCTTATTAATTATGTTGAGATTGAAATTAAAAAAAAATTACATAGACACCGATAAAGCAGGGGAAAAATGATCAACTCATGTTAATAAATTGAGACATTCTTAGAAGGGGATTAATAAATTGAGAGCACCTTTTCTTATATTGAGTAATATAGTAGAACTATATTTGTTGTTTTCGGGAATTGATCACAACATCACCAATAATATGAAAGTGAAACCTTTTTTCCACGTTTAATTAAGGTCCATAGGGTGGTTATGATATATTATGATTATTAGTAGGATGGATATTCAAATGTTATAACCTTGAGTTAGTCCAAACTCCAAGCTCATTGTCGAGCAGTGTGTAATAAAATGATTAGATGGTGATTAGTAGTACTATACTTAAGACGTCGTGAACTTAGTTGTTCCGTATGAATTTGGATGAATCTGAATGGTGGATCCTAAGTTACACGTCGATCTCTAATTTTGACTTTAAACTTGATTTAGTCTCCCTAAAACACATTGAGGCAGGGGAAAAAAAAATGATCCTATGGTTGAAGTTGAAGTATTGATTGGATCATGTCTTAATGAATGACATATCATTTCATAAGAGAAAAAACATCTTTAATAATAATAATAATAATAAACCTCATAATTATCGGGTGTTTTGGGATGATTGAAACATGATTTAATCGAAGTATTATACCTTTGTTCTATACAAGTTTGAATTTATCACCTCTTTTATTTTTTTTAAAAAAAAACACGAAAATGCGGGAGAAAAACAAAATCAATGAAGACCGCTTTGTATTATTTCAAGGTTGCAGGTGGAGCTGCAATAGGTTCCGTACATAACATATTCCAGTCAACCGGAAAAAAGAAAAATCAAAACGGACCCAAAAAAAAAAAAGGTTCCGTATTTCTGCGTCAAATTGAACACAACTGTAGTTTATTTGTATGTCAAACTCATTAGCTAAAAAATACTAGCATTTATGTGGAACTGGAACTGTCACCTCAATCAGTTATGCGTCTTCTTTGGCCCTTCAATTTGCTCTTTAAAAAATCCATGACCATTGGTTAGACTGATAAATATTTTGACTATGTCATTAAATAGGACTTTTTTTTTTGGGGACTCTTCTAAAACAAAGAAAAATTACATTGAAATGAGATTAAATATCAAACAGCTTCTATCGATCAAATAAATTTGCGTGTTCGTAATTTCCATATATACTTGAATAACTATGTTAACTGTAAATGATGGCCACCAATTGTTAGAGACTAGGAAAAATTGAAAAACTGGATAAATGATGGATATGCACTATGTGGCCATCATGTATTTGGTTTCAATTTTTGGGTCCATTTCCAATTTTCCATCACAACATCAAAAGAGAAAGTAGAGATAGTATTCTGGAAGAAAAATAGATTGAAGATCAATTTTTTAAACTTATCAAATCACAAACAGGGAAGGAATAAAAAAACAAGAAGAAATTTTCAGGTCATCTTCCCTGCTGACTCTCAATGCAGCTTTTGCATTCTCCGCGTTCACTCACCCTGACCAATGACATTCCTCCATATGGGTTTTCAAAGAGTTCATCTCTACTGGGTCAAGTTTTCCGATTGAGTTTTGATGTGAAATGCCCTCAGGCCGCCAGGAGGTTTAGGGCCATTGATGTTGGACCTCATGCTTCAGGTATTGAACTTTTTTCTCCTTACCAAATCAGCCAATGATACACTAATTCTTGATTAATTGTTCAAACAAACACAAAATAGGTTCTTTTGTTTTCCTCAATTATCATCTTATAGTTGTTTGTTTCTGGCAAGGTGGCGAGAGATTAAGGGTAAAAGCCGCTGAAACAACCCCCTCAGATGCAGCCCTGAATGACCCAAATGTGGTTTTTGTTGCTGGCGCAACAGGCAGAGTTGGGTCACGAACCGTGAGGTTCAGTTTAATTGTATGATAAATTGAATTGAAAACTAGCCAACAGGTTTGATTTTTGCTTCAACAATTAACAAAGAACCGTTTTTTTTCCATGCAGAGAGCTTCTGAAATTAGGGAGTAAAGTTAGAGCTGGTGTTCGAAGTGCTCAAAGAGCTGGATCTCTTGTCCAAGTATGATGTCTCTTAATCATAATTCTGTACTGAACAGTCTACTTCACTTTTGGTTTTTCATTAATGGATATTGGTTGTATTAAGACATTGCTCATATTTTTCTTCAGAGCGTGAAACAGTTGAAGGTGGATGCTGATGCAAGTGGTTTAACTCCACGTAAGATAAGGGACCTTACTCCTTTTAGCATGTGTTTGTCTGTATTTTCCTGCATGAAAGAGATGATAAATGCTTAGGCTTTGGTTGGTATGATAAGTGACATGCTTGGAGTATTTTATCGCTTTAAGGACATGAATTGCTGGCGAAAATCATAATGTTCTCTTTGATCTTTAGCCAGCTATAGAGAGGCTTGAGATTGTCGAGTGTGATTTAGAGAAGAAAGATCAGATCGGCCCAGCTTTGGGGAATGCTTCAACTGTCATATGCTGCATTGGTGCCAGTGAGAAGGAAGTATTCGATGTTACAGGACCCTATCGAATTGACTATCAGGCCACAAAAAATCTCATTGATGCAGGTAAGACTAGGAGAGCTTAGCGTGAAACTTCAAACTTTTTATAGCTGACGTCTACTTATCTGAATTTATGTTTCCATTACAAGTTACTTCATAAGTGAGTCTTCTGCGGACTGAAGGAAAATTAACAAAGATTACACTAACAGAATATTTGTCCATTTTTTCAAAAATTTATGTGGGCGACCGTATGCTGTTCATTTGATCAGAGGAAAAAGTATGTGACTCGATTTATTTGTTGCTATGGACAGTATTGCTGCCTCGTCAGGGGAAAGTCATAATAAGTTCATTTTGCTCATGGTTTGAAAAGTTGTTTAGTTAATCTACGCGGTTTTTGATAATGTCTAGATATCTCAGAACTGATTTGGCTTGCAACTTAGTCCTGTATTAGTAATTATACAATTAATGGTTTTGGAATCTCTGTGTTCTTACTGTTGATCAGCAATGATAATATGATCTATTAGTTATTTAATATTAATTCAAAGAATTTTTGTATGCAGCTACGTTTGCCAAGGTTGACCATTTCATTTTACTCACATCTCTTGGAACAAATAAGTTTGGATTTCCTGCAGCTATTTTGAAGTAAGTATGAAAAAATACTCCTGTTGTGCTCTTATGCAAACAATCCGTGTGTAAAAAAAAGTTTTTTTTGTTTTGCTCATTCATTCTGATTATTCCCTATCCCCGTCTTTCAAAAAAAAAAAAAAAGCTTGTTCTGGGGAGTCCTGTGCTGGAAAAGGAAAGCAGAAGAGGCTCTACTAGCCAGTGGACTTCCTTACACTGTAAGTGATCTTTACTGTTCTTGCAATGGAACATTTCTGGGATTTTTTACAGTATATGGACTCGATTTTGTGTATGATTTTCTATATCAGATAGTTAGACCTGGAGGGATGGAGCGACCTACTGATGCTTACAAAGAGACTCATAATATGACTGTGTCACAAGCAGACACTTTATTTGGCGGGCAGGTCTCAAACCTTCAGGTAGTGGTCTCTCGTGCCTTAAGATCATGGTCTTTGAGATCCATCTTTTGAACTCTTTTGGGAGGATGCTTGTAGGCAATAGAAAAGCTTGCTCATAATCCACAAGTTCAGCTGTGTAATGCTGTAGTTTGAGCCAACTTGTGGAATGCAGTGCCCTGGTTGGTGCTTGAGTTGATCCCATTATGACTTTCATACTTCATGTTGTCTGCTAAATCTTGCCAACTATTTAGAAATGATGGGTCTTGTCTTCTGCATGCTTTTCAGAATAACATTTTCAATTCTAGATATTGCTACTTGCATTTCTTTTTATTTATCCTGTGCAGCCATTAGTTAAGTTGCATGGAAAAAACTTCTTTTTGCTCCATCCTTAACCAACATATAATCTGAAATAATATCAGGTGGCTGAATTCCTTGCTTTCATGGCGAAAAATAGGGACCTCTCTTACTGCAAGGTGGTGGAAGTAATTGCAGAAACTACGGCTCCATTAACTCCAATGGGTGATCTTCTTTCAAAAATTCCATCCGAGCGTGCTCCAGTTTTCACTTCCTCGGTAACCTTCAACCATACCATCTAATTTTTCATCTGGCATGATTACCTATATAGATTATAAGTGCTGGATATGGTACGTTGATCTGTTCAGACATTGATGTAGTTTACCGATATCTAAACTACAAGCATCAAAGTGAAAAAAGACTCTATTTAGCTGTTCCAAAATGCAGTTTCTTGGTTCATGTCATCTAATAAGTTGCATATACCTGAACCATGGAATGTTTTATAGAAATCAGATGATGCAGTTGAACCCAAAAGTGCCGTTCCAGTAAGCTTGATTTCTGAAACTTTATCTGTTGAAACTGCATCTACCCAAGTGAAAGCAAATGCAACAACACCCCTCTCTCCATACACAGCGTGAGGACATTAATGTATACTTCATCTTCACTCCCTAAAATACTTCCCACAAAACTGAAGTTGTTATGTTCATCTCTCTGAAGGTATGAAGACTTGAAGCCTCCAACATCGCCAACACCAACTCCAAGTACTGGTTCATTTGCAAAAAAAGAAAGTGGTCCAGGACCTATTCCCACAGAAGCAGACACTTCAGCTACACCAGTAAAAGTCCACTCTTCATCACCTTATACGAGGTAAGTTAAAATACCTCAGGTGTGGTTTCAGTTGCGATATATGTCTGTGGAAACTTAAGGTCATACTCAGACAAAACTGAATTAATTATTTTCATCTCTGAAGCTATGAAGACTTAAAGCCTCCCACATCCCCTACACCAACCCCAAGTACTGGTAATTCTTTGCCCAAAGGAAGTGGAGCTGACGCTTCTCCATCTTTGACGATCAACTCCTCATTACCAGACATAAGGTAAGCTCAAAGTCTTCAAGTGAGTTTCTGATTTCTGCTCTACGTCTCTTCACATGGTATTTTCTTTCTACATAGAAGGTAACTTAAAGCATGTATATTTCACATAAAACTAAAGGTGTGATTTTTTTATCCTTCTGAAGCAATGATGTAAAACCTCCTAATATTGCTGCATCTGAAGTAAGTTCAGCCGACACTGTTCCAACTGCAAAGGTCCACTATTCATCGCCCTACATAAAGTAAGCTCAACTATCTCAAAGCGTGGCACTTATCCTCAAACATTATTTTATCTTTGCTGTTATGTTTAAGTATTATATATGGCTTTGCAATTATGTTTAAATACTGCTTATTAGTGTGTCAAAGTAGTTCATGGTATATTGTCATGAGAAATTAAGTTCTGTTTCTTCAGAATTTTTTTTATTAAATTCCTGTATGATGAATTCCACTGTGATTTTACTCGGATCATGTAGAAGCAGCTTCATCCAGATACGGATCTAGTTGTTACACATAACATTATGATATCATGGTAACAGTTCGGGTGGGAGGGTTGGTGGGATGGTTAGGAGATTAGGATGGGAGATGATTATTACCGGGAGGTCGAGGGTTCGATTCTCGTTAGGGCCATCCATTTTTTTTTTAATAAAAAAAAACATCATGGTAACAGTTCCTGTAAGCATAATACGGGACCTACATAACAGAATGTCTACTGTTCTTGCTTAGTTTACTCGAGAACCAGCATTATTTTGAGAAATATCAAATCTAATGTTCATCTTGTGACTGCTTTCAGCTACCCTGATTTGAAGCCCCCAACATCACCAACTCCTAATCCGCCAGCATTGGCGACAAAAAGTGAAGTTGAACCTCGAGCTCCAAGTGCAGATATACTAGTTAATGGAGATAAGCATAATGGAAGCATATCAAGCCCGCTTTCACCATACACTATGTAAGCCATATGTTTTTAATGGAGCTCCATAGTCTTTGAAATGACCAGTTTGTCAAGCTGCGGCGCAGCAAAACAGCACATTAATTTCCAACTTCTGAAAAAAGAAATCATTGTCAAACCATACATATATGCCTGGCTGACAGCAGCAATGGTACTGATGATTGTTCTATGATCCATCTTTTCCCTCTCGCAGGTACGAGGATATGAAGCCCCCAACTTCTCCAACGCCATCATCTCCAAAGAATATCTGAAGCATCAGAAAAGTCAGTTCTTAACTTCAGAATCTAGGCGTCTCTCTGCGAGAAGCAAATTGAAGTCTTTTTTGTATTATAATTTATAAGTTTATTATCTATAATGAAGCCATAGAAGAAACAAGATATGTTATCCGCGCAGTTGACGACCTATAAATGGCAAAAGATAACTACATTGTATCGTAACATCATCATTTGATCATATTCTTTTCCTAATGTAATACACAGTATAGGCACCTATGCCTTGGAGCATTGTTGATGGAATAACAGATTTCCGCCCCTTCCATTTTTTTTCCCCTGTGAATCCTAGCGCCAATTATAAAACTTAGGATTCTCACGTATCATATTACTAATGTTAAGATCTGCCTTTGTTGTATTAATTTTTTTTTTTTATTAAAACACTTGTTAGCAATACTTTATCAAGGCAGGCAAATTTCGCAATTTCCTTTACAGTGGAACTGCTACTCTAAACATTCCAAAATCAACATCCACCAACAAGCAAAACAGGGAAATGTATCTGTCTTACAAAGGATACTAAAAATAGTAAATAATCTAAAAGGACAGGAATTAGTATTTTTCCATAATTTCTAACTTCCAATAGCCATGAATGCTACTTCTTCAGCGCTAGACAAACAAATCTCCAATTTCAAGAACTAACTACAAAATGCAAGTCTTTAACAGCACGCTCTACCTTTAGCAGACTACACAGCTACTCTTCTCCAGCTTTTCACCCTCACAAAGGCAACTATCAGGTTTCCATTTATTCACCAGACAAAAACAGTATACCAGATCAATCAACAATCTTTAGTATATCCACTTCCTTTTTCTACCATTTAAATGCTATTTCTGGGTTGTACTGTATCATGGATACCTGGCGAAACTAAGCTCTCAACATACATAACTGCGTTATGAAGACAACCTATCTTTGGATACCTCCTAAAGGTATCAGCCTTAGGATTGTAAAGTAACAGCTCTGAGCTTAAGACAAACAGTACTTCACCATTCCTCGACATGCAAATAGGCCGAGACATCTCTGCAGAACTTTTAAGAGGACGATCAACATAAGGGATTGAGAAAACCTTAATCCAAGACCACTTAACTCCACATTCCTTCATTACCCATATATCTGCGTGATTTCCTTCGTAATTGTAAAACACAGAAATGCAATCTCCTAACACTCCAAGTCGATGATCATGTTCAGTATCTCTGTTCTTTGGGCGGACCACTACTCGATACGTCTCATTGGCCAAGTCAAAACAAGCAATTATCCAACTACCCATGCCATCATGGACAGGCCAATAGAGCTTTCCACTTGCATAGATAAAACCTTTTGCCAAAACTGGGACCCGCAACCTTTAAATCATCCATCTTGCGCCAAGAATTATTCTTTAGGCTATACAAAATGATTTTACAGTCTGGATCAGAATATAGGCCCCAATAAATCCCAACTAGTTTATAATCGTCATTCAAATTATCATAACCAAACCCGAAAATCCAACTGGAACCAGCCTCATTGCCCCCTCCTATACCCGTGTCAGGCAACTTCTTATACTCCCTAGTGCAAGGGTTACGCAAAACAAGTTCACCTATCCTGTTATAAAAGCAAACCAGCCCATTGCAAGAACCCACAACGGTCACTGATTCGGGATGTTGCAATGGATTATCGATATTAACTACCTTAGCGGCGGAAATAGATTTGTGCAACAGAGAACTAACCGAATACAGCTGGTTGCGCAATTTTCTTGATTTAGAAAGTACAGTAAAGATCAGACGATGGTGGCCATAATCGTCCCTTCCAGATGCAATTGCGAGATGGGTTTTGATGAACTCCGGGCTTGAGATCAAAGAACGCCATGGTTTCGAAACACACTTGAATTTCACCAAGGATTTAGCGGGGAGTCTTAAAAGGATTTCAGCAATGAGATCCTCGGGAAAATTAGGGATTGTGAACGGCTGATTTTGGGTTGATGAACGAAATTCCTCTTCGCTGCCATGGATTCACTTCCTTTTGGAGCTTTTGTGTTGGTTAGGGCACACTTTTGATGGGTTTACACTGGAATCCATGGTTGATTTGCTCGTCGAGTAGGAGCCTCCGCGCTGTTGTATCTCGTCGAGAAGGCGTGACTTTATGGCGTTTAATAAACACACGCATAACCTTGGCTTTTTGTATTTACTTTCATTTTGACTTTCTTCCCCGGCTATCGGTCGGTCAACTGTCAAAACGGTCTAGGGCTTTTCTTTGTCCCCCCAATTCCAAATTTCCAACTCCAGAGCACCGCCAGAATGGATAAACCGACGGCACAGAATCCGGTGGCCGATGAACTCCCTTCCTCAGCTTCTGCGTATCTCGATCCTCAATACTGGTTAGCACTCTCTTCCCTGACATGAAGAACTAATCAATTAATCTGATATGTCTAAACTCCGATTCCCAGAACTAACTGCTTTCTTTCTTTTTTCTGCGTTTTAAACTTCAATAATTCAGGGACGACAGGTTTAAACGAGAAGAGCATTATGAGTGGTTCAAGGATTTCTCCCATTTCCGTCACCTCATTCTTGACCACATCAATCCAAGTTATTCTGTAACCCACTCCTCCTTTTATTTTTAATAGTTTTGTTCATCTGTGAGTCTTGTGTTACTAATTGTATTGAGCCTGGAATTTTGCATAATGTTCATTAGGTACTGGAGCTGGGTTGTGGGAACTCTCAATTATGTGAGGAATTGTACAGTGAGGGTATCACTGACATCACCTGCATTGATTTATCACCAGTGGCAGTGGAAAAGATGAGCCAAAGGTTATTATCCAAAGGCTATAAAGGTTTGGTTTGCCTTTTTTGTAATCAAAATTTGGACTTTCATTCTGTATGGTTAGTTTGCTGATATTCTTCCTGTTAAAATTTATCAACAGAGATTAAGGTATTGGAAGCTGACATGCTAGACCTTCCTTTTGGCGATGAATGTTTTGATGTTGTTATAGAGAAAGGAACCATGGTAATCTTAAAAGCTTGTGGAGTTAAATTTTTACTTTTTTCGATGTATGTTTGAAGTTTGATCGCTGAAGTATGTATGCGATTTGTGATTTGAAGGATGTATTGTTCGTGGATAGTGGTGACCCATGGAATCCACGGTCCGAAACAGTTAACAATGTTATGGCAATGCTTCGGCAAGTTCACCGGGTATTGAGACCAAATGGCATTTTCATTTCAATCACATTTGGTCAGGTAAACGGGGGTTAAACCCTTGCTCTAGATATTTGTATGTTTGCTGCTAAATTGCTTTCTCTCTGCCTTTTCTTCCACCTGATTGGAACTGGTAGAAAATAAAATTTGATGCTTTGCTTCAATGTGTTGCAGCCACATTTCCGTCGTCCTTTCTTTAACAAGTCAGAATTCACTTGGTCTGTTGAGTGGAAAACGTTTGGAGATGGGTTTCACTATTTCTTCTATATCTTAAAAAAGGTCAGTTTTGCCAACCAGGGAAAATTGAATTGCTCTCTTTACTGTCTTGCATTAGTCTCGTGTTATCATTATCATTGTCTTTTTCAAATTTAAATTCCCTTTCTGGAATCTTGATGATGTAGATTTTTCTATGTCACATCACTTTCTTATGCTTTATTTACGATAATTTGGAGGTTCAGTGAAGCTGAAGCCTATCAATTGCTTTAACTCTGATAGAGCATTTCCGTCTCTATGAAATCTTCTTCTTGCGATTTTCTTGATAGTATTGAATAATTAACAAACAAATTGCAGGGAGAGAGGAGGTTAGAAGATGAAGAGTGTTCTAAGAAGATTGAAATGCCCTCTATATCTCTTTACCATGAAGAACTAGACAATGAAGACTATCTATTTCGTACCAACGTGGATGAACTGCAAAATTGATAATCCAAAAGTTTACAGCTATAGTTTTCGAGTTTGTCGAATTACAGAACATTAGCATTCTGTTAATAGCTTTGTGTTTCTCAAAGATAACTTGTGTATCGTAATAGCGTGATGCACGCTTTCGGATTACTCCAGTTGTCAAACAGCCTTGTATTGTAAAATTTCTAGCTTCAGTTCAGAAGTTGTGGAGAAGCACATTTGACTTAGTTGTCACTCCTTGTTCTTTATTGTTCGAAGGATTAACAATGAATAGCTGATTTAGTTATGGTGAGGATTGAAGCAAGAGATAATCCCGTTTTTTCTATTTTTTCTATTTTGAGCATATTGTTCTGCTTACTGAGATGTATAAAGCTTTTTTGGTTCAAGTGCTATACTACAAGAAAAAACTCTTTTAAGTACTGAAAGTTAATTCTGCTGAGTGATTCTTTGTTGTTGGAAGATTTTGTGAGAATAAAATGCCATTCAACTCTCAGTGGCCACTAACATGTCATGCTATGCCAGAGGTTGAGAGATCGAATCCCCGTTCCTTCACTTTCCCTTTTCCATTCGTATCTTCTCTCCTCTGGTTTAGAATAGGTACAAATTATACTCTATTGTAGGAGTTTCACACCACTTTGTGTGAGACAAGATACATGAAATTGTAGTATTTAAAAAAAAAAAAAAATGCCACTCAACCAGTCTGATCTTTTGCAATTTTGTTCTATGTCAAATGCGCATATCTAACCACAAAATTAGCTCGGGCAAAAGTAGGACAAAACCAACGAAAGAAATGGCAGGGAGAAACTGCCAGCTGAATGACGCACTGGATTGATAGATTTGATGCCGAACGGAGAAAACCTACCTCGGATTAATGGATTTTGTGAATCTAGCTCATATCTAAAAGGGGAAAGAAAAGGGAAAGTGGGAAAACAAAAAAAAAAAAAAAGCTCAAAAACGCTAGAGGAAGGGCTTGAACCTTCGACCTTGTGGTTAACAGCCACACGCTCTAACCAACTGAGCTACTCCAGCCTGATGTTTCAAATTTTTCGACTAATTAACAAGTACAAAAAAGAAAGTTTAGGCTAATCTGCTATCCTCACTGTAATTCTTCGTACGTTACAAAGGTAAAAACACAAGATATGCGGACTCATAAAAAGAAGGCGGCAAAACCACGACAATACTTGGTTCGTTTTCATACTTCGTAAATCGTAATCCAAGAAAATCTGAACACAAATTGGTCTTGCCTTTTTTATGAACAAATCAATGATACAACTAGTAGTTGACTAGTAGTATTTACAAGTCAATTTTAACATTCCCTTTTAATTTCCAAATTGATAGTATTATTACCCCTGTCCCATAATTATTGTTCACTTTGCCCAAAAAATTTTATCCCAAAATTATTGTCCAATTTGACATTTTATGGATCAAGTTACACATTTATCGTTAGTAAAAAATATTATCCATAAAATCTTAGTGGTTAAACAATTACTTATGTAGGGGTATATTCGGTTGTTTAAGGTAAAATATAGTTAAGTTTGACCAAAAATAAAATCTTTCATTTTAGTAAAATTGGACAATAATTATAGGACGGAGGGAGTATATAATAATAAAAAATTGACATACTTTTGGTACTATCTCGGTAACGACGTCGTACGAGTTGCTTCCTCACTTTGTTATTTATTGTTCCCCCAAATCTCTGTGTTATATACTCATCACTGCTAAAAGGCGAAGAATGAAAACGTCCCTTTTATTCGCTTTACAGAACCCCGCCGCAGATTATTTTCTCTCCCCCTCCGCCGGCAACTAATAAAAAGCCTCGCCGACTATCCCACCTCGGTGATTACTTATTTTTCTGTTTTCCGATCGAACTGTGTGTTGCCGTATCACGATCAATTCGATCCACACAGGTCTCTTTCGGCTGTACATTTTGTAATAAATAAATAGATAGATAGATAGATATGTGGAGTGGAGATGAAGATTACTACAGCAGTTCTGATCGTGAATTGGAGGACGATGATATCGAGAACGAAGATTCTGAACCCCTCTGGGTTCATTCCAAGGGTCCTTCCTCCAAGGTTACTGCTACCCACAATTAAATTTTGTATAAATAATTCAATCGGAAAAACATAAAATCTTTATTTGATTTTGGTGTACGTTTTCTTTGCTTATCTTTTTTCTGGTAATTTTGTTTTTGGGTGGTGACCGTGAGGAGGGATTTTGCTGGTGGATAAAGATTTCTACCCATTGTAATATTTTTCCGTTTTTTTCTTTTCTTTTGATTTTTGAGAATATTTGGGAACTAAAAAGAGTGGTAATCGTGGGTGTTTTTTTTTTCTTTTGAATGTGCGTCTTGCACAAGACTAAATTGCCACTTCAACGATTCTCATGAAATCTGAATACAATTCCCGGAAATCTGTTGCTGTGATTGTATATCCCTTCAGTTTACTGTGAATTACTGTTTTTGTCACGTAATTTGGCTGCCATTTGTTAGTTTCTGGAACCACATTTGTATCTTCAAGGGTTATGGTATCTTTAGGTTCTTTTAACTCTGATTAGGCACTCATCTTTCAGTTTTAGATTGAACGATGATCCCCGTATGTTTCCCAGTAGCTGCTGTTTTACTCTGTTTGGAGTTAAACATTGCCTCCTCAAGTTTATGTTACTTGTTTGCAGGTGATCACAAAAGAATCTCTCTTGGCTGCACAGGTGAGTACATGAAAGAAGTCTCAACTCTTTTTTCTGCAATTTTTTCTATTGTTTTGACAACTTTTGAGATTTGGATTCTGTTTCTGACTCTGAAGTTTACTGTATTTGCAGAAGGAGGATCTGCGGAGAGTGGTCGAGATGTTGTCTATAAGAGAACACCATGCTCGAACTCTACTTATTCATCATAGATGGGATGTTGAGAAGTTGTTAGCAATACTTGTGGAAAAGGGGAAAGCTTTCCTGTTTGCTCAAGCAGGTGTACCAATAGTTGAGAATAATCATCGTGATGTATCACAATCATCCTCCACCGTCTTCTGCAATATTTGTATTGAAGATGTACCTGGACATGAGGTGACTACAATGGATTGTGGCCATTGCTTCTGCAATAGCTGTAAGAAATCTCTCCTGTCTGTGTTTAACAACTTAATGCTGTTTCTAAAATACAGTGGCCCATGACATTGTTGGCTATTATGCCTTATTACTTTAGTTGTATTCTACTTATGGTCTATGTTTCAAGTACAAACCTGAATTGGATGATAGCTTGTTGTACCTCATTAATTTTTACTGAAAGTATCTTTTTTATTTTCGGTTACATGCCAGCCCCAAGTAATTTTTAGTAAAATATTATCAGGTTAGCTTTTGTTTTTCATCTCTGCATATTTCTAAACAATTATTATGTTATTTAGGTTGGACTGAGCATTTTATAGTGAAGATTAATGAGGGTCAAAGTAAGCGAATAAGATGTATGGCGCACAAATGCTTTGCTATATGTGATGAAGCAGTTGTAAAGCGTCTAGTTAGTAAGAGGCACCCTGACCTTGCTGAGAAATTTGACCGGTTTCTTCTCGAGTCATATATTGAGGACAACAAAATGGTGAAATGGTGCCCTAGCGTCCCTCACTGCGGTAATGCTATACGCGTGGAGGATGATGAATTTTGTGAGGTTGAATGTTCATGCAGCTTGCAGTTCTGTTTCAATTGTTTATCAGAAGCACATTCTCCTTGTTCGTGCTTGATGTGGGAACTTTGGACGAAGAAGTGTCGTGATGAATCAGAAACCGTGAATTGGATTACAGTTCACACAAAACCATGCCCTAAGTGTCACAAACCTGTTGAGAAGAATGGTGGCTGTAACCTGGTTAGCTGCATTTGTGGCCAGGCATTCTGGTAATGCTCTTCTTCTTTATGCTTCTTTTTTTCTGATTGCAAAGTCCCTGCATATGTTAAACGGGACAAAAGGAAGAGTATTCGTCAACTTCTACTTCGTATTAGGTTTTCGATTTAGTGTACTTCAAATTTATTTTCTTCAAATAATAGATAAGTTTCTTTTCCTTAATTTTTTGGAAGGCTTCACATGTGTCTTTATTCTTTTTGGACCTTCAGTTAAATATTCGGAAGTAATCTTTAGTAGAACAGCGTTGATGCACTTTTGTTGTTTATTCTTTTTGTTTTTGGTATCTGTGAATGTATGGAAGTCAGTTTTTTGTTTTTGTATTTCTTGCCATGAATATTAATTATGGTAAGTTTCTTGGGGCCTTTCCTGTTGTGTCGTGTTGGCCTGTTTTGACACACATGTAAATTTCTGTTGATTTTTATATAGTTTAGTTTTCCTTTTTTGAATTTGGTGCAGTTGGTTATGTGGTGGAGCTACTGGTCGAGATCATACTTGGTCAAGTATAGCTGGTCACAGCTGCGGGCGATTTAAAGAAGACCGTGAAAAAGTAGCTGAGCGTGCAAAGCGAGACCTTTACCGATACATGCATTACCATAATCGTTACAAAGCGCACACTGACTCCTTTAAGCAAGAATCTAGGCTGAAGGAGACTATCCGGGATAAGATATCAAACTTGGAAGCCAAAGATTCAAAATTGAGAGATTTCTCCTGGGTAACAAATGGTCTTTACCGGCTCTTTAGATCAAGGCGTGCACTTTCTTTCTCATACCCCTTTGCTTTTTATATGTTTGGTGATGACTTGTTCAAAGATGAGATGACGAATGAAGAAAGAGATTTGAAGCAGCATTTATTCGAAGACCAGCAGCAGCAGCTTGAGGCAAACGTTGAGAAACTTTCCAAGTTTATTGAGGAGCCATTTGATGAATTCGATGAGAATCGGATTATGGAGATAAGGATGCAGATAATCAATCTCTCTGTGATAACAGATAACCTCTGCAAGAAGATGTGAGTCTCCTGAAACCTGGAGCTAGAGGGGCTTTTCTCTATATGCAATGCAGTGATGTTTGGCTCTTTACATTCAAATCATCAAAAAATGTCTTTAAACTCACATGTTTTGGCCTCTACAGGTATGAATGTATTGAGAATGATCTGCTTGGGTGCCTTCAGTTTTCTAATCACAACATAGCGCCATATCAGTCTAAGGGTATAGAGAGGGCCGTGGAGCTTCCTGTTGGGTGGAATACCAAGATGACTTGCAGTCAATATCAAAAAGTGGACATGTCAAGTGGTAGGGTTTTCTCGAACCTTTTAGCTTTACTGTGGTGTCCCAAATTTCTATCTTGACACTTTAAATAACTGGCTCTACTACTGGAGTTTAGAATTCTTGGTGGTCCTAAGAAAGTAATAATGTTATAGGAAGGTATGATTGAGAATGTCTCATTTTGCGAATATGAAAACCATCTACACCCTTTAGCTAGCTGATGCTAGTTACATTATCATTCAACTGCCTAAAAGCAGCATTTATGAGGAAGGGAATCTAATATAATGGATGTAATCCCTGAATATATTGGTGTTAAATTTCTTGATAATTCGTTAGTTGAAGCAATGATCATGTGTTTTAAAGCTTTTTTTGGCCTTTTCTTTATAGGAAGGAATGTTCTGGTAGGTTAGACATATTTGTTTTTAAATGTAGACAAGGTAGAATAATGGCATTTGTCACTGATACATGATGCACATGTTTTAGGTGGTGGCGTCATGGCATCTGATCAACAACCATCAGCGACAGGAACCTCAGATGCGGATGGATACTCTCCAAGGAAGCGTGCTAGGAAGGGAAGCTTGCGAAGTGGGCTGATTGATCTTAACTTGCCAGCAGAGACTGTGAAAAGGAACTAAATCCTCAGGGGTCAATTACTGCAAACTCAACTGTACAGTTCTAATTAAATTTGGTGCTTTATGGAGATGAGAAGACGAAGTTTTGGGCGCGGGGAAGATACTGCCCTGCACTCGTCATCTCTCCTGGTTATGGGTGGGATCTTGTAGTTTGGCAAGGGGATGCTTTAGGGGGGGTAGTAAAGAGGGAACTTACACCTCTTGGAATATCATAAGGAGATGTAAATAGCCTCACCCTGGGGTTGTTTAGGTGGGTTGCTGAAGAGCAGGAAATGATGTATAGATTAAAGTTATGAAATTGTGTAGTTATGGTCCAGTTGACTAAGGAGAATTGATCTTTATCTGGAAGATTGGTTTATGTTATGGAATGGATTTAACATTGGGGAAGTTTTGGTTTGGTGTTTAACTATAGATCTTATTGAGATGACCAATTTGATTATTAATTTATTTATTTTATTGAGTGCCTTCACTGTTCATGTTTGGCATGAATGAATTGTATGGAATTTTATCTGAAATTGCATTTGGAGATGGGTAAAGTCTCAGTTTCATTGTTGGTAAGATTCAATCTCTCAACTTTTTTTTACATCCTTATATTTAGATGCTTGGGTGTTGGATTTTGGACTCCCAATTCTTTTGAGATGATTGCATCACGAGAATTATTCTATTCTATACAACAAATCCTTCCATCCAGTACCGTGGAATGGCTGCGAGCGAGATAGAAAACGCCAGGTTGAATTATAAGAAAGTAAAAAATGAAAGTAAAGAAATCGGCCTGGAAGGGCAAAATGGTCACGTACACGACACACGAGATATATCCCCCTGGGGCCTCCGGGCCATAACAGAATCCATTTGGTTTCCCGCCAGTAGTTAGTTAACCAGCTAGCATTCGCGATCTGAGTACAACAGTCTATGTAAACAAACTCTGAGCCAAAACAACACATATTCCCAAATTATTTCTCTCTCTAAAACGAAAATGACGATCAGTACTACTCTTCACCAGATTCTTCTACTCATTTCCCTCCTCCTCCTTTCCATCTTCATGATCTCCGCCGCCGCCGCCGCCGCCGCCGCCGCCGCCTATTCCTTCGCTCCTTCCTTTCCGCCCTCTGTTCATGAGGTAGACCACCTTACCGCTTACCCAGCTACACTCTTCGCTTCCATCCTGGCCTCTTTAGGCTTTCAGGAGCTTTCCTCCGCCGCCATTAACGCCAACCTCTCCACCACCACTCCGGTCACCATCTTCGCACCCTCCGATTCCTCCCTCCTCACCTGTCCTTCTTGCTCTGTTCCGCTCCTCCTCCAGGAACACGCCGTCCCCGGCCTCTATTCCCTCGATTACCTCCGCAAATTAGCCTTCGGTACTAAGATCGAAACCCTATCCCCCGATTACTGCCTCACCGTCACCAATTCCGCCGGTCAAAACGACTCTTCCAAGTCCGTCTTCGTCAACGGCGTCGAGATCTCGCACCCGGACATGTTCTACAACGGCGCCGTCATGGTTCACGGACTCCAAGGCTTCGTCTCCCACCTCTCTCCCCTCTCTTGCAACGTCGAGCGGCTGACGTCCCTCTCCTTCCCTCAGCCGTGGCTGTTCAAGGCGCCAACGTCCTCCGTCATGCGCCTCATGCTCAAGGACGCCATAATCCGGCTCCGATTCAGCGGCTACAGCATCGTCTCCCTCGCGCTCAAGGTGAAATTCGCGGAGCTGTCTCAACTCAAAGCCATGACGGTGTTTGCCTTGGATGACGTCGCCATCTTCTCCGGCGCCGGTCAGGCTTACCTTCACCATTTCAGGTTCCACGTGGTTCCGAACAGGAGGCTGACGGCGGCGGTTCTGGTGAGCCTGCAGCCCGCCACCGTGTTGCCGACCATGGAAATTGGGCAGAATCTGGTGGTTACAACCGCCGGGGGCGGCGGTCCGTTAGCTCCGATGAAGATCAATTACGTGAAGGTTACCACCTTGAATTTGCTTCACAACAGCCGAATTGTGGTTCACGCGGTGTCGACGGCGCTCCCCCACATGCACCATCATCTTTCTGGAAAAGAGGATCCCGAGGCAGAGTACAACTACGATTACTATCACGTCAACGGCGATGGCTCTGCTCCGCCTCCGACGTGTGACCTGGCACTGGGTGGTGGAATGTGTGAAGTGGAAGCACCTGCGCCAGGTGGCATTAATTCGGTGGCTGATAATGTTTTTCATTTGGGCGATTCAGTTGGTCTTTGATTGAATTTCAATTGCTCTGTTAATCAATTACACTGAGTACAATCCCCTGTGTTAACTGTTGAATCTGAGAGTCCCCAGTAATGAATTACGGACTGCATATCTTATTTTGCCATTTGATTTTGATTCAATTCTGTGATCCTAATTGAACATTTTGCCTCCTTCATTGTTAACTTGGTTTCTTCTTTTTTTTTTTTTTGGTGTTATGTTATTGATTCTGTTGTTGATTTGGTCATTTAATCGACGATCTATTCCACTACCGCTACTGTTAATGTACAGAGAAATGATGACTGAAACCAGCCAAAATTTCTTCTACCTCCTTGATTGGGATGGTTTATCATTTACATCACCAATATATGTCACGGTCAAATTATGCTCAATAGAATATGCCATGATGAGCTTGTTAACCAGACGCAGAATAAGAAATAACCATTTGATGTTTAACCATCTGTCTTGAGCATCAATTTTGGAGATGATGCTTTTTCATCTATACTCTAGTTTACTCTATCTCATTTTTCCCTTGCTCTAACACTCTAACTTGGGCGGGAGTTTATTTATTCATTATTTATTTCAAAAAACGGGAAGACACTCATGAATTTTCAGAAAAAAAAAAAAAAGAAAAGAAAAGAAAGAAAACAAAGAATTTATCGTTCGTCGATTTTGTCGTCAACCTAGCTACGGCGACGATCAAGTCGACAAAAGGGATTTCCAAATCCATAAAACATTTTACAACTTTTTGCTTTGTACCAATAAATCAAAAATATTTCAAATTAACACTAACGTTAAAACATTCAATTGTTAATTTTTAAATAGATTTTTGGATTGCAGTTGGGTTTAAAAAAAAACCCCAAAAACACGTACAAAATGAACTGAATGATATCAAATTCGTTCATCTTCCATTCTTATATCATTCATGTCATACTGAAGCAAAAATTTATGAGCACAAAGGAATTTTAAGGGGGGAAATTAGTTGATTCTGTCGTCGACTTATCTACTTCGACCGCAAAGTCGACTAAAATAATTTTCAAAGATTTGAACATTTAAAAAAAATGAATTTAATGTAGGTCAACTTGTCGTAGCCTAACTAAAGTCGACAACAAAGTTGAGGCAAATGATTTCGAAGAATTTAAATATTTTACAACTTTTTTCTGAGGATAATAAATAGTAATTTTTTTTGTCAAATCAACAATAAATATTAAAACATTTGATGGTTAAATTTTTAAATAGATTTTGGATCACATCTACCTGTTAGTCGGGTAAAAAAAACGCAGCAAAGAAGTATAAATTAGAGTGCATGATATCAGGTTTAGACATCCTCGATTCTCATATAATTCATGAAATATTAATGTAAAAATTATTTTCGCCTAAACTAGATAATAATTATGGAACGGAAGGAGTATTATTTTCCAAAATGACAAAATTTAGCCTTATATGCTAGTTTTTGCTTAGTCAATACTCAATACGGATTCCCCTACAAAATTTAGGCCAGTTACTTGAGTCAATAAAATCAGGAAGCCTGTACCCATGTTTTTATTTTTGTTTTCATTGGGCTAGTTTTATCCCTAGCCCACCTTGAATCTTCAAAAGTCCAAAACCATGTGGTCTGGGATTCAATTTGAAGTATCGCATACAACGTTGAATTAATTTGCTGAAATGGCATCAACATTTCATGACTAGGTAAATGAAGGATCCTTAACAGTGGGGCTATCCAAGTGTTCAACAAAATTTAAAATAGTACTCCTCCGTCCTAAAAAAAAAATTGAGAAATTATTCAGTGCAACTGCTGTAGCACATAAGATTGTGCTGTTAGACTCAATAATAGGGGTAAAATAATAATTTTGGGAGGAGAGAGATAATTTCTACGGGAGTTATATCACTAAAATAGGGAGGTGCTAGTACTTGCTGTACTAAAAATCAGGATACAGCAGCTGTACCTAATAATTATTTTTTAAAAAAATATTCCACATTAGTTTTTGAGTTTTGTACTATTTTTAGTACAAATTTGAAAACTTAATGTGAACTTTTTTTTAGGAATTAGGTAGTATTATCAATAGAAATTGAAATAGAGCATGTTCGGACTTTTTAAAAAACTCTATAACGATACATGTAAGTCCTTCAACCATTATTACGCTAAACATGATATAAAAGTATCACAGAATATTATGTGAGATGTCAATTAGTGGAATACTTTCCAATTAATTTTTGATTTTGCACAAGTCATGGTAGATTACAAATTGTCTCCCTCCTTCTAAAGGTCACACAAGTAAAAGAAAAGAACAAACGCATAGATGGGCAAGGTTATTGTGAGTTTCAACCCTTAAAAATCTTGGAACATTGGAGATGGCATCTGAAAACTTGGTGATGGTCAACGCATTAAATTTTGGAGAGCTTAGAAGTTAGAAATCACAAAACGTTAATAATATTAAAAGAAGATTGAAAATGTTTTTAGTCCAACGAGACAAGAAGCTCCCAGTGTCAGATGCCTAGAACCTCCTTTTCTACGCTTATTGTAGAATCCCATGGCCAACGACTTTTTTTTGACCTGCGGGAATGGTTTTTTTATTTTATTTTATTTTTAATTATGCACCATCTCTATCACTGAAGTGATTTCTTTTTTCTTTTGGGCGAATATTCATGTGATGTTTATGAACATAGATTTTGTTGCCGTAATCACGTTATTGTTTTGTCGCTTTAATTTAAAACAAATTTGGTGTTAATATGTAAACATTATTTTTACCAGACATACTTTAAACATCATTTTCTTGTTATTATATTACTTTAAACATACTTTTTTTGTCCCAAAACTATTTTTCAGTTTTGAATTTTACTTTTAGTATAATTTAAACTAAAAATAAAAATTCAAACCGGACAATAATTTCGGGACGAAAGAAGTATCGATTTCGAATTAGGTTCGAATCCTATAGTCATATTTTGGAGTATTAAATCACAAAAGAACACATCTTATTTTGCATCTTGCTTCTCCATATAGTAGTAGTACTAGAATCAAAATTTTATAGGCTCTCTTCCCTTTGTTTTGGGGAATGAAGAAGCGTTTTAATACTGAGAGAGAGGGCATAGAAGTTGGGGAAGTTTGGGTCTGAAAGTTTTGATTGCTGGAAAGAATCCCGGAAACTTTGCTGTACTTAATTGGTCTCCGAGCATGTCTGTCAGTTTCCTTTCCATTGGAGTAGTACTCGTTTGTTTTATTATTTATCGAAAACCGAAGTTTTGCATAACCCATGAAATTAAAATGATTGTTTACTGAGATAATTAATCATTCCATCTTGATTTAGTCAACAACAACATAGATTTCAGTTATTAATTTGTAAGCTACACTAGCTAACAAGCAAACAACCATGATCTGTCCGAAACAATTTCTAGGTACTAAAAATGACAGTATATACAACTTATCATCATGTGAGCTATAATAATAGCTTGGAGGATGTATAATTTTACATTTTTACTAAAAATGGCAGCCGGTTGCTTACTTTGCTAGCATCTACTACCCTGGAGGGTTTTGTGAAACTTAATGAGCCACCAGTAGGTATTGTATCATGGTTGGAACGATATTGTTAGAGTTTCATATTCCCCCTGTCCCAGAATTATTGTCTAATTTGATATTTCACTTTTAGTACAATTTGAACTAGAAATGAAAACTCAAACTAGACAATCATTATGGGACGGAGGAAGTACTAACAACGTCTGTTAGTTCACTGATATACATAGATTTATGCCTCTTTCGTTGTAAAAAAAAAAAACAAAACCGATACAATTATGTAATTGAAGTAACAAATTTTCGGGGATTTAATGTAACTAGGCATTGGCTTTTATTACGTATAATAATGCCCTCCAAGTATTGTTCCGATTAAGAATATTAATTAGTCACAATTTTAATTGTTTGACTATTAAACTATCTATTAAATGAGACGGCCCAGGAAATTAAGGTTTTGGCAAAAGCGTTGTTCACTACCAAATCAGTTGAAAAGTAAGAACCAGAATTACCATAATCTATATCGAGAGATTGACATGGAGTTGAAATTGAAAACTGATCGAAAAGACGAGCAAAGTGTTTTTGCACTGGCTGTGTGTCAAGAGAAGGCACATGAACTTTAAGACAGTGTCGGGCAATAATATAAGTATGTATGGGGCTAGAATTTAGAACTAGAAGTTTGCCTTTCTATATTCCATTCCCTTTCAACAAATAGTTAAAGAGCACCAAAAACTAATTATATGTTCAAGTCAAAAAGATATATAGCTAGCTACTTGTGTAACATGCACTTCCCTTCAGTAACAAAGTAAAAAAAATAAATAATAATAAAGTTCCCGGCTTTTTTTGGTGTAAGACTGCCTTTTCTATGCTTGCTGGTTTTGCATGAAGATTGGAAGAAAGAAATAATCATGCATGCACGAAATGGAATTGGAATGAAAAAGCCCACCAAAAAAAAAGAAAAGGAGCCAGTCAGTCACCTCTCTCGTCCAGCATTCTTTTTGCCCTTATTAATTTTTTTTTTTTAAAAAAAACCTTTGCCTTTCAGCCCTTTTAAGGTGATTCTTTGCAAGCTTTGTTTGTCGTATTTTGTTGCCCTTTTCATTTCTTCAACTTCAGAATATAATCTCGTGGTGTGTCATATTTTAAAAATAACCTTCTTGTAAGCTAGCTAATTAATTTGTAACAAAGTAAAATTAGTAAAGATGCAAAATGGAGGAGAAAAAGATTCACATGTGCATTGCTTTAATAATTACTTTCCAAGATAGTCCCTCTATTCACCTTATAATTCAGAATATTGTGAAGCTTGAGCTACGATTTTAGTATTCAATCTTATCCCATTTTAACCATATTTTTGCTTTTTGTTACGATTTTAATCTAGCTAATTATAAAACATGTTATTGAAATGATATGAATATATCGCACTGCATATTCCTGAATTATTTGACAAATGCACCATGCCCTATACTAGCATGTGCCTAGCTGAGGTTAAAAATTTAAAGAGTTAAGCGACTAGTATAAAATCCCGAATCATACAATGATTTTCTCCTGAAATAGTTTTTTTTTTTTTTGTGGTCAACTTCAAAATAGAATCCAAAATACAAGGAAAATAAATAAAGTTTTAGAGTAAAAATCAGAGTTTCTTAAATCATACGTAGTTTAGTAATGGGCATGATCAAAAGTAACAATTAAGCATTGATTGCGTATGATATAATGTACTTATGTTTTGGTATGATTTGGCATTCTTTTGTCACACCTTGTCCAATACAGCATACTAATGGTGATGGGATGACCTCCTACACAATGATTGAAATGACTCTGGCTTTAGTATAAGCGCACGAGTGGTTTTCCAGTGTTTCTAACTCTCAAAATCAACTGTACATTAGCACGGGCATTTGCATTAGCAAAAATCATGTTCGTTCAAAAATAGACAGTGGAAAATGAAAAGTATTTTTATGAATAAATAAGCAAAAAGAAATAAAGCCAAAAAGGTTGGCAGATAGATACTACTACTAAAGTTTTGCCCTTTTCAGCCATTTTTCTTGTTGGATAATGTTCATTGATTCTCTTGCCCTTTTTTTCTTTATTCCCTTTCTCCCCCCTCTTTTAGAGGAGGTGATTAGTTTACTACACTGTGACTTGAATTTCACGCATAACTATTATATTCATATATTATAATATGGTGATTAGGTTTGACTCTAACCAAATTTTTAGGGATCTAATCAACAATCAACATGGCCAGAAAAATGTCAAGGTCCCATTGTGTCTCTTTCACCTAAGTCTAATTAATCTATAATTACTTTCACTAACAGCCCCTCTCAATAGTCGCAATGATCAACTACAAATGTGTATGTATGATCCTTAACGGAGTGAAGACTTGGTCAGGCATGATATTATCGGGATATCATATCGAAAGTAAAAATATAATTACACTCGTGAAGTAGTTTCGAATAATCATACAACTCGTAATATATAAATATTCATTTGGGAAGTGTAAGACATTTTGGAGCGCGCGATAAAAAACTGGTGGATACACTGCTAAAATGTCCAAATCTACTGGTCTTGAGTCACTTGACTTCTTCAATCAATATCAATCAAAAAGACTAAAAAAGACTTAAAGTTTACCACAACTAATTTGCTTCTTTTCATGCACAAAGAAAAGGCTCCGCCATTGTTAAGAAAAAGCTACTATACCAGCATATGTGGGTATCACTTTCTAAGAACAAAGGCACTAGTCAAAATTCACCCACTTTCCAGCACTGCAAAACTCAATATTGTTGGGTTTTTTTTTCTTCCTTTTCTTTTACTTAATTTGTTGAGTTAAAAAAAAAAAAGAAAAAAAAAGGCAAGCTTTTGCAAACCTGCATAAAATCGCAAGCTACACATTACTTACTTAGTGGTGTAACGCTACTACAACTGGGGGGCGGGGGAACACGTGAATTCTTTTTGGATTGGAGGATTTGAGGAATATTTAGATTTTAGAGTTGAATTTGAACCCATTATGCCAAAATTTGATAAAAAGTTGAGAGACTCACAAAAGTGACTAGTCCATTTCTTAATTTTTCAATCATCATTTTGTTCTCTGATTTCTAATAAATGTTTCTTGGAGTTTTTCTGCATAAATAACCTGGTATCGTTTCAGATTTTTTCTGGGCACTTGTCAACTTCTGTTGGATGGATATACTTGCTGCATTTATTGCTTCCTGATTTGAGAGAATTTCAAAAGGTTCTTTGTCTTTTGGTGGGGTCCTGAATCCAGGAGAGAACTTGGGTCTTTCTTTATTTTGCATGTATATTCATAGAATCTGTTGTTCTTGGAGCTGAAATGGAGCTCAGCAATTCCTTGCATAAACGCTCAAAGAGGTAAAAAACTCAAGTGTACTTTTGATTTCTCTTTCTCCATTATGATCTTACAACTTGAAGCCACCAACTTTAATGTCCTGAAAAGAATATCTGTGTTTACCTCACTAGATTTAGAATCACATTACTTAGTTGTCTGAAGTTGATGGCTTTGCTATACCCATTAATGGAAGAATGTTCCTATTTTCCCCCCCTCAACTCTCTGCAGTGCTGCTCACTCTGACTATCATCATATCTTTGAAGAAGACAAGTTCTGCAGTTTCTTCAATGCTTCATATGCTGCTGAGCAGGTATTATATATAAATGTGGAAGCTATATTGGTTGGATCTTCTTGTTCCATCAAACTCAGGCTGCAAATTTGACTAAAATTTTTGTTTTTTTTTTCCTCATTCAATGTTTTTTTCTGCAACATAGGATATGGGAAAGAAGATGAAGAATTCTGTTGAACCAAAGAAAAGGCATTTGACTGATACAATGCTTCAAATTTCCTTGAAGGAAGAGGTTTCATATCAGATGCATTTCTTTTTTTTCCACAAGCTTGCAAAAGTTGACTAATCCCTTTTTGTTGCTTTGCTTATGGACATTATGTTAAGGCAAAGTATTAGACTTTTGAGTTCATTTCATCTGAGAAATGCACCGACGAAATCATGAGATTTCGTTGAGCTGTGTGGCGACAAGGATGGATTTTCTGGATTTGAAAATTAGTTCGTGCCACAGAAGAGGTCTAAACTAATCAAGTTTAATCCTTTTACTTCTGGGGAGGAATGTTAGATGTCATTCTGTTAGTTGATGGTTCTATTTTTAAATTGTAAATTGTAGTTGATTTGCTCTTCTTACCAATCAATTGTAGTATTTTTGTGAACTAAAGAGGTTTAAAGTATTCATGGTTCAATGGTTTTGACTTCTGAGAGGAATCAAGATATATATGATGATTGTTGTTATCCTACCTAACTCAGTAATATTTTAAAAGCAGAAAATGATGTGGTGATTGTAATGTTGTACTTACTGATCTTGTATAAGCCAATAATCGGGCATATATATTTGGCCTGTTCTTAGTTGATCGTGTGCCGATTTCTAACTTTCCTGCAGATTTTAGAGCTTCAGCAGCAACTTGGGAATCAGTTTGCAATGAGGCAAGCACTGGAAAAGGCAATATGTTCCAAACCGTTGAAGCTTGATGCCATATCTGAAGAGTCAGTTTCCCAGGTAAGTCTGGAATATAATGAAGGTCCTTTGTTGTTGTTACACACATCAAGTACTTACTAATGAAAGCTTCTCTGTTCTGTTCTCAGTCAGCTAAGGATCTGATAGAAGATATTGCTGTCTTGGAGTTGGAAATCGCCTACCTGGAAAAGTATCTACTCTCAATGTATAGGAAAACTTTTGCAAAGAGGTTAAGTTCTCCACCTATTGTCAATGATAAATCAAATTTAGATCCAACTTCAGAGAAGCAAGCATTTTTGGCAAATCCTGAAGATACCATCATGCAAGAAAGAACCATAAATGCTGGACATCTGGCGCTGTCTAGAGATTCAGTGGACTCTCAGCAGAAGAGATGTGATGATATATTGGGATCCCAGGTACTGATCGATTCTAGCATCCACCGCAGCCACTCATCGCTGTCGCATAGGTCAGCAGTCGCCGCGAGGAATTCTCCTTCACAGGGACCACTAGCAGTAGCAGAAGCTGTAGAATCGTATCATTCACTGCCTTTATCCATGCTTGAGGTAAGCAATGTTCAAAGCATACTTTGAATCCTCATCCAGTTACTATGTTTTTGATGATGGCTAATGGAAGTGAATGTGTATATCCATTGTCAACAGAGGGCTCAAGGTAGTGGAAATGTTGGTTTGGCAGGGCAACTTGGTACACATGTTCAGGATCATGTTTGGGAGACACCAAACAGAATATCTGAGGAGATGGTCAAATTCATTTCCGCTATACTTTATCAACTTGCCGATCCTCCCTTGGAGAATAGTGGTTTCCTTTCTTCTCCTTTATCCTTCTCACCATCGAGGAGCTCGCCGCTAAATCAGCATTATAGTTGGAACCAACAGTGCAGTGATGGTTCAGTTTTCAATTCTTGGCTGGACAGCCCACTACACGTGGAATCGACAAAAGAATTTAGTTTTCCGTATCCAAGATTAGCTGAAGTTAAAGGGATCTGCAGAGATCAGCAAAGTCTAAACAGAGTTGAGGACAAGATGCAGAAATTTAGGTGACTTTTCCAGTTTCTTATAATGTACTTATCAAGTTTCAACCTCACTAACCTCTTTCTGCCAGCACTGTCCACGAATATATATGTGGGAGACAAACAAATCAATATTACAGCATTCTTCAAGTCGCCAACGATTCCTCTAGCCATATAACTGAATCAGGTTTTGTGTATCTATGCAGGTCTCTTGTGTCTACACTAGAATTTGTTGACCCGCGGAAAATGAAGCTTGAAGAGAAGCTAGCTTTTTGGATAAATGTTCACAATGCTCTAGTGATACATGTATGTAATCATCCTTCCATCTGAATGTATATATTTAACCTGAGGCATCCTTTAGAAACGTTGCTCTTGTTATATGTGACAGGCCTATTTGGTTTATGGAATTCCGCGAGGCAACATAAAGAGAATATCCCTACTTCTCAAGGTAACATTTATGTACATTGTTTAATCCTAGTCATTTTATTTGATCTTTGGCAGGTTAGTATATAGTTATCTTAAAGGAAGCTTGTCTTTTTGATCCTTCAGGCAGCGTATAATATTGGTGGTCATAACATAAGTGTGGAAATGATACAAAGCTCTATCTTGGGATGTCGATTACCTCGTCCAGGACAAGTATGGATCTTTCCCTTTTCATTTTTGCTAGAGAATAACAAACTGAAATACTTACCTACAATTGATACTGTTTGTTGATTGAACTACCTTGATGAATTGATTTAACTTTTAGTTTGAACGTCATTGACTTCTGACAGCTGGTGAAAGTGAATTGTACTCTTTCTGTTTTGTTATATCAAATGCAATTAGCTCAAGCGGCTAAACTTTTCTTGCAGTGGCTGCAATCGCTTTTCTTTCCGCGAACAAAGTCCAGGGCTAGAGACACTTGGAAAGCATATGCAACCGGGCACCAAGAACCCCGTCTACATTTCGGCCTTTGTTCAGGAAGCTATTCTGATCCTGTGGTGAGCTGACCATCCATATTCTTATTCTTGTGCCTACTATTGCAGTCTGCAGATGACACATTCAGAATGGAAGCATAGCAGCATTTTACCATCTAAGATAGTCCTTACCATGCTTTTTTTTTTTTGAGTTCTTCATTATTCAGTGTTGATCAAATACAAATCTTGCAGTTTCATAGTTTGATCTGCATTCTGTGTATACTTTCAGCTTCGTCTGTACACTGCGAAGAGAGTATTTCAGGAGCTTGAAGTAGCAAAAGAAGAGTACATTCAGACCAACTTCAGGATACAGAAGGATCTGAAACTATTGCTACCCAAGAAAGTGGATTCTTTCGTGAAAGAGTCTGAAATGACACCATCTGGCCTAATGGAGTTAATGGAGCATTGTTTGCCCTCTTTTCTGAGGGAAAATTTCCAGCAACAACCTCAACAACAGGGAAAGTTTTGGAAGAAAATTGTGTGGGTTCCCAACAACTTCGCGTTCCGGTACCTGATTGCGGATGAATTGGTGAAATGATAACACAAAGATTTTATGATTTCATAAATTCATCAGAAAATGTAGAATTGATCAAGATAACTCCATCATTGTATCCTTGTGCTATATGTATGTGAATGTGAATATATAGAGGGTGATGCCAGAGTTTTGAGTGACAGATGAATCTGAAACAGAAACTGCAGAACTCAAGTACGATCAAACGTATGAACAAACAAAAGAGCACCAATTCAGAGAAAATGTAGATAAAAAAAAGGTTCAAAATACTACACATAACGAGCAATGATTCCTTCTGGATCCCTAGAAAATTGGAAAATCTAGGATTCCTCTAATTGTGTCTCTCTTCGGATTCATCATCTGTCATTCTTAACTCTCGCAACCTCAATTTGTTCAGGACACAGCCAAATCTATTTTGTACTTGAATCACTAGAACCACGAGCTCCACGCAACTAATAATTAAATGGCTCTATTTTCAAAAGAAAAAACCACACATCTCATTTCAATAGTCTGTTTTGTTATTAAAGCGCGAGAAAGACAATAAACATTAAAATTAAAATGTAGCTAAACTAACTACACTATTAATCTATGCTGTCATAACTGGAAGTTGATTTGGAGGCTACTTTCCAAATTTCTGAAAGTAGAAAGTATAAACACAAAATCAAATAAGATAAGGTGGGAGAGAGATAAGCGGCAAAAACCATGTAAAATGGTTAACTTAGCCCCATGGCCAGGTTGTCAAACAGGCCTGAATGGCGGCGTATGCGGCCAAATCTCCCCATAATAATGTGCACCATAGACAACTAATCGAAAAAAAGATACAAATGACCTAAGATGATTGGTAAATTGTCTACCATTTACAAGATTTTTGTTTACAATTAAATTAAACAAAAATTGATGAAAATAGATACAAATGACCTCAGATGATTAGTAAATACTCCCTCCGTTTTAAATTAAGTGTCGTTTTAGTAAAATGAAAAAATTTCAAAATAAGTGTCGTTCTCACATTTCAATGCACTTTTTGTCCAAAATTTCCAAAATTACCCTTGAAAGAATTAATATTATTGGTGGATATTTTTTTAATGGGGTTGGTTGAGGATATTCAAGTAATTTTACTACCCTATTTAAGAGTTTCTTAAACTATGTGCAAAGTGTAGAATGACACTTATTTTGGAATGGAGGGAGTACTGCAGTGCAGTATATAGTACTATTCGAAAGGAATATTGTATACGGTCTGATTATTTAATTATTAAAATTTTTAATCGAAATAGTATATTGTAAAATGTTACTTCTCGCTCCCAACTACTACTTCTACTTTATAAATTATTAAAGTTAAATTAAAAAAAAAAGGAATGTGATTCTCTTTTTTTACTTCTAGCCCGGAAAAACACCATTATTCTGTGTTATTTCTGGGACAAAAAAAAAAAGGAGAGGAAATATTTTGTCACAATTAGGTCAAATGATTTAGGGGCTACCTTTTTGGCATTTGTTGTAACAAGCAGAGAAGATAGTAATGCAAATGTGATCTCCTCAGAGTCCAAGAGCACCACAATCACTTTTTCTTACTTTTGTTCGCATTCTACTTTTCGTAAACCCCAAAAATTGGCCCCTTTTTTTGGCGGTTTTTAAGTCTTCCTTCTTCGCTTCATTTCTACTCTCTTCCGTACCCATTGGAAACCTGGTAACAGTGAAGTGAATTCAGGGCAGAAATTGCACAAAGGAAGAAAGAGGGTTATGGATGAAGATAGGATTGGACTTGTTTTGGTTAGAGTTGCTGAGCTGAGGGCTAAAATTACTGATTGTATTCAAAGGACAGCCACTGATGGCAAAGGGGTCGAAGGTGAAAGCCAAAATACGGGTTCTGAAAGAAGCCCAGAAGCCCAGAACCATCAAGCCAAGGGAGAAGATGACGATGATGAAGAAACGCAGAGTCTTTTGAGCATTAGGGAAGCCCTGGAATCATTGGAGGCTCAGCTATCTTCTTTGCAGGTTACTTCTTGTTCTACATTTTTAAAGACTATATTTTTAATTTTTTTGTCCACTCTCTATATTTGGTTTGAATTTCGTCGTGTTATTGAATTCTGAAGTACTATGCAAGAATCAAATGAAACTTTTTATTGTTCTTGGGCTCCAATTAGGATTTTATGTATGTTGTTGTTTGATTTTTAAAACCACGATTGGCCTAGGGTTTAAGTTTGGCAGCAAGAATTTTGCTATAGTAGAGTATTTCTTATAATTTCATTGACTTCTGAGATCTATTCCCGAGCCCGGCTATGGTTTCATGTATAAGGTTGTAAATGTTGGAACTCAGTTATTGAAATTGGGTGGAGAAACCTGCAAATGTTTTTCTAATGTTTCTGAATATATAGGGACAGAGTGTTTGTGCCTGTGCACTTTAGTAACTTGATCCATCTGCTGTGTCTTTAATAATTTGTATCATGTCTCCGTACATGTACCTACCACTCCACCATTAATCCGGCAACGGTTGATCTAGAGTATTTCAAAATGCGAATGACTTGAACTGAAGTGACTGAACATATGTGCTTTATCCCAAACTAGTCTGTTTCCGAGGTCACCAGCGTTAAGGCATCATATCTTTTGCACGATGTGTTTACAAAGGATCCATCAGAGTTATCACTTCTGGCTAATTTTCATTACTGCCTCTATAAAGAGATTCTATGATCTGACCATGAATCAGGATACGGCTCTTGGCAGTATCAAATTGTTGTAACTATAAGTATGAAAGGTACCAAGTATTTTTGCCAAGATCTCATTTAAGTGGTGTGTGTTCTGAGTTACTCTTTAAGATTTAAACATCTTACTGATCTTTTAGACGGAATCTTGTTGTGTACTATGGGCAGAAAAGTTTCTCGATTCAGAGAAACGTTCTCGATTCTTTGAGTTGACATGCTTGTCCAAATTTCAATAATTTATTATCATAGTTTGAATTGAAAGACGGGGTTTTTTAGTATCAAGAACTCAGAATGCATCAAAACATATAGAGGTGGCTCCTTTATTCTCTGTTTAGTCAATGCAAGTCATTGATGTCGGAAGAAAACTGGAAAACATTCACAATTAGCCAACTTTTAGGGCATTATGTGGCCAATCTTCTTGGCTCCTACTGCTGACTATTTGCTATATCATCCTTAATATCGTCCTTTGTGGTGGAATGTGGTAAAAATTTCCGTGTCTTAGTTTTCTTTGGCCGTGGATTGGGGAGGGGGATCACTTTCATGTTACATGAGGTAGTACCTACCTATAACAAATGAAAATTCTCTACTCCTGTCTTATGGAAATGTCTGAATTGCTATTAACCTTTATTATTTATTTCATCAGGCTTTACAGCAGCAGCAGTGGTACGAAAAAGAAGTGGGCTTAGCTGAAATAAGGTATAGTCAAAAGAAGTTGCTTGAAAAGCTAAAGGATTACAAAGGCGAGGAGTTGGAAGTCATACATGAGGCTATTGCTTTTGCTGGTGAAACTGTCGAAGATAGCACTGACCTTCTTCTTCCTCCGTATCCAAGTCGGCATGTGCATTCGGTGGTGTCTGACAATGATTATTTGTCCCAATTTCCTGATGCACGTAAAATAACTCACAACGGAGTTAATGGTACTGGTCCTATACATGTCACAGCAAAAGGCACCCTTGAAGCAGAGAGAGATCAGTCGAAGCCTGAGTCTCGAAGACCCATGTCCCGGGTAAAAGCTTTAATTGGTTCGCTAGCAAAGACTGCCATAACTATTGTTGGGGTGGTCTCTGTTCTGAGTTTAGCTGGCTATGAACCTAGTCTACGGAAAAAGGACAATCAGTTCAAGTTGCCCGACTTATTTCAGCAACAAGGAAACGGTAGAAATGGTGGATCAAGTGTTGAATGTCCGCCCGGAAAGGTGCCTGTGGTCGAAAATGGTGAAACACGGTGTCTTGTTAAAGAGCGAGTTGAAATCCCATTTGAATCCACTGTGGCCACCCCAGATGTCAATTACGGGTGTGGCTAACTTGAAATTTTTTGGTAGCAATGTATGTCTCCGTTCCTTTTTAGGCCTTTGCAGAAAAAAGGTCATGATCATATGCATGCAATAACACCTGCTTTGAAATCCACTCACTTTCTTAGAAGGTTGCAGTCCTGAGTAATATGATGTTAGAGTTTGATACTATCTCTATTAGTCTTCAGGTTTTTGACTCTTATATTGGCTCCTTAGTTTTTCTTCTTTCCTTTGGTTTTATCGTATTTCATTGCAAGTAATTTTCATGGTGCAGTCGGTGCGTTAGTTTGGTTTTACCCAATATGTGGAACAAATGTAGAGATTTTGAGCATGAATGTAAATTATGTATGCCATTATGTGTAAATGGGATTATACGTGCCAGTTTTCTAATGTGGCTTCCTAGTGTAAAGTGACATACCAAACATGGATGTATTTTGCGAATATTAATATTTTTTCTATCTTGAAATGATTGTCGTGTTTGGAAAGGAGAGGATAAAGTTTGTAAGAGAAATAAGCAAGTTTTTCTTCTGCCTCATCTTTCCTTTTAACAAATCTCTGTTCCGACGTTCATTTGACTGGTAATCACACGTCTTCAAGTCAAACCCATTATGATAATGTCATATTGTAGGCTTCCATTGCAGCAGCACCACCAGCCGCCAAGTATAACCGAAAACAATGGAGCGCGGCCCCCGGTTTTCGAATTCCCCTGAATTAGTTTATTCAATACTACTTTCCCCAGTTGTCAAGTTCCAACTTCCAACCGGATTGAGTTACTCAGGCATGGCTCTTCGTCCCCATCAAAGGGTAATCTGATCGTATCTGCCAAGTAACCCTGTTCATCCCCCTTGTTGAAATTCAATCTCAGTCGATCACTATATATAACTCCAATTCCATGCAGTGTTTTCCAACATCAATCCCAACTAATAATTTCTACTCTCCAAATATTCAGTGCCAAAAGTACTACTAGCCGGCAAGAATGAGTACTCTGAGTTCTGATGAGTCTCCTAAAGGGACAAGGATTTTCACTGAAGAAGAAGAAGCCCTGGTGGTGAAGTCTTGGAACTCCATGAAAGCCAATTCTGGAGAATGGGGTCTCAAATTCTTTCTCAAGTAAATAAATCTGCATCATCTTTCTTTCGTTTTGCCTTCATTTCAGTTTCATTCACTTGATGTCAAAATTTGAACTTTTGCCTTTTTTTTCCCCTTTTCCTCTTTGATAATGATCAGGATATTCGAGATTGCGCCAACTGCCAAGAAAATGTTCTCATTTCTTAGAGAGTCCACGGTTCCAGTGGAGCAGAACCCCAAGCTGAAAACTCATGCAAAATCTGTCTTTGTCATGGTCAGTGGTTCTTAGTTCTAACCTTTCCTTCTTTCATCATTGGCAGATTGCGTTTTTTTCCAGTCAATTTAGCAAAAGAGAAGTTTTACCAACAAAAAAGTTTTAACCCTTTTTGGAAATTGCCGTGTTTCTGCAGACATGTGAAGCTGCTGTTCAACTCCGGAAAGCTGGGAAAGTTGTGGTCAGAGAATCAACTCTGAAGAAATTGGGTGCGACCCATCTCAAATACGGTGTTGTGGATGAACATTTTGAGGTATGAACACTAGTCAATTTCACCAGTAAACGATTTGGAGTTTTCCACATTTTGCAAATCAAAGAATAGAAAAATTCCATTCAAACATGTTGCATCTATTTGGATGCACCACAAATCAGAGCTTTGAGCAGAAAACATTGATAAATCATTCACTAACAAAATGTGTAGGTGACAAAATACGCTTTGTTGGAGACAATTAAAGAAGCGGTTCCAGAAATGTGGTCAACTGAGATGAAAAATGCATGGGGTGAGGCCTTTGATCAATTGGTTGCTGCCATCAAATCCGAAATGAAGCCTTGAACACATATCTCAATTCTCAACAACATCTGGATTCCAACAATTTTTATCATCAGAAAATGTATTTGTTTTCTCTATTTTGTTTATGCGGTTTGAAAATGTAACGATCAGGGGTGGTCCTCTGTTTTGATGATAAATAAGTATACTTTGTACTGGTAATACTAAATTGGCGATATTTTGGAATTTATTAAAGCTCCTTCATGGAAACTGGTTTAAGACAATGCACACGTGACCTGTGGGAGTATTATGAGATTGCGATCAGTCAAAGACTATTCCTAAACTATAAACAATATGGACGCTCACATTTATTATTATCACTAACGATTGTATTATTATTATATTATTATTATTATTATACAATAAGAAGGGCTATAGTCTAGTTACAAATGGTATTATGTAACCGTTAGTGACCATTTCATAGATTCACAATGCTCGATCTAGAATTGGAAATTTTCTTTCATTCCAAAAGTCCCAGGGTCTGAAGGAGCAGTAAACAACTTGGACCATCAAAAGGACCATAAATTTCCACTTTTGCAGCAAAGACCTAATGCAACCAGAAGGTAAACAAGCGGCTTAAAAGGCAAAACCAATATATTGTAATGTGTAACATTTGTGGAGGACAAGGGTCTAAGTTACGCTTAAGTTAGGTTGGGAAAGAAATATCTATATGTCTCTCTCTATTGCGGCAATGAAGAATCTAGAAGTTGCATACCAAAATAGACTAAGCAATAAAAAGATGCTAAAAATGTCATCTTTGGCAAATTTTCAACCCAGTCAAGACGGGTACCGCCGGCTAATTGGTTGAGATGTACATACTGTGTTCACATCGGAAATGCTTGGCCATTTTCACACTACACTAATATATGTTACACGGACTAACGAATATTATCCAAAACTAATTGATAATGAATCCAAATACTCATCAATTTAATTAGTTTGTATTCGATGATTTATGCTGTTTACGTGTGAGAAAATCTCTAACACGATTTCAAGGTTTGATTAAGGGAATCCAAGAGTTTTGGTTCAAGGTGATTGGATTGTGAAGGTAAAAATGTGGTTCAAAAACTTGATATACTTAAAACATTGCTTTCTCAATTTGATTGAGAATCATTACATCTTACATCTTCGTTAAAATCATTTGTGGGACAGAGAAATGTTAGAGAATTCATCCTAGCTAGTTTCTAACTAAACCACCATAAACATCAGAGATTAATAGCTTTCTTAGGGAACTCTGCCAAAGTTCCGGCACAAAATCTAGCCAGAGGGCTACTCTGATCAGGCAAAATTGCTGACATTTGGAATGCGGCCGATCGTCCCGTTCCCGGATTGCAATTAAGAGCCTTGCTGCCCTTAACGGCTAACGTGCAGAGATCTTGCAAAGAAAAAGGTTGATTGATCTTAGGAACTGGGATGAGGAAATAAAGTTGTCCAAGCTGCAAAACCTCATCTTTGGCCATTTCCCCCGGAACAGAGTCGACATTCATGGCTTCCGAGCAGCAGAGAAAGAAATCTGGATTCTGGGTTAGTATTTCCTCTGCTTTTGTGGGCTGCCATAACTCTTGCAGCCTCCCATTCCAGTGAATCACCTGAGCTGCTGATGGCAAATTGAGGAAGCTTCCGCCTGGACTTGTGGTGTGACAAGATACACAGATTCCCATAATGACAATATAATCAATCAATCAACAATCCAATCTTTTGGATGCGTATCTTTAATGTATAACAACTTCAGAAGTTTAAGTAAAAATGGAATCTTGGCATTTGGGTTGAAGAGCAAAGTGTGTGAGAAATGATGGATCGATGATTGGGCAATGCAAGATGCATTATCAAAATTTGAGGGATATTTATAGAGATCTAGCAGGAGCTACTTGGCTCTGTGTGTGTGCGTGTGTGTGTGTGTGTGTTTTGTGGAGTTATACTACACACAACAGCAATAACTGTAGACGCGTTTTTATATAAAAAGGTAGTGCTGATTTTGTTTAGTAGTATTATGAAGAATTAACTTTGGAAAGTGACAGTCTCTCTCCTCATAGAAAATACTAACTACAAATCCTATGTGCTGAAACAACCAACTTGGCCCCAATAAAGTAGTATGAGATTTGGACCATTTGGTTGACGTTGTAGTATTGTATGAACTGTTCCAAGTTGAGATTTAGAAATTGATATGTTGTTAATCAATCCTAAGTATTTAACGGCACCTGCACACGAGCTTGGGATATATCTTACTGTCCGCCTCCCCAGCTGACCATATAATACTAAAAAAATATCAATTGTCAAAGGACGAAGGAATACATTGGGATGGGAGATGCATCCACAACAATTGATTATTGATTCACCTGTGAAAAATATTGAGTGGTAATACAGGGCTATAATATGTGGAGTGATGATATTTATCTCGTGTTTGTGTCGCATTTCTTGTTGCCTTACACATTAAGTGCTAATCAATTCATAGAAATTTTGCAGATGATTATATGAGATAAATTTCGCAAGATGATGACCGCTCTTTTTATGAAAGTTCATATACGTACATTACAGTACTGTTACTATTATTCTCAGATAACTTACTACTACCTCGTCCCAAAAAAAAATCCACTTTAAATTTTTAAATTTGTATTAAAAATAGTACAAAATTCAAAACTCAATGTTGACTATATTTTTTTAGAACCAGGTAGTATTATTTTTTCTTTTGCTTATGTGCCCAAAAAAAAAAAAATAAATAAAAAACTAGAGTAGTAGTTTAGATCAGAAACATATTGGAATTTGGGAGACCATTCTGTCTTAGTTTGGTTAAAAAGAATTATTTAAGATGCGATCAAATGACCAATACGACAAATAGTAGTACTAACTTTAGTTGATTTTCCGGGAAAGTAGTATGCATCCGGATCGATTTTCAAAAGAAAAAAAAGGGCAGCAGGGTCTGGTCATCGTGAACCCAACCGGGCAGTTCTTTTTCGACGTTACAGCTCATGGTGGCCGAGCCAGAGAAGACCTGCTCTTATTTAGTAAGGGACAACGTATTGAAATAAATTAATTTTGTATACTCTGTATTTGATTTCGCTCTTATACATTGAACCCTTTTTTTTCTTCCCATTTCGGCCTTACAATTACAAGAACCCCTAACTACATTATTACTAACATAATATCGCCGGTGTCAGAGAGAAAATGAAGCTAGACTTCAGATATATGAATCCGACATTCTGGACCAATTACGCTTAATCACATCAAATCATAATGGGAAAAAAAAATACCCCACTAGGATTGGAGCACGAGTTACACTACTTCCTTTTAAATGAGGGAGGGTTTAAAGTTTTTTCCCATTCAAAAAACTTGGAAGTCGCAATAATTCAGTAGTAGTATTCCCTCCATTCTAAAATAAGTGATGTTTTAGTAAAATGCATAAATTTTAAAATAGGTGTTGTTTTCAGATTCTAATGCGTTTTTTGTCAAAAATTTTCAAACATACCCTCAAAAAAAATAATATTATTGGTGAGTAATTATTTTAATGGAGTTGGTTGATGAGATTCTAGTAAAAATTTAGTTACCATATTTAATATTTTCTTAAACTGCGTGCAAATTCTAGAATGACACTTATTTTGGAACGGAGGGGGTATCATTTTATTTTTATTTTTTTATATATATTATTTTGTGTACATCCCATGTTTCTCTTACTATGGTCATCTTTGTGTTCCCCTCAAAATAAATGATATTACTTGTATATGATTTGCCTTACATTAATGTAAACGTGTAGTACTTTTTTAAGCTATAACTTAGTCGCGTTTTCGTGTGATACTACAAAATATCAGCCCTAGCTAGCAACGCTAATTTCTAAAGTATTAAGTTTTATTATCCTGATTAATGAAAGTTCCTTGCATCATTATTAATGCGCAGAGGGACCAAAACTTCACTTGGTTGTAAACTACATAGCTTAGGCCTTAGGGCAGCTATTTTCCCTAAGGTTGGACGTCCACTCACTAAATTTTTAAGACTGTACTTAACTAATACTACCCTTATTTTAAAAGTAGCACTTAGCTCTCATGTTATAGTTAATTTATGCTTGATCAGTTTGCACCAAATTGGGTTGCATGCTCGCGCATGCTGATAAATCAATACATAATGTAATATATGATAGTTTTCATTTCCGTATGCATTTAACAGTTAGGCAAGATTGCACTTAAGAAACGCACGTCCATAAAGAAAAATAAAATAAAATAAAACAGACTTCGGTTAGTTGAAATTCTGGCAAGTATTGAAAGTGATTAAGCATTAGTTAATTAATCTGCACATGTTATTGATTCATATTTTTCACCATAGTCACGCTGGCCATGATTAACGTGGTATCGTATATCATACTTCCTCCGTTTCAAAATTATTGTCCAATTTGGATTTTCAGTTTTAGTTTAAGTTGCACTAAAAATAAATATTCAAATTAGACAATAATTGTAAGACGGAGGGAGTAATTAGTATATATTGTTGTAAAAATGCAAAACTAATAAAGTCCCCTACATAAAATGGATTATATACATAATTCTGAAATTTTTTTGCAGATATTCTAATATCATATCTGATCAAGTTTTCCATGGTCGTTAAACTTACGTATTATTGAGATTGAAAAAGAAAAAATTGACGTGAAAATACGTCATTTAAACGCGGCTTCGACAAATAGAAACACTATGTATGTAGTTCAAGAGACTTGGGGTCAAGAAAAGGGATGTCCACTAAATGAATTACAGAGATAGACGGATAGTGCCTGATATTGATGTGAAAATTCCTGATGACTAAACGAGAAGAACGGGAAACTACATTCTAAATACATACAAACAAGGGAAAAAGGCAATCTGAATTCATGACCAACTCTAAACTAAATCGATACTAATTTGCGTGATTGTTTAAACAAATTAGATAAATTATCTAGGACGGAATTAAGACAATGTTGTGACTTGTGAGACATACTAACACTATACTCTAAAAGCCTCATACTAATGCATCGGTCCGGCCGTGTGTGATGAGAAAGATATTGTGCCAGGATGGCCACACAAATTGAGAACCTCTTGGCCTTCCCCCCTCCCCCCCTCCCTCCCTCCTTCTCTTAACTGACTGCAGTTGGGAAAATAATTAAAACAAGAACAAATTGGAAAAAGCAGTATGAATTCAGAACTCTAAACTAACCATGCATTACTGTTAGTATGTAGATGTCGTGTTATAATTATATACACATGTTTCAGTGTTTTATGGTAAATGGTGCATATGTCGATCGATCCCCGTAGCCGGTAGCCTTCTCAAGAGTTGAGATTACTAGAGATAGTTTACTTTTACCGCTTCTTAAAATTGAGTATGCACTATATATGAATATAAAATTTGAGCAGTGATAGCGTGACACATACAGTAAAAGTTAACAGAAAATGATATAGTTGAATTTTAGCTATCCCCCGATTTTTAAATGGATAAATTCATAAAGATAAGTTTTTTTATTTTTTAAAAATAGGATTGTATTAAACTTGCTGAAAATCAGCCAATCCTGACTAATAGAAATAATTCAACAGGAAGGATCAAGTTATATCATTTTTACATTTGATTTAAAATAAGCAGTTATGACATGAGCTACTTTATTATTTTGAAGCGGAATCCAATATAGAAAATTGAAAGAGAGGTCTAGAAGTAAACTTTTAATCTCTAACAACACCGGTAAGCATTGACTCGAACAATCTCCTTCTCCTATAACTGCTAAAACAACTACAGACAAATCACGCATAATTGTAGCATTGTTGAGATTTTTTTCCTCCATTATTTGATTATGATTAAATACCTTCATAAAGGTAAGTTAGTTATAATTAATTCCTTGTATTTTCTATGCAATTTTTTTTAGTCCGTGTATGAAAGACAACAACCAAATTGGGAATGAAGTATATTAATTTTGGGCGTTTGCTTTCACATCAACCATGAAAAGCCGATTTAGTAACTTACTATATCTCGTGTTTAATTTAAGTAAATATGTTGAAGAAAAATTTCATCATATTCAAAGTACTATGTGATTAAAAAATTTATGTACAACGCAAAAAAGTATTAAAGTGAAAATATGAATTGATAAATTACAAAATGATAATACTATAAAAACATTTGGGCAAAGTACACAAAACAATGAATTTTAAATTCGTCGATTTAAACATTGGTTTTGCTAAGTAGACGAAAACGTTCCCTACAACAATTTCAACCAAAAAAAAAAAAAAAATGCATGCTATAACTTTTACAAATGACAGGTTTATATAAACCATCGAATAATACAACACAAAAAAAACAGTCCAATAGTCAATAAAAGAAGTTAATGTTTATGATTTTGAGTAGGATTTCGGATCATGTGGAATTTTAGTTTTGGGTGGTTTCTTGATATTTATGATACCTCGAGGGTATTTTAGATATTGAGCCCAAACCTCGGAAGGCCTTTTGATATTTGTCCGAGAATCAATTTGGACTCTGTTGATCTGCAACCGGCCGTTACCGCCCAGCTCCGCCTCAAAAGTCCGCGGGTTTTTGGTTCTTCGAATATCTGGAAAAAAAAAAAAGAAAAAAAACTCAACAAGTGCGCAATTGAATAATTTTAAGAAGAGACTGGGTTCTCAATTTCAGAAAAACTCATGAATAGGATTTCATTAATATTTCTGTCGATTTTTTGTTAAAAACAAATAATTTTTAAGATGGATTTAACCTTTAATATCTTTTATTTTTGTAAGGAATTATAAGGATAAGATTGTCAATTCAAAGCATTTTTAATTTTATAATTTTTGGCAAATAAAATACCGCCCTTCATATAAAAATATTTTAGGGTTATACATTTTTTATTAATTTGACATATTCTATTACCTTTTAGCCAAATTTTCCCATCAATTTAAACATCCCCCATCATTTTTCAGCAATGAAAAACACAACACACAAAACAGGATTCAAAAACTCCTAATGAAATTGAACTAGACCTGGGAGTCGTGCATGATCTCGTGGCACTTCCAGTGGCGGAGATAGGGGGACGGAGGGGCGCGGTCGCACCTTCTTAATTTTTTGTACTTAAAAAAAATATTCTGAATTTTCAATAAAAATTATATGTTGAATAATTTTTCGCATCTCGTACATTGATTCTCTAATATTATTAGTAGTTTTATAAAAATTTTGCATCCCCAATATTGATTTCCAGGCTTCGTCACTGGGTACTTCTTCCATTGATCCGGATCCCACTCCTGCAGTGCTAAATAACTCTCCTCTTCTTCTGATTCGGGCTCAATCAGCTCCGACGATTCCCGAACTTGCTCATTCATAGCGGCGACGAACTCAGACCCGGCTGCCTCGGCAGCGGCGGCGGCTTTCTTCGCGTATCCGAACTCTTCGGTAAGGATAACATTAGGCGTTGGGAACGACGAGGATGAGGATGAAGTGGAGAAAATCGGTCGAATCCTCGCTGCTGGAGATATCCCTCCGTCTCTGGAAGGTTCGTAGGCCCAGATCTCTCGCCTCCTGCTCTCGTCCTCCATCGGAATTGTGATACCCCCAAATTTTGCAAGGTTTAACAATTTAGCGGCTTGTTTTTATATACATACATATAAACCGCGGGCCGGGCACTTTAACCGCGAAATTATAGTGTTTAGTGAACCTCTTTTGCAGATTACTCCTAAATGGACAATATATAAGTTCAGAATTTTCAGTAATTCCCATCAATCCCTGGATTTCATTCACAAATAAACTTTCATCCAATCAAAAGCTTTGTTCCAGCTTTCTTTGGGGGAGGGGACAATAGACAATAAGTCCAAACTGTAATGGATCGAAATACTGATGGAATAGTTTATTTGTTTCAAAATCGAATGATCTGTTCGATTATCTGACGGAAATTCTAATTTGATATTTGAACTTTGAAGTGTTTCCCTATTACAGCGTTCGATAAAATATAAAGTGATAATAAGATTATTAATTTCACCTAAAAATAAAATAGCTTATACCAAGTAATAATAATTTAAGTAATTACTCTATTGGGACAAAAAAAATTCTACATCAGCGTCGTGAAGAATTTGTCACCTGTTTAGAAGTGCCAAAGACTATCTCATTCATTACTAATTGATTTTAAGATAGGAGCCCAATAACTTATATATTTGACATTGTTTGACATTCTTTTTTACATAAGGGGGGTGAATTCTACAAGATGTATGAGTATGATGGAACTAACTAATTAATTAAAAAATAAAAGATGTATGAGTATGATGGAACTAACTAATTAATTAAAAAATAAAAGAAGAATTCAAATCAAGGCTTCGTCGTTGACGAGAAATATGATAAAATAGTGAAATTATGAGATATTAGAAGTGTAAAATTTAGAAAAAATTACTAATGATATTAAGAAATCAATGTAAGGAGTGCGAAAAATTATTCAACACATAATTTCTATTAAAAATTTAATTTATCCCTATTAATTACAAATAATTGAACAGGTGTGATCGCGTCTTTCCGTCCCTCCTAATTCTACCATTGTATCCCATATAACTTGTATCTAAGTGCCTTATCATTATTAGAGCATAAAAAAGTAGAGTTATTAGCAACCTCCCCCAAAAAGAAAAATAATCATTTACATATGCAACTGCTTAAACATTCAACATCTTCATTAACCATTTCAACACCAAGAATGGGTGTTGAGCAAGAATGGGTGTGCAAACTGACGAAGGGAGTTTCCAGTAGCAACCCAAAGCTTCCCAGGAGCAATAAAATGGAATAAAAAAAAACTGGTGCCCGTAATTAGCAACCACAACAACGGAGTGTGTAAAAAAATTCAAAATTCACTCTGATACCAAGTCAAAATATATAAATATTATGGGCTCCCATCTCAAAATCAATTGATAATGAGTGAGATGGTCTTTAAAATTTATATACTGAGTCACTTCTCTTCACGGTGGCGATATGAGACAAGATAATACACCTTAACATATTACGGATGTAACTATTTATATTGTAATTACGGTAGTTAGTTACGGGTTTACGGTCTTGTACATTATATAAGTGTATATCAAACCCTAATATATGATATAATTTTTCCTCGGCTGACGTAATATGCCGGCTGCCAATTTCACTGTCTTCTTCATCTTCATGATATCAGAGTGTGCTGGGCATGTGGTGGAGTTATGGGCCGGAGGTGGCCTGTGGTGATTTTATATTAACCTACTTGAGCGTTGATTCCTGGGCTTGTTGTGGATCGATCCAACATTATAACTAGTTTTCAGCGTTGACTCGTGGGCTTGTTGTGGACCGACCCAGCAGTATAACTGGTTTTCTCCCACTAGAGTGTTGACTCGTGGGTTATTCTGTTCTTATCATAATCGAACTCCATTGGGCAAAAAATTCAAAGATACATTGGACTTGAGGGAGGGTGTTAAGGTGTATTATCTTGTCCCTCATCGTCACCGTGAAGAGAAGTAATTCAATGTATAAGTTTCAAAGGCCATCCCACTTATTGCTAATTGATTTTGAGATGGGAGCCCCAAATTACTATATACTTTGCCAGCTTAAATTCAACATCTTCATTAGGATCCGAAATGAACTAATGGCCAATACCAAACGGTCCAAACGTTTGATGAATGGTGATGAAAGGTCCATGTGTCCGAGATAATTTATTGGAAGCTTGAAAAAAATTGTTTGGAATTGACCCGCTTGTGCATAATAACAAGAGAGATTCCATCAAATTAAACTACCATATCTAAAACTATATATGATAGACCTACATAGATTACTATCCGTCAACAATTATGGCAACTATAAGGCTACAACCCTCAGTAACGAAACAAAGTTTATCAGCCACACAGGGAGAGAAAGAGAGAGAATACGAAGTTGAAAGATTGAAGAATATGAAGATCATACGTCCAGAAAATAAAATGAAGAAAAGAAGCGCATCTAATTAATTAGACTTTAATTTGTACCTACAAAAACGACCTGGGGCAATTATTTCAGAGCTAGGATCAGATTTATTATGTATTTATTAACAATCAATATTAAGAAAGAACATATAAGCCGAGATTGGAAACAGATTTGATATTGGAATGGAATGTTTGGTTTAAAATCTGGAAATGATAGGAAACAGATTTAATACACAGGTTTGTCGTACATGAATACGTGGGTGAATTCTACAAGATGTAAGAGCTAGCTAATTAATAAAGAAAAGAAAACAAGTATATTCAAAAGTGAGCATCATTTTTGACGGAAATTATGATAAAATGGTGATATTATCAGATGATTTTAAACGTCCAAACTAGAAAGATTCAATGCAAAATTTGTCTCCATGGAATTCTAAGCTTCAAATTAATTGACAGATCATTCACAAATCACTTATTCCAAAAATAATATTGGCCTCCATTCTTCCTCCGCGGCTCCGCCTATATATAGCTTTTATCATAGTGCTTGTAGTTGTAGTTAAACCTCATCAATATTATAGCATAAAATAGTACTACCTATGTCCTTAAAAATAGTATGCATTAATTGTTTAAATTTGTACTAAAAATAGTACAAATCGCAAAATTTAATGTGAACTATTTTTTTTGGGACAAAAAGAATATATATGATTAGCGCCTACCCACTCCCAAAAAATAAATTGAAAAAAAAAATTGATCATTTACATGCAAACTGCACAAAAATTAAACATCTTCATTAAGATTCAAACCCATCTAATGGCTAAGACTAAACTTTGATGAATGGTCTCGAGCTCTCGAGTAGTTTATTGGATGGTTGAATATAACTGTTTGGAATTGACCATCTTGCATAATAACAAGAAAAATGCTATCAAAACCATCACATCTAAAACTATGATGCCTACATAGATTATTACTAGTCAAATATGATACCTACCTATAACACATATATCAGTATTAGCACTAATATTTATTATCAATGTACGTAACAAAAATATATTGGCCACTCATGGAGAGAAAGAGAGAGAATAGAAGTTGAAAGATTGAAGAAGTGAAGATCATACCTAACCTAACTAGACTTTAATTACCACTTCAAGAAAACTTAGACTTTAATTTGTACGAAGAAAAACGACCTTAGCCAGTAAATTCAGAGGATTGGATGTATGGTCTTAAAAAGAAGCGTGTGCTTAATGTAAATCTAAGAAATGAGAACCGCAACTAGCTACTCGGAAGGCCTACAATCTTATTGAGTAAGATTTTAAATATGCTAAAGTTAAAAAAAAAAAATTCCTAAAGCATGCTATTACACGATGAAATGTGTATCCTTACTATATCATGATTTTAAATAATGTCTTACCACCTGTGTTAATTGCTATATCCTCTTGCTGTCTCAAAAAATAATCCATTTTTTTAGAATATGTACTAAAAATAATGTAAATATGAAAACTCAATATAAATTAATATTTTTTTGGAACATAGGTAATAATATATTTGCGAAGTTTTGTTCCATATGCACATGGAACAATTACATTATCCTCGCACTTATAAGTCTAATCTTGAAATTACTAATAATACCGGAAATCTAATTAAGTAGGGGGTCAGCTGATTAATATCTATAGTATACTTTACTCGTCGATTTCAAGAATGGCACTCAGTGACGCCGTGAATTTGGTCACTTTAATCTTGCCTTTCCCGGCCGCCGGAGTTCTCCTACTTTTAACGAACATTAAGTCACAATAATTCGCCGGACCGGTACTTATTGGAGAACTCACCCGGACATTTCCTTCATGATGAAGAAACACAATTGGATCATCATCATCATCATCGAGAAAACTCAACCTTTTCCCCGGTGATCGGCAATAACATCCGTTCTGATCGTATTTTCTGGTAGATAAAGCTAAACTCGCTTTGACAGCCAAAGAAGCCATATCTTCAGGTTGCAGTCTTTGCTTCAAGAAAATCAATGGCAGCTCAAAATAAAGCTGGCCGGGAAGGAGTGATTCTTCATCCTCCATGGCCGAAACCAACCCATCAAACTCCATCTCGTCGGAGTTGCATATGAAACAATCCGGGTTTCTTTTCACCAGTTCCGAGACTCTTACAAGGCTCCTGAATTCTTGTAGCTGCCCATCTACGAGGATCAATTTGGCCGTGAGTGTAGTTACAGACCCAAAACCATGAAAAACACAATTACCCATATATCTGCCTTTGGTGTTGATCAATCAAATGAAATGCAGAATTAATCATAAGTGTATTTCATTTCTTGTTTTGGGTTGTCATGATATGTGTGAATCTGGGTGTGGATGAATTCTACAAGATTTTGTGGAGCTTGGAAATGGAAGGAAGAACTGAAATGTTCAAATGCTGGGAGCTCAAGTGAACTAAGAAATGTTACATATATATATATATATATATATAGGGTGGATTTGTGGTGTGTCACATGGAATTTGACGAAGATTTTTGGACTGATTTTTCACGGTTGGAGGTGCTAAACTCTTGGATGATAGTGGTCAACGCGTTACGTATATCACGTCGAACTGGTATACGTGAACAAGTTGACAATTTTTGTTGGTTTTACCAGTGAATTTTTATTTGTTTTTTTTCCCCAATATTGAATTGGTAGTGACAGTAAGTTGACAATGAATGATATTTGCTAGATTTTCTGTAATCGAAAATCCTAACGCGGACGCTTTTTATATGTAATTTAATTTCTGTAAGTTATTTCTATGTTATAAAATATTAACATGATTATATATATTATAATATGCGTCCAGTCACGTTTTAATAGAACAACAAGTAATTTAGCAGATTATTAAAATATGATGTAAAAAGAAAATTTAGAAATGGAGTGACTGGATTATAGTAGGAAATCATGACTTCTTTGCTATCACGGACAAAATAGGGGCTTATGGGAAATAATTACAAAATGTTGCGTACGCTGGATATGAGCAAATTAAATACAGTTTACGTAGAGGATGGATTTGAGTTTGAATAAACCGCGTTCTTAGCTACTTTACAACGTGAAGTAATTAATTAATTGAATTTCTTCTTCAAAAAAAAAAAAAATTAATTAATGGAATACTTACTAGCTTGGATTAGATAGCTATCTATTTCCCTCTGGATCATTCTACAGACTCCAGCCTACCCATCACGGCTTACTGGATATTAGTTTCACAATCTTTAAGAGCTGGCTTTTTTCTTTCTTTTTCTTTTTTTTACCATTTAAAACTTTGTAGTCACACTTCTCGGACTCGCAAGTGTTTGTGCAGCACATTTTCCCCCCTAATTACTAGTAGAGTAATAATTAATTGATTTTCGTTGTTGATTCCAACAATTTCGCAATGTTAATAGTTGTTTTATGACTTCCATCCCCCTTTTGCAATTATTTTTTTGGATATGTCACTGCCCCTTTGATTAGTGTATGTGTGTGTGTGTGTCATTTGACTTTGTTTTTTTAGGTTTGTCATGCATGAATTTGTTGGTGAATTCTACAAGGTATATACTAGAGCTGTAGAGCTAAGCTAGCCGGTGAAATGAGCTGCTAATTAATTGGGTTTTGTCTGGACTGATTTTCCCATGGATGGAGCAGCAAGCAAACCTTGAGTGACTTACCCTATTGGTATTTTATTTAACTACATAATGCTCCGATTATTTACGGACCTTTTTAATTTTTGTTAGTTACCTGTGCAATTAGAATATGTAAGTTTCCAACTCAAAATTCACTATCAATTCGTTATGAATACAGTGGTACTATGAGAGATGTTCAGTTTATTTCTTGACGTCGGGCAATACTTTCCAACCGTAACTAATTTCTTTTAATAAAAACTCGATAAATATTTTGACTGAGTCATAAATTAACCCTAGGCCTATTGGGCCTAGAATTAGATTACTTGGAGATTAAGTCACCGCCTAAACCTAATATGACTAGGTTTCAGGAAACAGGTAACACCATCTCTATATAAAGAGGTGGTGCCTCTCCCATAATACATATCTTCTACCTATCTTCTACACCTTCTACACACGATACACATCTCTCTCTATTATCTCTACTTCTTTATTGACTTAAGTATCGGAGAGTCTATCCTCAGGAGACACCCGGGGCTCTGTCTTGCAGGTTTTAGGCCGTTCGCCGCCGCCTAGTTCATCATCGCCGCCTGTCCTAAGCACCATACAAATCCATGCTTCGTCAAGTGGCACGCCCAGTGGGACCGATTTGTTTGGTCCTTACAACCAAATAAATTTCTTAGCGAAGCACAGAATCTTTTGTATCTTTCGCAGCCACGGCGTTAATTCGTTGCTCCGATTTTGCAACTAGAAGATCACGCAAAAAATTATCTTTATTTGGCCAAGAAGACGTCAGCCGACAGGTAGCACAAAGAAGCTTTCGATTTCACAGATAATCGAGGAGTTACACTCGCTCCACAGCTGATCGAGAAGAACAATTAGCAAGGGGCAACCTCGAATATTGAAGTTTCGAGAGATACATCTCATCGAAGGGGCAAGCATCCCTCGAGCACCTTACTACTACCCGAAGTGTTCGAGAAGATGTATCTCGACTTTTATCTACTCAACAACTACCTTCTCGAAATCGAGTTACATATTCGATGAAAGACCTGCACGACATGCAATAAAGGCTTCTCCCCTTCAAATAAGAGAAAAAAAGGCTTCTCCCCTTCAAATAAGAGAAAATAGGCTTCTCCCCTTCAAATAAGAGAAAAAAGGCTTCTCCCCTTCAAATAAGATAATCTAGGCGCCATCCTCCTAATTCGGCATAAACAGGCTTCCCCCTTCTAATAAGGAACTCGCTAACACAAAGACCTCCTCAAGGCATTCTACTCTCTCCATTTTGTATAGGTGACACCCAAGAACGAAAGAGTTCGAGAACTGGGGCAACACCATGAAACTCGAGAAGACTTCTACCTATCTTCTACACCTTCTACACACGATACACATCTCTCTCTATTATCTCTACTTCTTTATTGACTTAAGCATCGGAGAGTCTACCCTCGGGAGACACCCGAGGCTCTGTCTTGCAGGTTTTAGGCAGTTCGCCACCGCCTAGTTCATCATCGCCGCCCGTCCTAAGCACCATACAAATCCATGCTTCGTCAAGTGGTACGCCCAGTGGGACCAATTTGTTTGGTCCTTACAACCAAATAAATTTCTTAGTGAACCATGGAATCTTTTGTATCTTTCGCAGCCACGGTGTTAATTCGTTGCTCCGATTTTACAACTAGAAGATCACACAAAAAATTATCTTTGTTTGGCCAAGAAGACGTCAGCCGACAGGTAGCACAAAGAAGCTTTCGATTTCACAGATAATCGAGGAGCTACACTCGCTCCACAGCTGATCGAGAAGAACAATTAGTAAGGGGCAACCTCGAATATTGAAGTTTCGAGAGATACATCTCCTCGAAGGGGCAAGCATCCCTCGAGCACCTTACTATTACCCGAAGTGTTCGAGAAGATGTATCTCGACTTTTATCTACTCAACAACTACCTTCTCGAAATTGAGTTGCATATCGATGAAAGACCTGCACGACAGGCAATAAAGGCTTCTCCTCTTCAAATAAGAGAAAATAGGCTTCTCTCCTTCAAATAAGAGAAAAAAGGCTTCTCCCCTTCAAATAAGAGAATCTAGGCGCCATCCTCCTAATTCGGTTTAAACAGGCTTCCCCCTTCTAATAAGGAACTCGCTAACACAAAGACCTCCTCAAGGCATTCTACTCTCTCTATTTTGTATAGGTGACACCCAAGAACGAAAGAGTACGAGAACTGGGGCAACACCACGAAACTCGAGAAGACATCAACACTTGTAGCAACCCATATCCTTCTCATCAAGTCTCGAGGATATGGCTTACTAGGGCCACTTGACGAGTCATAAATTAACCCTATGCATGTTGGGCCTAGAATTAGGTTACTTGGAGATTAAGTCACCGCCTAAACCTAATACGACTAGGTTTCAGGAAATAGGTAACACCACCTCTATATAAAGAGGTGGTGCCTCTCCCATAATACATATCTTCTACCTATCTTCTACACCTTCTACACACGATACACATCTCTCTCTCTCTGTCTATTATCTCTACTTCTTGATTGACTTAAGCATCGGAGAGTCTACCCTCGGGAGACACCCGAGGCTCTGTCTTGCAGGTTTTCGGCCGTTCGCCGCCGCCTAGTTCATCATCGCCGCCCGTCCTAAGCACCATACAAATCCATGCTTCGTCATATTTCCTTCCTGAGAATTATACATGCGCATTAGTTCTGTATGCTCAACGGTGGCAATAATTTTTTTTTTTTATTTAGAGGGAAAAAAAGAAGAAAAAGAAAATCTTAATGGAATGCACTTATGAATTTCCTATATACTAGTGATGGGATGGATCCTTAAATTTCCTGGGAGGCTACTGAACGCCCTAATTTTTTCATTTGAACGCCCTAAAAAATCTTAAAAAGACTACTTTACCCTTAAATTCATAATTTTTTTTAAAAAAAGGGTAGGGGCGTGGCGCACAATTTTCTCGCCTCCCAATTAAGGGAGGCGAGAGGTATTATTACCCCCAAAATGGGGGTGGCGCAAAAATCTGGCGCCACCCCCTTCGGTTTGGCGAGCATTTGCTCGCCAAACCGAAATTATTTTTTTTTTTAATTTTTCTATGTTTAATTTATTTAATTAATTAATTTTTTATTTATTTATTTATTTAAGTTTATTTTTTATTTAATCTATTTGGCAGTTAAAAAATATTAAAAAATTAAATGAATAAATAAAATTATTTTATATTTTTTCCAAGCTTTTTAATTTTTCGTTTCAACGTATTTTAAATTTTATATTTTTTTCCAAAAAAATTTTCCAGGACGGCTAGGTGCACCGATGATGAATAATTAATTTGTTTGGTAGTAAATTCATAAATTTTAGTTTTTATTAAATGATAATTTTTTGTTTAAGTTTAAAAAATTTTACATAACTAAATGATAAATTTTTATAAAAATTTACTACATAATTAAGCAACATTCTCTAAATATTTAAGTTAAAATTATTTGTTTAACTACCAAACAAATAAATAAACTTTAATAAATAAATAAATTAAGAACATACATGAATTAAATAAATTAAATAAATACATGAATTAAATAAATTCATTAAACTAATAATTAAAATAAATAAAAGAAATTAATTAAATACATTAAAAATAATTAAATTAAAGATAATTAAATAAATAAAATAAAATTAAAAAAATTAAAAAAAAAGTAATTAAGGTGGGTGGCGCACACCCACCCTTTGGTTGGCGAGCAAAAAGCTCGCCAACCAGCACTAATGTGGCAGGCGCCACACCTTCGCCGCATGGCGAAGGTTTTCTCGCCACCCCTTAAAGGGGTGGCTCATTTCTCCCTCGCCAAACATCTTTTTTTTGTAAACCAACTCTATTTTATAGGGGCGTGTATGTCTTTTTCGGGCATTCAAATGAAAAAATTAGGGCGCTCAACAGCACGACCCATTTAAATTTCTTAGGTTATGATCATTTATACAATAAATTAATCAATGTGATGGGACAACGTTGAGTTTAAATGGCTGGTTCTTGTGGCCCATTTATCAAAAGGGAATTAAATACTAGCTGGCTGGCTATTTCCATCTTGATGATTTTCACTAATCCAGAATCCAACCTACATATTTGGAATGTAATCTAGTTTCCAACAATATAGCTGTTGGAAATAATCCTAGTATTTCAGTAAATCTTGGTGAAGCCAGTGTGCGCTTAATATTGTTATTGTTTCCGTATTTCTTATGTCATGGTTTTCCTGGATATATATGATGGTCAATCGGTCATTTCCAGAACAGCTGTATAGTTATTTATAAGCAAAATAAAAAATAAAAAAATAGTCCCTCTGTCTAAAAAAAATGTAATATTAATTTTAAAGTTTAATGTGGATTATGTTTTTAGAATTATGACATATAACTGTTATACACACCCCTAATCAATAGGGTATGTGTTACGTTTAAAATGTTGATGTTCTTTTCTTTTTTTTTAGGATAAAAGTATTGCTAAGATTACACGTCCATGATATATATGGATATGATCCGCTTGCAAATACTTTCAAACGATTTAATGTAGTTTGTAAGACCGATTATTCCCAAAAAAAAAAAAAAAAAAGATTAGCCAACAATTGATTCCTGAGTGTCAATTGTGATATGGATGGGAAGACTTGTTTATTGGGCAGGAGCGACTCAACCTTGCACCAACTCCACACAACACAAGTAGCAGCTCTAGGCTCTTAGTTATTTAAAACAAGCTTCCTCTGAACTATATATAACTTATGCTTTATAATTAGGACGTACGGAAAAAATAGTACGTACGAACATAAATATTGAATTTAATTAATACTAGAATGATTAATTAGCCACTGGCTGAATACATGGAAAAAAAAAAAAAAAAGAGCACAAATACAATATACATCAACTAACTTTTCTGATAAATATATAGCTACGATTATTTTTTCACCATTAAAAACATATCAAACAAGTTACTAATATCATTTAGACATGAGTGAACCGACAACTCCAGCGATCAGAGTAGTAGGATCTCCAAGAACCGCGGAGATAACAAATTGCAAAGCCAACCCAGCCATTTCACAACATTTCTGGACTTTACCTTTACTGCTTTTACGGTGGTAACTCTGCAACGTACCCTTCAAACTTGGGATTCTCGTTTCCAAACTTTTATTACCATTATTATTACCGCATCCTCCATTTTTACCATGGTTACTTCCGAAGTAAATTTCATGCCAACTTTCCACAAGCATCTCCTTCACACACGCCACATGCAAATTATACTTCTTGCAAGTGGATCTATAGCTCCAGCTCCTCCCTTTCCGGCCACACCGGTGGCACGCCGCGCTAACTTTCCGGTACAAAAACAGCTTCACCTCGCCGTCGTCCAGCATCATCGGGAGCTTGGCGCAACACGGGTGGAGATCAAACCCGCAAGACTTGCAATGGTAAAGGAACCCGGTTATGTCTTTCTCGCAGGCGTTGCAGTAGCGCGGAATATTTCCCGGCGGCCGAGCCAGGAATTGGAACGAACACTTGGTGTAAAAAGGGTGGGTGATTGTAGCCGACGGGATCCCACAGTGCATGTGGAGATCGTAGTCGCAAGTGTTGCATTTGTACCGGGAGCCGATTCCGACTTCTTTGCAACCGTCGCATTTGAAAGGGATTTCGGTGTACTCGAATTTGAGCTTGTGTTGGGGATGGCTGAAATGTGGAATTTCAATGTATTTCATGGTTTGGTGGGGGGAGCCGGATGAAGTTTTGGTCCCTTATATATTTAAATTAAAATGAAAGGTGCATGATTCTTGGAACGTTTTGGGTTCAATAATGTTAGGGGAATCGAATCAAAATAGATGATTAATGTAGGAGGTTAGGTTACTTTTGGGTTTGGGTATTTTGGCTTATCATGGAAATTAATTAAGGCTAGCCATTGATTTTTGGGAAGTTGCTTGAGGATGAAGCCAACAAGGGAATTATGCGTGGAGATGGTGGTGATCATAGTGTGGTAAGTTAAAATGAGTCGACAAATCACGTAAAGAGAATCTTAACGTCAAGGGAAAGATGGTGAGAGGTCGACGGACATAAAGCATAAATTTGGACTCCTATGCCCACTTTGGAATAAGGAATTTTATTTTTTAATTACTTTGAATCATTTCTCAGTCCATTCTCTTTAAAGTTAGAATTTAACTATAGTGAGTTATATATACTGATCAACTATACATCTAACTTTTGATATATATGTCACACTGTTAGCAAATACATATTAACTTGCAACGTGAAAGGTTACCTACGTTGGCGCGTAATTACAATGTTGTAGGAGGAATTAAGGACTAGGTTCAGTTAATCTGGAAGGATTAAATCATGGCTAAAACTTGGTTAATTTTTAGCGTTTGTAACTTGGAGAGGGAGCCGATATGGAGGAACCGATTCCTTGAAGTTAAGATTGCTTAAGGAAGAGGGGAGAAGTGCTGCTTTACTTTTAGAAATCCATTTATCTTAATTGAAAGCCACATCTATTCTGTTGGCATCTTTCAGATGATTTTGGGTGTCACTTTTCTTGACTCCTAGTTGCCATGTATGCTTTCCGTCGGGCCCTTTTATATTATCTATGTTTTTATTCTTCAATCCTTGTAGTTTAACATATATCAACAATGTTCTCTTTTTTATTTTAATTTTTACATTAAAGTTTGAACCAGAAAGATGAAAAAGTGAAAAAGAGTTGCAAATTTGGTGTTTGCTTGGCTTTATAAACGAGTGCAATTGGATTGAAGCTTACACGATATTGAAAACCCAAGTGAACATTTTTCTTTCTCTTTCAGTCTAAGACAAGTTAAAGCCAATCTTGCTGATTTGCTTACAGGAAAAAAAAAACTTTGCTTTTGCATTAACTTCATCTCTAGAAGCATATTTCTTAGTTCAATTTTATATTTGGTGAACGTGCTTCTTATTCTTCTTTTTGGTCGTAACTCGTATTAACTATAATTTCAAATCAGCAATATTGTGGCATTCAAGCGTTGACAAATTTGGTAGTCCGTTGTCTTAATTTCTTTTGATGTGTTTACTTTGGTTTGGGAGACTCAAACATGCATGGGAATCTTTCTTACAAAATGTCCGGGAAAAATAGGCAAGAAACAAGTCGAATTTGTCTCTGCAAAAACCAGGGGCCGGATGGTCGGATACTTTTATCTTTTTTTTGTTCTTGCTCTTGCTCTTTAGCTTTTTTGATAATTTCCTTCGATTCATATAAACATCTGAGATGAGAATATTAGAACAAGTGCAACTTTTGTTCTTCATGTTGGAATAAAAGCACAAAATGAATCCGATTCTGCATCCTGTTGGCTGCTTGGATTGTACCCTCGTCATACATAATACACCCTGATTTTTTCTTTTTTTCTTTTTTAAAATCCATAGCTTAAGAATGACTAATTTTATTTGGCAAAAGTGATAACTCAAGACAGAGTTCTTGGTGTAGATACTAGATTTTCACCCGCCACCGACATGGTGCAAAATGCGCTATTAATCATAAGGAAAATGATATTTATCTCACTAAATTTATCTCACCCTTGCATCTCACCTTACAACATTTATTGGACCATAAATTTCCTTTACTTGGTGTATCACTTTCTACACCACATCTAAATAAATTAATTTTAATATTATATTTCTTATCGATATCAATTCAATTAGTAAATCATTTGCATTATTATAATTATACCCTTAAGGGTTTACTTTTTTTGGGGTTAGAGGCTATTTATTTTAAAATTTTAGATATAAAAATATCTAAAAAGTCAATACATTTAACCAAAAAATAATTAAATTCACATATTAAATTTCACCCAATAATTAAATGTCCTGTAAGGTGAGATATAATGGTGAGATGAATTAGGTGAGTTGTGTATCCTCAAATAGGAAGATTTGTAATAATATAGGATTTCCATAAGGTAATATCCAAAAAAACAAATGAAGAAGAAGAAGAAGAAAAAAGACCACTAGTTTGGACTTGAAAAATTGATCATTTTGGTCAAATGGTACGACTCACTCCAATTGTCATTTCGTACTAGTGCATACTGTGAACAATGGGCTTTAGCGATCCAATTAAGTACAAGTCTACTGTCTATATATGTAGTTCGATAGTCCCAATAAAACCCAGTCCATTTCCCATGAAACAGATTTGGATTTTTACGGTTTAAATGGCCCATAAGGCTATATAAATCCAGATGGCACTAGTGGCTCTTAAAACTTGGGAGGAGGGGAGAATAGATATACTGCATCTAGGAACTACAAAAACATAGCAACATGAAAGGGTTGATCAATGGCATAAAGGAGCTGATTTGGCGAGATTGGTTCGGTGAATAGAATCATGCCTACCGAGAAGCAACATTGAGGGAGATATGTTTGTAGTGTTTGACTGTTTTCAACTGATACCTAATGGGATTGACTCTACTCGTTTGGAATCACTAGCTAGTGTTAGGCCGTAGTTTGATCACGGTGTAATAGGCGTTACATGCAGAAGAAATGTTAATGTCACTAGGTTTAAACTTTCCTTCATCTCTCAAAAGGCCAAATAAAATTATCCACATTGAAAGTTATAACTATATTCTGATTTTTAAACGTCATTTCTGTAATCAAAAAAGGGAATGAGGATTGAGTTCAATACATTAATGCGATATAATCCTACAAAATAGTGTGCTAATTACAGTATATATACTTTCTGTGTGAATCCAGTACTTTACAAGGATTCCTGAACTGGGGAAAGAAATGCAGTTGAACCATGGGAAATGGCAAAGGCTAGTTACAAAGAAGGGAGTAGCCAAAGATTAAAAAGGGATGACCCCAAAGAGAAGAACCAAGATAAGAAGGCTAACATGGAGGATAACAGGTATCTACTGCAGTATTTGGGAGGACAGAAAGACTCATCTGCTCGGAGCAATAGATCCACTATTCCAGCTGTTGAGCTTGCTGCAGCTAATGTCAGGATTGATAACACCTGTGTTTTCAACATATTAATTTCTTGGTATTTATTTCGTGCAAAACCACAGAGGAAATGATGGATGAAACAGAGTTGATTTCATTTCATACCCAATCTCCGATAACAATAACCAGGAGAATTCCCAATTGACGAACAGGGCATTTCGCTAAAATTGAATATCCATCCAGCAATGCCAGAGTGACACTCCATGGAATGACCAGACCCATGACTGTCACCAGGAAACTTCAGTCGAAAACAAGGTACAAACTGTAAGTTGCAAGCAGACCAAAAGAGAAAGAAATGAAAAGTTTGGAGATTGAATTACCAGAAGGCGGTATAGCTGTAGAAATCGACTCCCAAAGACATGAACAGAAGAGAAGCAGAGGAGAAGATGACCTGTCCAATCCTCAAAATTAAGCTGGCGCTGGTCCCCATGGAACCAGGTACATGTTGTCTAGACATCGAATGTGGATGATTGGATTCTGTGGTTGCTTCAATAACATGGGATGGGATTGGGGAAAAAAAAGAATCCCAGGAATCAGCAGAAAATCAGGACGAAGAATATCAGGATCATGGCCATGGACTCCTCCCCTGTTGAGGTTCTTTATAAGGGAGGCCTTGATGTAGTGATTTAGAAACTTTGCCTGCCAACTTCATCATAAAACTCCCAAAACGAATTCCAGAAATGGTATTCAGTTATTCCACCTGCTGACCACATGTGAGGAACTTGAAGAATTCTCCAGGATTTTGGTTTATCTCTCGAGATGCTAGGATATTGGTCTGTTCTTTTTGGTAAAAAGGGAGTTCTTATGAAAAGGAGAGGGATGAAAAAAAAAGAAGCTGGTGAATTGGTGGTTTCTTCTACCTACCCTTTTTCCCTGAATCACTTAATAAAATTACATTTAGAATGAAAACACTGGAAAACTCCTTTTGAAGCAATTAAGGTAAGTCTTAATTTCCTCGGTTTTTACCTTCCTACAAGTGAAGCTGGAGTTGTGATCAAGTTTTTTAGTTGTCATTTCTGGTGAGTGAAAATGAGTTAGCACAAAGAGACAAGCAAGCTAACGATGACTGGTTTAAGATGAGGACACTTGGACTTCATTACTTCGCCTAACTCTATTTTTAGCATCTTTTTATTTCATCGTAGAACGAAGAAACAATATATATATACATTTTTATTAGGCTTATTCTGGCAAAGGGAGAAAAATGGGAATATAAAAAGAGATGCATCAGAACGATGAAAACGACTCTATCCAAATCAGTGGACCAGCACAGCATACTTTATTTTTCGCGGCTCTTACTTTGCCGACATTTCGAACGGGATAACTACTTCCGGAGGAAGAAGAAGAAGAAGAAGCGTAATAACTCATACACAGATTTATGAGAAAAAAGAATAAAAGAATTGAATATTTGTTGTACAGTATAGGTTGCTGAAAGGAATTAAATCATCCAAGATAACGTTTCGGTCATGGCAAGGTCACGAAAGGAAGGTACAATTATATCGACTGGTAATCCGTCTTGTTCACTGAGAAATTAAGTGACCAAAATAATGTCAATCATGCATCTTAAGGACAATCAACCAAGTTACATTTTTGCACAATCTAACGTTCACAGGAGGATTGACGTGGGCAAAAATGACCAGATAACAACTTCAACTCTAGCTTAGAGGCCTTCATAAACGTAGGTTAATAATATGAAAATGAAACGCCGTCAAGCTTCTCTTTTTCTATACAGGAAATGGCGAAAAAAGCAATTAAAGAAACACTCAGATGCCATGAAAAGTCAACTCTTGTAGGAGTTTGCTTGTTTGATTCTAAGACACCTGTAGAGACGAAAGGCTGCGAGGGTATCACAATCCATCACAATCAATTCGGAAGAGCAGATGCAAGGGCAACCACAAATTTTGGGTTCATCTTAGAACATGAATGACAAGATGAACACTTCAATAAAGGTTGTAAAGTAGCCCACTTGTACACATAGTTTGCAAAATCACTTTCAACTTACAACCCATAAACGTGACCAATATTCCAGGTAGGAGAGGGACTTGGTAACTTCTGAGTGGTTAAGCAATAATCCAAATTGTAACCCTCAAATTTCCCCTCTTTTATGTTCTATTTTATTCAGGTAGTTTATGAGCTCACATGCAACAAACTTCAAAAGCAATGTAAAAGAAACAACCAGAAGCCAAAGGATCTCAACTATCAGAGCTGTCAATGCCCATTTACTACCATAGAGTAATAATCAAAATACAATTCTTCACGGTTCACAGCTTATATAAGGGCTAAAATTAAGTATGAAGATGCGTAAGAACATCAAAAGAGCTTTCTTCCTTGCCCACTCACAGCCACACTCCCCTGTTCCCCGGTATCAACTGCAGGAAAAAAAATAACAAGCAAATCACATACCAGTAGACCACAGCAACATTGCGACATAAACATATACAAATCACACAAACAATCAAAGCAACGGAACAAATGCCAACTGGTTTCCCTCAAAATACTGCACTTGCCCAAAAACTAAATTTAGGTCTGGAGAACCTAACACTACATATCAAGTTTATGACTACTTATGTATGCAACTACGATAACTAAGCCTTTCTGTTATGCTACAGTTACGCAAGGCAGAGGGAGCAGAAGACCAGAGTTGCATCATACCATGCCAACTGATAAGAGTTCAAGTATGTGCCAATTGCAACCCGGAAAACAAAATATTTTGAGGACACTAGCTACGACTTCTCCATGACCATGTTCGCAAATATGTACAAGGTTGAAGACATACGTAGTTGCTTTTAAACCAGTTCCATCCATCAACTTCTAGATATCTAAAAATTAATGGTTTACCTAATTTAATCAGCACAAAGATTAAGAGACAGTGAGAATTGTAAAGTCTCCTAGCAGAATCTCCAAAATAAGAACAGCAAAAATTAAACTAACTAATCCTCACCCATGCCTTTGGCAGTTCGTCCAGCAGAATAGAACCAATAAATGGACATACCAGACAGTAACACAACTAAATTTCAGATTTTCAACTGTACTGAGTGACACATATACAAACATTAATACATTATCCACCTTAATTGAAAACAATGTCCCAACTCCCAAAGACCTCCTCGCCAAGACCTCCTCGCCAATAGTTTGACAGATAGTGTTTTCACATATCTTCCGATGTGCTCAAAACCATCCTCCAATTTATAATTAAGATACATACTATGAAGGGTTTTCAGATTTTTTTATTGTTATTTTAAATTTATAATTAAGCTAAAGAATCTAAATCAAACAGATAACAAAAATCACAATTCATATAAAAAAAAATCTATCACGAAATTAACACATCACTGCCAGCAATTCATGCCCTAAGTGAACGAGTAACGAGAGACCAAACTCTCAAAACTTAACAAACACAGCAGGCGAACGGCATCCAAAAAAGTTCACAAGAGACAGAGGTTACCTGAACAGAAAAAAAGAGACCCAGGAACAGTAATTAAAAATCGAGCTGCAAGACATCTTTATCGTCGGAGAAGTAGTGAAGAATGTACGGGGCGACCCGAACCGCAAGGACACAAGCACCGAACATGGCTGCGTGCTTCTTCAGCTCCTTCAGAGCCTCAGCTTTGTCTGGTTTCTTCATAAACATCCCCGGAAACATCTTTACAATCTCTCTTCAGAACAAGAACTCGATCCGGCTGGAACAACGACTGACTTTGAATTGTAATTCCAAACTGCTTCAAAAACCTGCCGTAAAACCCTAGGCCTGACCGACCTCCTCCTTTTTGTATCTTTATCTCCAGTCTCCAGACGAGGATTGGACAATGATTCTTTACATAATACACCGGTCAGTGCTGGGCTTCCATAACTTTTGAGCTCGACGGATTTAGGCCGGGCTTTTTAAATAAAAATGGGCTGCTCCGTATATTTGGGCCATACGAAAAGTTGTGAGATTCTTTTTCTTCTTTTATTATTTTCATTATTTAAATTTATATTACAATACTCCCTCTTAAATTTTGAGATTTGTACTATGTTTAAATATAAATTTGAAAATTTTCATGTGAATTATTTTTTGGAAAAAAGGATATTCTTGAATCCACTAAAAAACAATAAACGGTGAGACGTAATATAGGGAATTGCCTTATTAATCAACGAGTCTGTATCTAGTATACTCAGGCATCGTGTACCCCCTCCTATTTTTTGTATTTTTAATCTTTATTGTACTTTTTATCAATCTTTCTATATTTTGTAAATTTAGTCCCTGTCATTTTTTCTCTCTCTTCCAAAAAAATATCTCTAATCTTTCAACGAACATATCTCCCAATCCGTGAAGAATTTGTGAACGAATTATATATGAAATTTAAAGTACTCGTCGAGATATATCCAACAAGATCCATAGTGAATATTTTTTCCGAACTTAAAAATAATAAAATTCTGATGGGCAGAATGAAGGTGGATATTCAGTTTTACAAGATAGATAACCAAATTATTTTAAATTGGTTATCAGTTGTGTTCATTCTGATTATCCAACCAGTTTGAACTGGTTATCCACTTGTTTGTACTACTTATCCATTTAGTTTGTATGTTTATCCAAATTATTTGTAATGGATATCCCACTTGTTTGAAATGGATATCCAACTCGCTTGTACTGGATATCCATCCATTTGGTTTATATATTTATCTAACTTGTTTTGTAGTTGTAATCCAACGGGTTTGTATGCATATCCAACTTGTTTGTGCTGGATATCCAACTCGCTTGTACTGGATATCTATCCACTTCATATTGATTCTCCAACTTCTTAATTCAAAATAAGTTGGTTATCAATCTTCTTAAACTGGATATCCAATGTGTTCATATTGATTATCCAACTTCTTTGTGGTGGTTATCCAGTATTTTTTTCCTTGCTCTTTTATGAAAGTGATTGCCAAACTTTTTTGTACTGATTATCCAACGTGTTGCACTGATTATCCAATTATTTTTTATTGATTATCTAAATTGTTTACAATGTTTATCCAATCATTTTTTTTTTTTTAAGAGCGGATGTCAAAAATATAATTAGATAACAAGTACAAACAGAATGGATAATCAGTCCAAAAGGGTTGGATAATCAGTAGTAACACAACGAATAACCATTTTTCAAAGAAAAACAAAAAACACATTTCTTAATTTCTGTCCGTAAAATTTAAATGCATTTAAAGTTCAAAAAAAATATTCAACATGGATCTTATCGGATAGATTTCGTCCAACATTATAAATTTCATGTATAATTCGTATTCTAATTCTTTACGGACCAAGAGATATATGCAATACAAGAATCTTAATCTAAACTAAACTGGTTATCCATCTTTCTAAACTAGATATCCATCTTATTCTGCCCATTGAAATTTAGTCATTTTTAAACTTGAAAAAAAATATTCGACATAGATCTTGTTGGATAGATCTCGACGAGTACTATAATTTTCATGTGTAACACGTTCTCTAATTTTTTATGGATCATGAGATATGATCGTTTAAAGATTAGAGATGTTTTTTAAAGGAGAGAGAAAAAAAAATCAAAGGGACTAAACTTGTAAATTATAGGATGTTATTTAGAAAAGTGGAAAAAAGTGTAGTAAGGACTAAGTAGTGTAAAAAATAGGAGAAAGAGTATGGTACCCCGAGTATACTGGATAAATTGCCTTGATCAACTACAAAAATCAAGGCTTTTCGATTTAGAGCTAGACAAGGAGTAATACAAATAGTATTTGGTTTTGGCATCTATATGGTAGCAACGCTCACAAGTTGTGAGCCCTCCTCATTATTTTATCCCATTTGATTGTCACATCAAAAAGTGTAGACTAAGTGAACTATATGACCCTCTTACAGTGACATTCTTCGAATAAACGAACGGAACAGTCCATGTACCAAGTACTTATAACAAGCTTCTGCATTTTATTTTCTTCAGTATACTGTATAATGTATATCACTGTCCGAAAATATTGTATAGGTTAATTTGGACCGGAGCAAATAAGTCTCTCTCGATACTTAATCAAATCATATACTCCCTCTTTATCAGAAATTAGTGCTAACTTACTGCTTGAAGAAGCCTTTTACCCGTTAATTGAGTCTTGGCTGTTTCTTTTATTTAGGAGTCAGTTGAAAGATTAAAGATTTTCAGGAAGAGTTGTTAGTCTTCTCTAGTATAAATAGGAGTCCTACTTTGTCATTCAATGTATTCGTTACTTCCATCATTTTTCAAGTTCAGTCGCTTATTGAGTAATAATACTTTCAGCCTTCTGTTGTTGGTTTCTCAAATCTGGCCTCCCTTTTAATTTGTTAGACTCCGTCCCAAAATTATTACTCAGTTTGAATTTTCAGTTTTAATTTAAAATGTACTAAAAATAAATATCCAAACTGAATAATAATTTTGGGACAAAGAGAGTAGATCTCTTCCAAAAGTGCAGCTATTTTTTTCTATGCACATATCTGCGGGTGAATACCAAATTAAAATGTATACTGACGTAAGGTATTATTTAGACAAATAGATCGATTTTTGGTTCATTTTACAACTACACAACCGTGGGGTACCAGAAGATACAGGTAACGAGATCAGAAAAAAGAACATGCTATATAAAACGTGAAGTTAGATCCATTAGTCAGTCAAACAAAGGTCAAACTGGGAATACGTTAGTTGAGAACTGCATCCCAATCCAAGAAGATTCCAAATTTCGTTTAGTTTAGCACTTCTACGTACCGCATCCAGATCCGTTCGAAAAATCTGTATCAAAATAAAAGTTGTGTCTATTTTTTTATTAAATCGCAGTTGTATTCTTATTTTTTTGGCGTGGATACAATCGTAATTACCTCAAAAAAATCAAATACTACTAGACACCTACACTAAAAATCACTCATTTATAAATATCCATTTCCGACCAGAGTCACAAAACCGCAGTACAACAATACATACAGTGGCAGCGTGACATCAAAAAAAAAACAAAATTAATCTAAACAGGTGCATTAAATTCATAAACGATGACGTGTCATCAGCTGAACTGTCAAAAAAAAAAGAAGACCCCCAAGTGTTTTTTCGTCAAACAGACAGATGGTAATAACAACAACAAAGTCGCGCTGGTCATAACTCCATAATAAACAACAAATTCACAAAACCAAAACTAGTGTATAGTGGTAGTAGTAGTAGTACGCTGTTGTAGTAAAGACTAGTAAGAAAACAATTATGTGAAAAAAGAAGAAAGAAAAATCTCCCAACTCCTTCTTCTTCCTCGTTCCCACCTTCCCCTGTTTTCCAGTCTCCAGTCCCATCTTTTCATTTTCTTCCTCCCCACTCACTCAGTCAGTCAACCCAGCCCACCACAACAAGATCAATAATCCCCCACAAAAACGAAAAGGTACGTTTTCCAGTCGAAATCCACTGAGAATTGCTTTCTCACTCACCCTTTTCATTAGTCTATTCGATTCAACTCGACCTTTAGGTCCATAACCAAATTCAAGTCCAACCCACCATGCGTAAGCACTTGATTCATGCTCCTACTCCATCTCCATCTCCGGCACCGGCACCGTCGCCTCAGGCGGGGATACCATCACCTTCCACGGCGGAGATTCTCCCGTCATCATTATCGTCATCATCCTCTGTGACGACCGCAGCTTCCACATCCACATCCTCTTCGTCATCTCCTCCGCCGTCTAAACTACCAGTACAATTCAGTCCGCCGTTAATAGCGATGGTCGTCATCATCATCTCTGCTTTCATCGTCATCACGTATTCCCGGCTAATATCGCGTCAATTCCTCCACCTCCAACGCCGTTACCTGCGGTGGAGACTCCACCGCCGGCGTTACGTCCCTTCATCTTCCGCCAGCAACATCGAGTCCCCACCGTACCCGTTTGATCTAAACGACGCGTTTCACGTTCTCTCCCCTTACGGCCTCGACGACTCGGCGATCAAGACCATTCCTCTGTCCGTTCATACCAGGAAGAGCTCCATCCTTGACTGCGCCGTTTGCTTATTGGAATTCGAAGAGAACGATTATGTCCGTACACTTCCGGTTTGCTCACACGCTTTTCACGTTGACTGTATTGATATATGGCTGAAATCCCATGCCAATTGTCCCCTGTGTCGGGCCATCATTTTCAGACCCGAATCGCCCTTCATCCCCGTCATGGCGACCCGAATCCGGCCGAGTCTCGACGACATGATCATCGAGAGCACGATTCTAGAACCTTTGACTGAGTTCGTGCCGGAATCGGATTCAATTAACGCCGAGGAAATTACGCAGGACCCGTCTCCGAGAAGGAACGCTCCGTTATCGGAGGATTGTTCTTGTTCACACAACCGCCGTGATTTTCTGCTGAAGCGGTCGTATTCGTTCGGGTTTGAACGTAATTTAGGATCGGAAAGGCTTGTTCTTGAGCCGGTGACGGCATCCCCATGGCGGTACCGCAGAGGAGGAGTTGGAAGCTTCTGGAATAAACGCCCGTCCCCATTCAGTTCGTTGACAAAGCCAAGGGTTTTCTCATTCCGTTATTACAGAGGGATGAACATGAAGTCTCCGTTTTTCCGTCGCCGGGGCAGCGGCGGCGGCGGAGTTGGAGGAAGCTTTTACCCGTTGTCGGAATCCAGCGTAAGATTCGGCGGAGGGTCAACGTCAGCCGGAGGAGGCGAATCATCCCGGCGGAGCAACAAATCATTTGCAAGCCCAATGTTCATGAGAAACTCAGGCACATCCAGCTTCTTCTCGTCGAGCCGGCACAGAAGTGGCGACCCGGAAGCTTTATTATCACCGGACCGGTACACCAAACGGTGATCGGAGATGCCACGTGGAAACAAATTGATGATGATGATGATCTAGCGGGAAAGAACGGACGGCCAGAGATGGTGGGGGGCCAGGCCAACCAAATTCGCTGAAGCTAGCCTTAGAGGGGAGGGAAAAAATGGTAGAATTAAATGAGGGCTGCCTGACCAATTTTTTTGAGTGTTGGGAAAGGCTAACAAACAAGCTGGTAGAAGAAATTAATTTCAATTTGGACAGAGCTGGTGGGAAATGGCGGAAGCGGCAATTAATGTCTGAATTGACGACAGAGAAAGAAATCAATTAATTGGCCTTTGGGAGGGAAAAGAAGGTCCACAGTCCACTACTTTTACTTCCCCTCCCTTATTACACAGTGTACGTTCCTCATACTGCAAATGCCGCGGGTTCCTGTGAATGAATTATAAAGATGGATTTCTCTCTTTATTTGAGTGGGGGGAAGTTATCATTATTGATTGCATTTACTTTTTTTGAGAGATGGGGTCTTAGTTTTTTCGGTTTCTGGGAAGAAAAAAAAAGAGAGCCCATATGTTATTATGTGATGATCATTGACTGTGCTGTTGATGATAAAAGGGAGACAAATTACAGTCGGAAAATCCCTTCTCTTCTCGGCTTCTCGCTACTGAGTTACAGTCGATTCTTTTAATGGTAGTATCTTACTATAAGCCAATTTTAAAGTTGCTAATGAACACTAATTGCAAGGTTGCACTTTTTTTCTGGTCCTAGTACAATAGAGTTTTTTACTCTACAAAACTTTGTGTACAATTCAAATTTAATGTTTCCCTCATTATAGATTCAACATGTGATGGTGATGATGATGGTCTTTTTTAGAAGAATGGGGGGATTGGCTTTCATCCTGATTGGTTAAATTTAGTTTGATTTTGCCATTTTCGTGTGTGGTTTTCACTTTTTTTAGGCTCTCCCATCCTCTTCAAAATACCATGCAAGTTGCACATAAATGCACTCTCAAAAATTCAACAAAAGAGAGTAAACATCTCTTTCATTCATTAACCATCTCCGGCTAGCTTTCGTCCCAAATGAAGGAGGGATGAACCGGTAATTCGGGGAGCTCTTTTTTCATTTTATCATTTTTCTCATTTAGCTACATTTATCAAGTATATCAATTCACAAAGTAATTATCTATATTGGTTCACAATTTTTTCCTAATACGAAAGTGAATACACCCTTGTTGAGTCCTAAATAAGAGTTTTGTTTATTGAATTAAAAAAAAAAAACTAGTGCATTAAAAAGTGAGGGGTTGGCTCTCCGCTCGCCTATTGGCACCTCTAGGGGCTTCTTATGACTAACCTACTAATGAACCCCGATTTTGCACTCAAGCTTGTCACCCCGGGCATGTTTAAGGTGGTTTACCTCTTACTGTGGTTTGCAGTCTATTGCAGTGGACGTGGGTTTACTCATCTCTGGTAGGGTTCCCGATGTTATATATATATATATATAAAACTACTTTGAGATTGGAATACGAATTACTACCTCCATTTCATATTATCTGTTGCATTTAAACAAACACACAAATTAAGAAGAATATGTTTGGGAATATAATTTTATATGTATTGACCTTTTTATCCTTAATTAATTGTATTAGGAATATGCAGCAAATTAAATTACAAGTAGTTATTATTGATATGACCAATTAAAATTGGAGAGAGATAATGGTAAAATTAGAAAAAATAAATTAAATATATCTTAGGAATGAAAAGAAACAGATAAAAAGAAGATTTGGTTTTACCTTAACGTGACAAATAAAATGAAATGAAGGTAGCACGTACATATCCAAGTAATTAGAACTACCTTTTGAAATGATATTCCGAATCCAAAAGCGCAAGAATCCCACTACTTTTTCTGGATGCCTATTGGCATCTCATGATTAAAAGCTATCCCAATAATACTCATCATCAAGTGGTATCATTTCCAAATGATTCTGATACTACTCATCACTTCTGTAACATTTTCATGTTTTTTACCTGTTCCACCTTGAGTTTTCGCATAAATCTTATCCAGGTAAGAGTATGTTCATGTTAATGATTAGATCTTTTCTAAAATTATATTCTATGTTCGTGCAACAAATTTTCTTATTTTCGAATTTGTTCCCTTTTGTAAATTTTTCGATGTAAACCTACAGATAATGACCCTTCGCTGATTAAAATCAAATCTCATCAAAACATCAATGGGTAAAGTTTTTGTCAACTAATTTTTCTCATTTTTTTCATAAAAATCCTTATATATTTCGTTAAGCTTAAATTGTACTACTACAAATTAGACCTTTTTTTTTTTAATTACACAGGATGACTTAAAAAATTTAAATTGCATTATTGGAGATTGGAATTTTGTAGAAATTTAAAAGTTTGCTATTTTCATAGCTGTCTGGGCGATATTTTCTTCTTCTTCTTTTTTATTATTATTTTTTTGAGTACAGAGAGAGTGATTGAGTGAATATAGCCAAAAAAGGGCTACGGATATAATTGAATGATCACTAAAATACTTAAGCCTATACGTTTATATTTGTTATTTAGCCTATAGGGAGGAATAACACTCCCGCCGTTTTCAAATTGTTAATTTTGTTTAACCATGAAAATAATGAAGATGACGAGAATCGTTGGGCAAGTAGTAACAGTGAATTCATTAAATAAATGCGGGCAGCTAAGTAAAAATGGTCAATCCATATCAAAGTAAAAGCAAACTAAATAATTTTATACATTTTTTGTCTTATTTTAACAAGAACAATGAAACATATACAAGGAAAAATGAGAAGTGTGGAGTAGTTTGAATCACATGGATTCATTTTTATACTTTTCATTTTGGGTCTAAGTATTTAAACTTAGGGATATATTTAAATTATAGATACATCATTCTTTGTAAATTTCACTCGTAACTTTTCTTATATGTATCGCTTAGGAAAAATTTACAAGAAATGAATCATAACCGTCTATATTTACACTCACTTTTGAGAGTTTATCCATTTAATATTAGAGAGACAGTTGTCACGGACTAACTCTGTTATAAGTTAAAACTGTGCGGTACTAGCACTCTTGACCCCTAATGAAGAATGCTAGCTCAGCCTGACCCTTAAAACCCTCAAAATTCTTGAAAAGAACTAAGTTGGAAAGTTGAAGGTTTAAAGAAAAGTAGGAGGAAAGAATGAGGACTCAAAGAGAGGTTGAGAGAACTTGTGAACTAGAATTCAACACCTTGAATTCTTCATGGTTTACAAAGGAGGCTTGGGGTATTTATAGTTGCCAACCTAAGCCCTCAAAGTTCTAGATAATTCTAAATCTAAACTATTCTAGAACAATATCTCTTATTCTAATGAATTCTACAACCTTCTATTTAATTCTAAACTATTCTAGAGCCTCCTAGACATTTCTACATTGATCTAACAATTTTAATCTAATTCCACAAGAATCTAGAAAATTCCAAGATATTTTAGAATCTTCCGGAACTGGGCTTGACCCAAAAAATCTAATTGGGCCAAGATCCATCAAAATTATTGGGCCAAATTCACTTAATATTTGGGCCGTGTCGCTCTCCCCCACCTGAATGGGGCATCGTCCCCAATGCCATGTGTCACAACTTGTCATCTTCACGGAAGCTTTGAGTTATGGCAGCGAGTTTACTATGAGACGGACAATCACGAACCAAATGATATCCTCCACAAAGAAAGCAACCCTTAAATTTTCTTTGCTTCTCTGCTTTTGACTTCTCTTTGTTGGAGGCACTATTTGCTCCAGCAAATATTTTCTGATAGGAGGTCATGTCGTTTTCTCCACTTGTATTACTGAAAAATTTCTTACACGTGCCTTTATGGCTATTGTTGTTCTGAAACTCCACAGGACATTCCGCGACTCGCATAGCTTATTAAACATCTCAAACGTCCCTCCGTTGTAGCTCTAGTTTAGCCCAACGATTAAGACCGTCTATAAATATAAACAAAGCTTTTTTAGGTGAGAGATTAGGAATTTCGAGCATGAGATCAGAGAACTCTTGCACATATTCACTGATGTGGCCGTCCTTGTAGTGTAAGCGACGAAATTTAGCTCGAACCTCGTTTTCAGCATCAACCGGGAGGAATTGTTTCTTAAATTCCTCCTTAAATCCTTCCCATGTGGTGAAGGCCGGTCCTCCTTCTCCAACTAGTTTTATCATACGTTTCCACCAAGATAGAGTACTAGCTTTTAGATAACAAGAGGCTTGATAGAGTCTCACCAAATCATCCGTCAAGCCCATAGCGCCAAAGTACCTCTCAAGTCCATAGAGAAAATTCTCTACATCCCTTGCCTTGCGGCTACCAACATAAATATCTGGTTTTGATGCATCGACCATTGGAGCTGGCCCTCCAACTCCGGTCATTCCTTGAGCACATAGAGCATCCACTCGTACATTGAGTTGCTCCGTTTGCGTCAGATAAGTCTCAAACTCACCTCTGAGTTTGAGCACATCACCTTGGAGCATGGTGACCTAGGTTGCATTTTCCTCGCAAGCCTTAGTGACCCTCTCAAACACCCTGTTGAGTGTCTCAAGTATCTCTTCACGCATTTGTTGCATAATCTCTTGCAATTTACCCTTGAATTGCTCCATGCATTCCTTAGAGTTAACTTCCACCGTAGCATACTCTTCCCAACAATCTTAATGGTTGGCCACGGCTAACTCTACCTTTGCAAGCCGTTTTTCAAAGTCGACCACAGGCTCGCGAACAACAAAGTTGTCCCTACAGGTTCCCCTTCGAGAATAAGTCCTCTCCAACTCACAAGAAACATGATCACCACCCTCAACCTCCATACCTTGACCAACCACCAGTGGACAAGACATGATGCACAAAATTTAATAACGAACGGAAGCGTATGTATCGAGCCGAAACTCTGATACCAACTGTCACGGGCTAACTCTTTTATAAGTTAAAACTGTGTGGTACTAGCACTCTTGACCCCTAATGAAGAATGTTAGTTCAGTCTGAACCTTAAAACTCTCAAAATGCTCGAGAAGAACTAAGTTGGAAAGTTGAAGGTTTAAAAAAAAGTAGGAGGAAAGAATGAGGACTCAAAGAGAGGTTGAGAGAACTTGTAAACTAGAATTCAACACCTTGAATTCTTCATGGTTTACAAAGGGGGGCTTGGGGTATTTATAGTTGCCAACCTAAGTCCTCAAGGTTCTAGATAATTCTAAATCTAAACTATTCTAGAACAATATCTCTTATTCTATCAATTCTACAACCTTCTACTTAATTCTAAACTATTCTAAAGCCTCCTAGACATTTCTACATTGATATACACAATCATAATCTAATTTCACAAGAATCTAGAAAATTCTAAGATATTCTAGAATCTTCCGGAACTGGGCTTGACCCAAAAAGTTTAATTGGGTTAAGATCCATCAAAATTATTGGGCCAAATTTACTTAATAGTTAGGCCGTATCACAGTTACGATTTAACTTGTTCGCAACCCAAGATTCTATTTTATCATCAATCTAACTCCCGTTCACATTTTTCATTTCATGTCAAATTTTTTTCTATGTACATCACTGCTCAAAACGAGTAAATTTAGTTTATAAAGTACTTATTTTTTAAAAAAATAATTCACTTTGTTTAAATTAAGTAGTACAATAAACGAGATCGGCAGACTTTTTTTTTTTTTTTTTGAATGGAATGGGTATTTTTTTTTTCTAGCTAGTTTAAGTCAATATGTAACAGGTAAGTTTTCAATCAGTTTCTTGAACCATAATAGCTCACGAAATCAAATGTTATTGCACCCTTCCTTTTACTTTTTTTTTTTTTTACAATAAAGGAAGACAAAGCCTAACAATTTAAGAGCTTGTTTGTCCAATACTCATTTTACCTTTTTGTCTCATTTTACTTCTTAAAACATCTTTCAAATACAATCCCAATACTATCCAAACAATTTTTTAATTTATCTTTTAAAAAATATTCTAAAAATTAATTTTATACAATTTTCGTCCACCACCATCGGACATCTTCCACCACCACCCGCCACCGCCGGACTGCCCCTTGTCGTCGCCGGATCGCCACTTGGCTGGAATGTGGCCGGAATCCGGCCGGCCGGCCGGTCGCCGCCGTCGGCGGTCCGGTGGTGGAGATGGTCCGGTGGTGGTCTAAAAATATTATTATTTTATTTAAAATATTACCCAAACAACTTTTTAAATTTTATTTCAAACCGCATTTTGAATCACATCCTAAATCCAAATAAAAAACTAAAACAAAAATCAAAACAAAATATTGGCCAAACAAATCCTAAACTATTACATTTTGTGAATGAAAACTCCCGACCAAGTCGTGTTATCACCACATAAATAAGATCAAGTATAACAAGAAAAAATCAAACCCTTCTATTTTGAGTACTATGCATGACATCCATATTTCAAATATTACCAAAGACTCCTTGGGACTGTAGATCCCAAAGTCGTCCCATCATACATTGTTGCAATATCATTAAGTAGACTACCATCACTTTGCCACCTAACTAACGGATCCTCTGAAAAAGGATTCGGCCACCTGCTAGTTTGATTAGCATCGACCATCAAATACTTTACATTATCGAACTTATCTGGGCTGTCCACAATCATAACAGCTTGATGTTTAATCGGGTCGAGAGCTGTTTTGATTGAAATAACATATTGTTGCTTACATTGATAACGTTCAAAAAATACATTATTGATCTGTTAATATACAAATAGAGATATAAGCGTTTATACTCGTATTGATCAAACACATAAGCAATTTGCGCAAAATTTACCTTAAAAAACGGAATACTCCTTCAAGATATTGATCAATATCTAAACTTAACACTCTTTCAACTGTTCGTTCAACGACTAAAGAGTTTTGTAGTAACTAGTTAAATATAAAGTGCATTTATGCACGAAAAGAGTCTAGAAGAGCAGAGAGGCAAATTTCCAGCCTAATTCAAACAATAATTAATGAATGAAGAGTTTAGTTCTATCTGGTCTCAGCAGTAGGAGTGCAGTTAGGATTCTAATGAATTGACCATTAGGAAGACGTTATCTCAAAATTATTGTCGAATATTTTTAATTTTAATTTAATTTATATTAAAAATAAAAATCTAAATTGGATAATAAATGAGGGACAGATGAAGTATTATGTAGTCTAAGATTTTTCCTGTGATATTTTTTGCGTTTTACTTTTCGTTTCAATACAAAAGTTTTATATGTATTTACGGTATTATTTTTTTATACGAGGTCATGACTTGATTCTAAAAATTAATGTTTTCTAAAAGACATTTGCGGCATATCACTACTTTCATATTGTTACAGAAAATCTAATTTCATAATGTTAGATTTAGGAAACTTTTAAAGAATTAAAGGGCAAATTGACTGACTGAAATTCTCACCTACCAAAATAAATGTTACTCAAACCAGCATCGGTTACAGAGGCTCATTAAGGCCGCCCATGGACTAAGAAACAAAAAAGTACAGAAGTAAAATTAACTGTCTACTACTACTACTATTATGCGGCACATGATCCTCTGTGCCACTTTATTCTGATACTCGCTGTGACATAATCTAATTATTCCTTATAAATTATATAATTTGTACTAATACTTATACCATAGTCATATATTTTCAATGTAGATAATTTTCATATTCTTATTTTATTTTTCATATCAATGTTTTATTTTTTAATGAAATTTGATTATTTTTATTAAATTTTTTAACTATAAAAATTAAAATAAATATGCCCTAACCCGAAAAAAGTAAACCCTTAGTCCTAAAATATATAAGTCGAAAGTGATTGTGAATGGTATATGTATTAACACAAATTATATAATTCATAAGGAGTAATTGAATTGTGTCACAAGTGTCACAAAAAAGTCGCACACAAGTTCTTGTGTTAAGGTGAGAAGAAAAGAAAAGAAAAAAAGAAAGAAATTCATTTCCCTCCAACACCTAACTACTTATAGTTCTAGTAGCAGTACTGATGTTTTTCTTGTCCGAATTGAATGCTCTTCCCATCTGCTCTCACCGTAACGCAACTCTCCTCATCATTATTAATTTCCACATAAATTTCATCAATCTGTATTTCTATCTATCCATATTAGATTGGATTAGATAGATTACATTAGCCATAGCCAGCTGGTTTAGTGCACCGAAAACCGAAAAAAGAATTTCGACCCGGAAGTAAGGTTGGATCAGAATGTCGGACTATTTAGTTAAGGTTGAAGAAGGCCGTCCGGCGGCGGACGGGAAGCCATCGGCAGGCCCGGTTTACAGATGCATTTACGCTAAAGATGGTCTTTTGGAGATTCCACCCGGATTGGAATCCCCTTGGGATTTTTTCAGGTATAACTTCAACTCCCTCTTTTTTTTTTGTTGCAGCATAGGATCAGAAATCAGAATCATCAATTAGTAATTTATCTTGGCCGGAAAGTTAAATTTACTATGTCGGATCTTATGAATGAGCTTGTTCCAGGGGAACTTCTTTTTTTAGTATGAGTTGCTGATCCCCGGGAATCAGCTATATGTCAAATTCATTTCAGGCTGAGTCAAAGAGAATTTATCTTTTTCATTCCTGGCTGTGCTATTGGTATGTACTTCTTCATGTTTGAACTGGATCTGTGATGGATCGATAAATCGCTTTAGCACATATGGATTGTCCTCTGCAGTTGTTATGTTCAGGTTTGATTTTGCGTATAAGCAAGCAATTGGGAATTTCTTTCCATTTGAATTAGTGTTTTGCTACAAAAGGCAAAAAGAATATGCTTGTGCCGTAAAAACTTTTCAGAAAAAGGAATAGGGAAAAAGGATTTTGTTGCCTGATCAACAAAAAAAGTAGTTAAGAGTGGCCCATGCAGGTCTCGAACCTGCGACCTTCGCGTTATTAGCACGACGCTCTAACCAACTGAGCTAATAGGCCTTGTTGCTGTTTACCCTTTGTTTAATAGGTCCTATTGACAAATTTTTCGCTAAACGTGTAACAGTGTTTCCGTGAAAGAGAATGGCCAGAACCGGATGCTCGGCCGGCGTCAAATCGCGGACGGCAAGGTAAAATCCTTCCAATACAGTTTTCGAAACAAACGTAATTCAATAATTCGTAATTAGACAGTAGTGCTAAAACTGCGGAATTTGATCATTTAGGCTGGGCCATACATTTGGCTGAATTATGACGAGGTGTACAACACCACTCTTCGAATTGGCTCCGCCATACGCAGCCGTGGCGTTAATCCGGTGAGTTCCACTCGCCTGATTATCACAATTGCATTTTACTCCTAATAGTGTACGCTAATTTTAAGTGAGTCTGAACCTTAAAATCTGTTGTGCTTTGTCAGGGAGATACTTGCGGTATATATGGCTCGAACTCTCCTGAATGGATTATGGCAATGGAGGTATATTTTTCATGTTCCACACACACACATTTGAAATATAGCTGTTTTTTGTTCAATCTAGAATTTTAATTAATGAGTTCTGCGTTAATGTCACAGGCCTGTAATAGTCAAGCTGTCACGTATGTGCCACTCTATGATACCTTGGGTATGTTTCCCCTCCAAAATTCTGAAAATTTTATTTGTTTTGGCATGCAAGTATTATTGCATATGTCTTAAATTTCCCGTGTTTGTTTGTGTATTCAGGTGAAAATGCAGTCGAGTTCATCATAAACCACGCAGAAGTTTCAATAGCCTTTGTTCAAGAAAGCAAGATTCCTAATGTAAACTTCTCTCCTTGTTACTTTCTTCATCTTGCGGATCTATATTTAGAAAAACGCTGTTGATATGAATAGTCTTTATTTGGACGTTGTCTGCTCTTTGCATGCTCTGGTGTTGTTATTGTTAGGCCAATGCAATGGTGTTGTATGGTTTTCTTACTTGAACAGCCGTAATTTAGGCTCCCCAAAGTCAATGAGTGGTGGCCCTTTTGCGTTGTTAATCTGACATATCCTAGACTGGCAACATAGTATTGTGTTTAATACTATTGTGTTTTGAACTTACAAAACAAACCCGTCAAACTATTGTCGGATAACCAATGTTGTGATTTGTGAACTTCCTTTTTCAATAGTCAAAATTTAAGCCTGTAAATGTATTTTAAAACTCCTTGATAATGGTATTCTTTTCTGCAGATCTTGAAATGCCTTGCGAGGTGCAATACTCATTTGAAAAGTATGTTGGAATGCAACCCTAAAATCATTACTTTCGATTTGAAATATCATCCTTGACTAAAACTTTTGCCTACTTTATGAAGCCATTGTCAGTTTTGGAAGCATTTCTAGCATGCAAAAGAAGGAAGCTGAGGAGCTTAATGTGGCTTGCTTTTCCTGGGACGAGTTCAAACTCATGGTGAGCAAAAGCCAAGAGCAATTCCTCACCTATGCTAAAACCCGAGAGTGCTTTGGTTACAAACTTCATTTTGATCCATTACAGGGTAATTTGGAGCATGACCTGCCACCAAAACAAAAGTCACAGATTTGCACTATAATGTATACGAGTGGGACTACAGGAGAGCCAAAAGGTGTTATTCTAAGCAACGAAGCCTTGATGTCAGAAGTCGTATCAATTGATAGACTGCTCAAGGAAACAGACAGAGTGGTAAATTCTCTTTTTAGCTTTGCTCGAGGTGGTTTATCATTTTGGAGCTATGCTTCATGTATTTGTTCTGTCAGAGCATTTAGTATGACTAGAGCATCTCTTACTGCTTCATTGCGGCCTGAGTGATTGTTCATCTTTAAACTATGTTTTATTGTGAGATCTTTTTACTCATACTTTCTCAGTTTGAGGAAAGCAATGTGTTTTAACTTATTTGAGATGGAAAGAATCTGAGCCTTCATTCCTGTCAATTTCTTAATAATAGATCCATAATAATTTTGGTCATTCGAGAAACCATTAGCACATGTGTACAATCAATTGCATAATTTCCTCATTTTACTCTCTTTTGCCGAATTGGATTTGGAGCCAGTTTCCAATCTAAGTTTGCCAAATATAATGCACTTACTCTTTGTTCACAGAAAATGGTATGTGACATTGGTTTTCTTGCAGGCCTCTGGAGAGGATACATTCTTCTCATTTCTTCCATTAGCGCACGTGTATGATCAGATTATTGAGACTTACTGTATTTACAGGGGTGCTTCTATTGGGTTTTGGCAAGGGGTAAGAGAGAAGCTTGTTGCCTGTAATGAATTTGTCCGTTGTTTATTAGGTACTTAATACTTCCACAGGGGATCTCAAGAGTTACGTTTCTTATTCTCAGGATGTCAGATACTTGATCGATGATCTTTTAAATTTGAAGCCCACATTTTTTTGTGGAGTTCCTAGAATCTATGACAGGATGTATACAGGTAAAACCAAAACTGTGATATGATTAATCTGTCACTTTCCGACTGTCATAATGTGAATTTAAACATTTCTAATTTTAGGTATCACAGAGAAGGTTGCAGCTGGAGGTTTAATAAAGAAGACCTTATTTGACTTTGCATACAACTAGTATGAGCCAGAGTTCCTTTTCCTTATTTACAACATGCTTTAGTTATCAACAAGCTTTAGTTATCATGGCCTTTGTAACCAAAAAGTTATCACTTGCAGCAAATTGAGGAATATGCGTAATGGGCTTAAACAACATGAAGCTGCCCCTCTCCTCGACAAGTTAGTCTTTGATAAGGTAAGTGATGTGATCCTTGCTTATGCCTGACCACCTTTTTCTTTTTCCTTTTAGTATTATGGGAGGTATCTGATGATTACTTTATTTCAGATCAAACAAGGTTTTGGTGGAAGGGTTCGTGCTATGTTTTCTGGTGCCGCACCTCTGCCTAAGCATGTGGAGGAATTTCTGAGGGTTGCATGCTGCACTGCTGTATCACAGGGATACGGTATTCATTCTTAAACTACAAGTTGAAAATATTCAAACAGCCATAAACTGCATCCTCCTCTCATACTTGAAAAACTGTTCTCTCTCTCAAGTATTAAATTATACTTTTGAACTGTTTGTTGTTTAACTTTTTTACTATTGTGCTGGTCTCAGGGCTCACTGAAAGTTCTGGTGGTTGTTTCACATCCATTAATGATGTCTTCTCAATGATGGGAACAGTTGGTGTTCCCTTCCCGACCATTGAAGCAAGGCTTGAATCAGTACCTGAGTTGGGATATGATGCTCTGGCTGATGTACCACGTGGAGAAATTTGTGTAAGAGGGAAAACCTTATTTAATGGATACCATAAGCGCCCCGATCTCACTGCAGAGGTGCTTGTGGACGGATGGTTCCATACAGGTAATAGTCAGGATTAAGTTTTTGCTGAGCCTCTTGTTAGCGCGAATTTCCGGTAGGAGCGCTCATCATGCTCGATTTGTTCTAAATTTTCTGCAGGTGATATTGGGGAATTTCAGCCTGACGGTACGCTGAAGATAATTGATAGGAAAAAGAATATTTTCAAGTTGTCTCAAGGTGAATATGTTGCTGTGGAGGGCCTTGAAAGCACATACTCCCGCTGCCCCCTCGTGACTTCTGTGAGTCATTGTTTGTTACGTCTAAATCTATCAATAAAGATCCGTCAAACAGAACATGCAATATGTCCTACTTTGCAAAAAATTTGCTAACATTTCATTCGCATCTAGATATGGATCTACGGGAACAGTTTTGAGTCTTTCCTTGTGGCGGTAGTAGTGCCAGAAAAAGCCGCACTTGAGGATTGGGCAGTTCAGAATAATATGGAGGGGGACTTCAAGTCGCTTTGCAACAGTGTCAAGGCGAGGAAGTACATCCTTGGCGAACTGAACAACACAGCCAAGAAACACCAAGTAAGCTTCGCCAAAAGTTTAGAGCTTCACATCAATTACGTCGCAGGTAACTTTACTTCAGGTTAACATGCGAATCTTTTGTGCTGTTGCAGCTTCGAGGTTTCGAGATGCTAAAAGCAGTGCATTTGGATCCTATTCCTTTTGATATTGAGAGAGATCTGATCACCCCAACCTTCAAACTCAAACGACCTCAATTGCTTAAGTACTATAAGGTTGGTATTATCAGTTAAATTCTAATTTACAGCTTGTATTTTTTTTTTCCCCATTCCACGCACTTATCTCTACTGCTACTGTGCAGGATCGCATTGATCAACTATACCTTGAAGCTAAGGAGCTCAAGAGTTGAAGTGGAGGTGCTCCAACCAACCCCGCACCCACCCACAGCAAATCAATTTTTTTTTTTTTTTTTTTTTTTTCTTTTTGGTAGATTGATACTAAGCCTAATGCTTGTCTATGGAATATAAATCCTGTTTGATACCAAGGACAAAAAAACTTTATAAAGCATATTCTTAATTCTATGTCCATAGTATTGCTACTCTCCCCCAAATTATTGTACATGTCCGTTGTTGCGCGGCGCACGTCACACGAATACGACATGAGAATTGCGATTCCAAAAGTTTAATCACGTTAGATTGTAAAGATTGTATATTCACACAAATTAAGAAACACATTATGAGTCAAAACTTGTGACACGAACCGATGGACATTCCTAATTAAAACAAGTTGGTTACGGATTCGAATAGCAACTAACAGAACAAAGGGGTAAGAAAACTTTGATGATATGAAACATGTGCAATTGCACTAATAAACTGCAAATGTGAGGAAACATTGGCCAAATATTGCTCGAGAAATGAGAACAAATATGAGTTGAATCCACTGACAAACCAGTCTTCCTCACCAAGGAACAAATTTACAGAGGGAGTTAACTTTTACATACGTACGTAACCACTCCAAGATATAAAAGAGGCAACAGAGAGAAGGATACACAAGAAATGTACCAAGGTTTATCACTCACAATCAGATGAATCGCAAACAGGAAGAATCACACACACAAACACACACAAGTTCTTATAACAGATAGAGAATAAGGCCCCAGACTGGATAAACTAACAGCAGGATGATTCCGACAGTGTTGGAAATACCATGGGTTTTGGTGAAGGAATTCCTGAACCCGCCAGATGCTCTGATGTGTTCTTGAAGCAAATAGCACCCAATTCCCAAGCAAATTATAAGGCCAATCCAATCGCCTCTAATGGTGTCGGCAAACAGGTCAGGAGCCACCACGATTACAAGAATCAATGCACCCGGAAGCTCTAGCCAATCTGCATTCACCCAACCAATTATGTGTTTTTATATAGTCATGAAAAGCTGGTAGAGTTAATTTCAACAAACCAGGCCCCAAAACAAAGTGAAAAGAACAACTTTTTTCTACAGTCATTTGATAGTTCACAATCATGGTTTCTCCATCTAATTTGGTGATGCAAAAAAAAAAAAAAAAAACCATACAAAATTCTCAGTTCAATTGAACACTTTAGTTGCGTGGTGAAGATTTCTTACCTGGAAAACGTTCTCGGAAGAAGAGGCGTAGAGTGACAGCAATGATAGCAATCCATTTCCCAACTTCTCCCCTGCATCATCAACGATTTGAAGAATGAAATCAAACCCTGAATTTTGCAGATAATTTAGACGGAAGAAAGGCCAAGAAAAAAGGGTGAACTGCCTTGAAATTACCTGAACAAGTGGAACAATATAGTTGGAAGGGTCAAGAAAATGTAAGGGATGAGAAGGGATGTGAGGATGTTGGTCTTCCAGTTGGTTCGGTCCAAGATCAACAAGTAACTGTAACATCATCAACACAAACGAGAAAACCAAAAAAAAACTTTGAAACCCCAGAAACTAAAATGAACGAAGATCAAGAATCGAGTAGCAATTTTTAGTAGCAAATTGGCTTACACAGCAGCAATAAAAGCCAGCCATTTCAGAAAGGAGGTTCCAAATCCAAGGCCACCAAGAGTGATGGCATGATTAGCCAACTTCTTGGCCGCATTTCCCAAATCCTTAAAGTCAGAAGAGATCAATTCCAGCCCTGCTTGGTCGGATTTCAAAGCCAGATAGCCCAATTTCCCCATTGATTCTGCTGGTTTTCTGACGATGTGAAAAGGAACAAAAAGATGTACAGAAAGTAGAAACTACTAACTGTTTCTAAATACGCAGAAACAGAGAAAATAAAGAACCAAATCAACTTTGAGGGATATAATTTAATTTTAAAATTAACAATAGTTTAATGGGTTGATTTTGATAAGGAAGTAGAAGAAGAAGATTGATTGTAGGATGATCTGGATAATATTGCCCGACGCAAACTATTATGATAATTTGGTCAACTGATTGATCATTGAATTATTAAGTAGACAGCTCAACTATGAATGTGACTGGGGGCCTTTGTCTATGATATTTTCTTCTCCATTTTTACCAAATCAGGGTGCCACATGGATATCTTTAATTTGGATGGTTTTATATGGTGTTCATTAACTTCTGCCAACTGTCTAATTCTCATGCTTCATTTTTCCTTAGAAAAACTTAAATTATTTCGTGATTTGTTTCTTATGTTTGTGGAGATTTGGGAGCTTTTCATACATGACTGCCACTGCACGTCTACACACACAATAACTTATTTTTCTTATTTTGGAACTTTTGTTTTTTTTTTTTTTTTTAAAACTTCAATTATTGACAATACGCAGAAGGCTTCACAGTTCACAGTTCATCCTGCAGAATGGAGAATTCTGTCGTGCAAGAAGTAGCTTTTAATGTCGAACGTGATGTTCTAGCGTCCAAGGTTAATTAAAGGAAAAGTTAAATACACTTAAATTGTGGAGTGGAATCCCACATCGATACTTTAACAGGTAATTAACCGGTTTAAATAATCCGACCTCCTGATTAGACTCCGTCATCGAAAGGATGGCCGGGTTAGTGGCTTAAGTGCGAAACGGACTAGTACTTAGCCACACCCTTTATGCACCCATTATCAATATTTTTGGGCTCAAAGTTACTAGGCCCAATAATAATTTTCTAATCCCTGCTCAATGGGCTCTTTGATAATGGACCAGCTCATCGGCTCTTGATGGCCCAATCATCTATTTTTCTTGAATCTATTTACTGAGCGGTCCGAATTTTTTGAAGTAATGCTTCGTTAAACCACCATTAAATCCATTATACGTAAATAATAATAAAATAATAATCTATTACATCTTGAAGCTTTACCTTTTGCGCCAAGAACCAATTCTCAATCATGGATAAACATTACCCTTGCAGCTCTAGAGGATGTATTAGATCCAAACCAGCTGGATCCGGTAATGCAACATATTCATGCTTTGATTCACTTGACCCATCATGGTTTTAAAATTGTGGTTTGGGGACCTTCTGGATTAGACTTCCTGACAATGCCATAGACCATGAATTTGCATGTTTTGTTATAAGTAGTGATACATTATCTGGTCGAATATTCTTGCAACTTTTTGTGAAATGCAACTAAACTATTTCTAATATACATGAATGAAAATCTTCTCTTCTTCTTAAAAAACAAAGGTGCTGAATGGTGAATAGTCTTGTTCGTCCGCGACAGATCAATTCGTAATTTAAGATTTGCATTGAATTCAGCCAATCGTCTGCTCTCACTCAAACCGTCTAATTTGAGCAACAATATTTTATACCTTATCAAATGCTACAAGTGTAGTTAACTAAAGAGTGTAAAGCTAAGATAGAGAGACAACAATGGAGTATTTTTGTTTGCGTAAAGACTCCACTCAAAACCTAAATAAAGAATAAACACATCCTTAATTATTAGTTGATCCAAATCAAGTCTAAAATTCGAAACTTGGTTTTAAAAAAAAAAAAAAATTTTATTACTTGATTCAACACGATTGGTAAGATCCCAATTATTGAACGTTTCATTGTTGATAATTTGATGATAGATACTAATAAATGTAATGAAAAAATGATAACACTAAGTCACTAATTAACAATAAACTAATCAAGCGGCCTTAGTCAAGGATTTGATGGTCACCAAGGGACCCAACATCACAGTAGCAGCATCAACAGCAAAACTATCATACTTGAGGAAGAATTCCACCAGCATTATCCTGGACAGCAGAACCACCAAATCCTTAGCCGGGCATTGCTTGTTGTCCGCAGACGGATTCTCAGTCTGCCTTCCGTTCGACCAATACAAATACTTCAGCAGCTTCTCGCCGTCGCCGACGAACCTATCCGGCACGAATTCCTCGGCGTTGTCGAAAACCTTCGGATCTTTCGTCGCAAACGTCTGGTACCCAAAAATCATTTCACCTTTCTTAATCAAGAAAGATGACTCGTGGTTGTTAATAACAATATCTTCTCTTGCGTTTCCGTACTGAAACGGCACGGGTGGATCCAACCTTAGTGCTTCATAAACCACCGATTTAGTCAAACTCATTTTCTCCAGCGCGGATAGAGATATGGCCCCACCTTCTTCCTTGACGACGGTCCGGATTTCGTCAGCAAGCCGGCGATGTAGCTCCACTCCGGCGGCGCCAACCCACTTGAATAACGCCGGGAATAAGATTTTCATTCCGCCGTACGCGTTAAACCCTGCAAGAAATATCAAGTTATGAAGGGCTTCATCTCTTTCGATCCCCTTCTTCTCAGCTTCATCAAGAATCTCGCCGCCGTACTTGTTAAACGCATCGTAAAGCTTCTTGTAATCGGATTTGACGATCAAAGAAGGTAGTTGAAAAGTATGGATGAGTAAATCTTCGAGGAAATGAGGGATGAATTTCTGTCCTAAGGATATAAGCGGAGCAAGCTGGAGAAACAGCCACTTGTCAAACCTAGATGGGCCGGAGGAGCCCAAGTTGTTGGTGTCGGAATCAGACGGGTTTTTATTCCGGCAGAGCAAACGGAAAACGAACTCGAACGAGACGGAATCCGTTAGGTCGTTCAAGTTGGCTTTTCCTTGCTGGGAAAACTCATCGTCAAGCTTAGTGAAAAAACCCGAAAGGCTGGTCCGGAAAAAGGGGACGAAGTTTTTATGTAATTTGGCGAGTTGGGATAAGAAAAATGTTTTTAAGGCTGCATGGGAAGGTTCGGAAGTATCTAGAAATGCACAGGTACGGTAGCCGCCGAATAGTTTCGTCGACGGCATGTAAGTTCCGTCAAGAACGTCTCTTTTCTCGACCTTGGAGTTGTCGAAGAGGATCGGGAAACTAACGGCGTCAAGGAGGACGACGACTTTAGGGTTTGGAGCCATGAAAGGTCCAGGTGGCATGTTAGACCTGAAAACCGTGGAATTGTATTTCTCCATTCGAGCCTTGAAAAATTCGTCCCTGCCTTGGTTGTAGTAAAAGTCACTTCGATCCTTAATCGCTCCGAAGAATGGGAGGCCATAAGCACCCGGGATTTCTTTTAACGGAAGTGTTTTTTTTGGAGGAGGAATTTGAACATGATGGTGATGATCAGGGGAAGTGGAAGACATGATAACTTGTTTAATTAATGATTGTTTTTTGTGATTTGAATAAGGGAAGAACAGAAGAAGTAGTGGTGGTTTGAGTTAGCAATAAAGAAATGTAATATATATATAGAGGGCGAGAGTCACAGGCTAGCATGGATGCAGCCAAACAAGTTGCAGATAAAGAACTGAAAATTAAAACCTGTAATTTCAACAATTAAAAGTATTATCATATCCTAGTTTGACTAGTCATGAAGAATAACATGCAAGTTTGTAATATTTAGCACATTTATATTTACATCACCGACGACTATTGAATTGGATTATCGGAATATTTCTCATCAATTCGGACTTCCAAGGGACATGACTTTTCGGTTCTCACGTAGGTACGTATGCATCATTCATGGTGTAAGCATTTTACTATTTTAGAGTTTTTTTTTTTTTATTTATTTTATCAAAGGTTTGAGATATTATGATCAGTGTTTTTAAGATGTGATTAAAATAATAGTTCAAAGGATTTAGCATCTCCCTTTTGCCTTCGAAGACAAAATAGTCTGTGCAATAATATGTGCCTTATCACAAAGTTCTCGGGAAAAATATTTTTGGTTCTGTTTGATTGTAGAATATTAATTTACACGCACGTGATGAAGCAATATTTTGAAAATTTGAAAGTTGAAAAATTGGTAAATAAATTTGGAGACGAAAGAGAGATTGAAATTAATTTTCTTGACTTGGATATGGGATTGAATTGTATAATTCTTGTATTATTACGTACTAAAGTCCAGAACAAAGGTAACAATTGGCGTATTAATTTGTAGCTTAGTGACCAGTGGATAGAACAGCACCAAAATTTGGACTGACTAATCGATTGACCGAAATGGAAGAGAACGAGGGTTACTACTGGAAACTCACAAACTGTTGCGAAAGTTCTCCAGCCGCCTGCCCCTGGATCTACACGTGTAGAAGGAAGTCTCTGCGTCGGGATACTTTTCTGCCCAATTCAGATGTGGTAATTTTTTATTTTATTTTTTTACGTATTTTTCATATATATATTTTTAATGAATTCCCGACCTTAGCAGAAGTAATTTATTGTCACCTTTATACATGAAAAATCACGCCGTACCAATCACGGGATGGAAAAACACTATTAACTGAACAAACACTATTAACTGAACACATATACTTAAATGTTTCATCATTTACAATATATTTTTTTTTATACTTGTTATGGTCCTTATTATAAAATATTTTATTTTTTTTCTAAGTTTCATTTATCATTTTTTTTTGAAAATGAAAGCTTACACAGCTTTTATAATAATTAAAAGAATACAATAAAAGTGAAAATATATTCTCAAAATTTTATTTTCAATTATAAAAACACAGTAAATAAAATTTAGGACAAACCAAAATACCCAAAAGAAATATCTGCGTAAATAGAAAAACATGTGCATAGTCGGTAAAAGAACTGATATTTTGCAAAACTAGGAACACTCTCAAGATTTTATCACTTGCATATTGAATCAACGAACCTCTTTATTTGACATACTAATACTTTTAATGAAAGTCGGAGACACGCCAGTGCGAAGAATATTCAGAGAGAAGTAATTGTTCACTCAAAATCTGGGCAGAGACTTGTAGCATTGGAAAAAATAGCTTTCTTTGGTTGGAAACTTCCAAAGTACTCATGTTTATTGTTTAATATCTGGAACACTTGTTATTTCCGTTCCCTTTCAGCCTAACAATATTAATTAGATGCTTAGCTAAATGATGTTTTTCTCCCTAGTTCTAACATTTTACTATCAGAGTTTTTCTTTCTTCCCCCCCAAATAGCTTTTCGAATGTACAAGAATGGTTGGGTTGTAGAATACCTGTTGTTAAAATTAATTTGGGTTTGTAAGAAACATAAGCATAAATTACATACAGCGAATTTAAGTAACGTTCATAAAGCTTCATCCTACGCTCAGCCATAATGATGGTTCATAATCAAGGGTTACATCAAAGCCATCTTCCACAAAAAATAATATCTTTCTAATGTAATTGCTAGTAAAAAAACACGAATTCAATGGAAGTGTGGCAAAGAAAGTCCTAGATATAGACTAGTGAAAAACTAGCTAACGAGCGCGTCTCTTTGCAATATGAATATCGAATCTCATATGTAATGTGGGCATGGATTAAATTAAAAAAAAAGAAAAGTCAACACATCCCTAAATTACATTAATCGCATTTAAGTAAGCAAAAAGCTTGGTAAATATTCCGGATTAAATTGGGATATCTTATTCCCAATTAAGAGTAGTTATCTTCCGACCATACATTATGCGGATTGCCTATAACTAAAAACGAGGGAAAATAAACTACACATCTCTCTATCGTTTTAAGATGCATCAACGCGATTGCCTGTAGATGCAGTCACTACGACTAAAACGATTATTTGATTAAAAAAGAAGAAGCAACTATCAGTTGTCCCTGTTACTTACAATCGTCTTAGTCGTCTATATATCTGTATAAAAAATATTTAGTTGCACATTTTACTTATTCTTTCTAAAAAAAAATAATAAGTAAAATTGCCCAATTGATCAAGTTACGTACAGACAAGATAAAGGTAAGACTTTCATTAAAAAACTTAAAAAGGATAACATATAAGACAACCACAAACTATTGTTAATATGAATTATTGGAGGAAATGGTATGCAAATGGGAGAAGCGTTCAGATTACAAAGTCATGTAAGCCATGCCAAACACACGAGAAGTCCAACTATTGTGCATTAGTTATATTTATTCCTAATTCAAACAAAATGATTAAGCTAGCTTGAGAAAAATGAAAGAACAAAATTAACTTATATTGTAAAAATTCACTAAAAAGTTCTTCATCCACGAGGATACAAACAATTTTGACACTAAGCTAATCATTGGACAGATCCAAAAGAGTCACGATATACATATTTCCTGTGGTTTTTGTGTTAGATTTATCAATTATATTAATTACATATGCTGTATATTTGGCTCGGAATCCGATCATATAGTTTTATATATCCAGTTATACTTAACCAATTATACTTGTAGAAAAAAAAATACTCTTTCTTGCCTTAAATTATTTTTTTTTTTGGTAAAAGGGTGAAATTTTCATTGCATCATCGACATATTACAAATATTATGTACAAGTATCACATATTGATCCCTAAAGTTGCTAGGAACCTCACATCATCACCACTATCATTTCTATATAAGTATTTGATTCTCCCAGAAAGCTCAGACTTCATCACCATCCATCTTTGATCCACAGCTTGCTGCACATTGCCAAATCTTCTATTGTTTCTTTCAATCCATACATGATACACTACTGCATTCAAACAAGCCAAAAAAACTGATCTTTTTAGCTTCTTATATCTCCAAATCCTCTTGATTCTGTTGCAGTTCAGCTGATCAATTCTCACTGTCAACCCCAGCCATGCTGTATCAGCTCAGCAGCATAAGAACACTGAAAAAACAGATGCTGTACAGATTCTGTTCCTTGCTTGCACAACACACATTGATCATTTACCACCTCCACTTTAAACTTCTTCAATCTCTCAGCTGTCAGCATTCTGTCTTTCCAAGCCATCCAATTAATCATACTGTGTTTTGGGATGATAAATCTGTTCCAAACAACAGTAGCTTCCCTCCATTTTCCTTTATGTCCCCTTAACCATGAATAGCCAGATCCTGTGGTATATTTCTTCCTTTGAATCCCTAACCATTTGCCTTGCCTTATACCATCTTTCAACTTGTCTCTGATTTTCATGATCTTCTTCCAATGTCAGCTACAATCATTGGGTGGTTTATGTTCCCATACTGATTGACCCTTCAGGTAATAGTTGTGCATCCATTTGATCCACATACTGTCCGTTTTTGCCTCCAAATCCCACAGCTGTTTCCCTAGCATTGCCTTATTCCGCATTTCCGGCTCTTTGATGTTAAGACCTCCATTAGATTTAGTTCTACAAACATTTTCCCAAGAAACCAATGGACTGCATCTGCCATTCCCTCTATCTCCCCATAAGAATTTCCTGCAACAGGGTATAATTTGCTGAATTACAGACTGTGGAATCAAGAATATACTAGCCCAGTAAGAGTGCATTGTCATCATTACTGCATTGATCAAGACATTCCTCCCTGCATAAGATAAATGCCTGGTTTTTACCAGCACTTAATCCTTGCACTAATTTTATCCACTAAACACTGACAATCACCCTTTGTCCAAGTTGTGGATACTAATAGACCAAGATATTTCATAGGAAATTGACCAAGTTCAAACCCCAGTGTCTGCTTAATATCATCTTCAATAGTCTCAACTTTACCACCAAGATACAAGTTAGACTTCTGTAAGTTGATGGCTAATCCTATTGTACTTGAAAATCGTTCAGCACCTTCTTCACCCTTTTAATAGTTTGTACTTCAGCTCCACATAGTATTAGTAAATCATCTGCAAAACTGAGAGAGGTTATCTTCATTTTCTCATAATAAGGATGCCATTTAAAACCTAGTTTAGCTGCTTCTGCTTTCATCAGTCTGTTCAAATACTCCATTACCAACACAAAAAACAAACGTGAGATTGGATTACCTTGTCTCAAACCTCTCCTTCCCTGAAAGTAACCAGTGCTTGAGCCATTGAGATTTAGAGAATAAGAACAAGTTGTAACACATGTCATCACCCAATGTATAAACTTGTGTGGAAATCCATATTCCTTAAGCATTTCTTCAATAAACTCCCAATGGACAGAATCATAAGCCTTCCTCAAATCTACTTTCATTAAGCAGCTTGGTGCAGCATTCTTCCTCTTATACAACCTTATCAGTTCTTGTGCAAGCAGAATATTGTGAAGGGTCAGCCTTCCTTTGACAAATGCACCTTGATTAAGGTCTACTAGCACAAGTAATACATCACTTAATCTATCACAAATCATTTTTGAGATGCATTTGTACAAGGTGTTACAACAAGAAATTGGCCTGAACTCAGTAGCATCCTTAGGCCTATCAGTCTTTGGTATTAAAGAAATCATTGTTGTATTGATTTGCTTAAGGAGTTTACCTGTTCTGAAGAATTCCAAGATCGCATCACTAACCTCATCTCCCACAACATTCCACATCATCCTGTAAAAGCCACTATTAAAACCATCAGGACCAGGGCTCTTATTTAT